TAATAAAGTTTTAAAGTATTATATAAATTATAAGCATTATTTATAAATAAGTATTAATAAAAGTATATTAATTTATTAATAAAATTAAAAAATATTATACTTTATTTTAATAAGTTTTTAATATTTTTTATATTAAATTCTTAAAAACTTATATTAAAAAAGTTATTTTATAAATAATTATTAAAATAATAAATAATATAATTAACCTTAATAATATTATTTTAATATTCTTTATTTTTAATATATATTTAAAACTTATAAAAAGCTTTATATTAATTTCTTTAATTCTTAAAAAAATAATAATTATTTAAAAACTTATAAAAAACTTATATAAAGTTTATATTAAATAATAAATTAATATAACTTTAAATATTTATAATAACTTAAATATTATAAAAATATTAAGTTTTTTATTATAAAATAATATATAAATATAATAAAAAAAGCATAATTAATAAAAATTATATAAATTGCTTAATAATAATAAATATATTTTTATATTAAACTTTTTAAATACCTTAATAATTTTTTAATTAATATTAATTTAATTATATTATTAAAATAAAAATAATAAAAATAATATTTAATTAATCTTTAATTTAAATAATATTATTAATAAGTTTATTTAATTTAAATTAAATTTAATTTTAGCAATATTAATATTGCTATAACTTTAATAATATAAATAATTTAAGGAATTAAAAAATAAGCTAAAAAAATATATTTTATTTAATAAAAAGTTAAAAATTATAATCTTTTTTTAAAGCTTTAATATAATAAAGTAATTAATACCTTAAATAACTTATTTAAAATATTTAATTATAAGAAAATTATAAAATTAATTAATAATAATATTTTTTATTTTAAATATTTTAATTTTAAAATATATAAAGATATTTAGCTTTTTAAATTATATATTATTTATAAAATTAAAAGTAAGATTAAAAAATTATATAAGAAATTATAATTTATTATTATTAAATAAAATAAAAAAAATAAATATAATATTTTTATATAATCTTTAATTATTTAAAAAGCTAATTAAAGGCTTTTAATTAATTTAACTTTATTTCTTTTAATATAAAGCTTTTAATTAAAGCTTTAAAATATTATTTAAATATATTTTTAATTAAACTTTAAGCTTAAGCAACCTATTTTATATTACTTACCCCTTAAGATTTAAAATAAATAATTTTTTAAAATTATTATATAAGTTATTAAATTATTATATAATATTATTAAATTTAATATATATTAATAAGTAATTTATTATAAATTTCTTTATAATAATTTAAATATAATTATTTTAATATATAACTTATACCTTTTAATTATAAATTAAAGAAAGAATATTTTTATTATTATTATTATATAAATTAATAATATTTTATTCTTTAATATTTTAATATTTTTAAAGCTAAAAAAATAAAAGATTAAGAAAGTAAATATTTAATATAAATTAAAAGAAATATTTATTTTTAATAAGTTATTTATCTTTAATAATATAATTATAAGCATTTTTAATAAAAATACTTTATATCTTTATTAAAAAAGCTAAAATAAAGAAATTATATTTATTAATAATAAAGTTAATAATTATATTTAATAATATATAAAATAATATATATAAAAAATATATTTTGCTTTTATTTATTAACTTAAGATAATATTTAACTTATTAAGAATAACTTAAATTTAAAAGCTTTTTTATAAGAATTATAATAAGCTAAATTATTAGCAATAATAATAAACTAATAACTTAAAATATAAACTTTAATATATACTTTTAAATTTATTTTAAGTTAAATTAATAATCTTTATTAATAATTTATTTATTAATAATAAAAGCCTTAACTTATAAATTAACTTTATTATTATATTTATAAATAAAATATAAACCTTATAAGCTTTTAAATAAAATATTAAAGGTAATATTATTTATTAATCCTTAATAAAGTATTAAAAAGTAACTTAAAGCATTTTAACTTTAAAAATTTATAATATAATTAATAGCTTTAATATAATTATAATGCTAATAATTACTTTATATTAAATTATTATATATTTAAATATTATATTAATTCATTTTATAATATATATTAACTTATATTTCTTATATAAATACTTAATTAAACTTAATATAATAAAAAAAAGCGCCTTATAATTAATATTATAGCTTTTTAATAATTATATAAAAAGCATAAAATTTTTAAAATTTATTAAATTATTAAAGATTATAATTTAGCTAATGCTTTTATAAAAAATACCTTTAATAATACTTTTTAAAGCTTTATAAATATAAATAATATTATAATTAAAATATAAAGTTATATAAATTATAATTAAGAAAATAAGATAATTATTTAAATATAATAAAAAGTAAAAGAAATTATAATGCATTAAGACTTAAATTTAAATTATTAAAGTATAATTTAATAACTTATTAATAAATTATATTAATATAACCTTAAATATTATTATTATATTATATATTATATAATTATAAAAATAAAAAAATTATTAAAGATTTTTAATAAAGAATAATAAAATAACTTTTTTCATTAAAGATAATGTATAATAAAAATATAAAAATTTAATTTATATTTAGTAATTATTTATAAATTACTTTATAATATAATATAATTAATTAACTTTAAATTATATTTCTTTTAAAAATAAATCTTATATTTAAGATTTTTATAATAATATTTATATATTAAGAATTTAAATAATAAAGATTATTATTATTTTATAAATACTTAAGTTATTAACTTATATTTAATAAGCATCCTTAATTAAATTTTATAATTTAATATTTATATATTAAAATTAAAAATATTATTATTTATTAATTTAATTAATAATCTTTATCTTATACCTTATTTTTCCCTTTATTTAAATACCTTATTTATTAATTCTTATAATTTATTAACCTTTATTTTAATAACTTATTCTTTAATTATACTTTTTAATTTCTTTATTTAATAAGCAATATTAAGTATAATAAAGCTTAAGCTAAGCTAAATTAAGAAATTTTAATTATTTAAAGATTAAATAATTATATTAATAATTTAAGGGTTTAATTTAATTTTTATTTAATTTAAGCATTATAAATAATAAAAGCATAAGTTTATAAAATATATTATAAATAAAATATTTATATAATAATTATAACCCTTTAAGCTTTTTAAGTTTATATAATTAAGATATTTTAATATATATATATATTTAATTAACTTTTATTTATTAATTATATATTTTAATAAATTAGCTAACCTTTAACCTATTAATAATAACTTAAGCTTTTTTATATATTTATTTTTTATAATAATATAATATAATAAAATAATAGCATACTTATAATTTAATTTATATATATAATTAATTAATTATTTTTTAATTTTAAATTTAATTTAACTTAATATCTTTCTTTCTTTTATACTTTTTAAAAATAATATATATTTATAAAATAAAGATTATTAATATAGAAATAATAAGTATTATTTATATAAAGAATTATTTAAGATTAAGCAGCTTTAGCTTATTAAAATGTTTAGTAAATAGCAACCTTAATGCTATATATAAAATAGCTAGCATAATTAAGCCTTTTACCTTCCTTCCTTTTATAATTAATAATAATCAACCATTATACTATTTAAACGTTATATTGCAATACGTAACCCAGCCAATATTAACTTTATTTTTATTTTTAAATATTTATATAGTTTTATTAATACTTTTATAATAAATAATTAAGCTAGTAAAGAGGAAATAAATAGTTAGGTTAGGGACAAGGAAAATAAAAAAGTTTTTTTTTTAAACCCCTTATATTAAGGGCTGACATCATGTCATAGTATGTTAATATTAACATAATTTCCTCTATGTTTCAATAATGACAAACACTCATTTTGTAATACTGTTAATTTATTGATTGTATGTAGTTATCATTTCGGCGTTATCTCGTGATGATAATGCAAGGCTTTCCAACACCCCCCCTCCCCCTGGTAGATAGTATACGAGGATCGGTAAATGTGGAAAAAGCGAACGCTTAATCCGTCAGCGGATCAAGCCTTATATCCTTCAACAGCTGTCTATGGGCATGAATGTCAACAGCGGAGAGAACACGGCGATTTGGTCAGATCCACTGTGCTTGGCAAGCGAGCAGGGTTCCATGGAGGTTTGTCGGGTTTTGATCAAATACTGCCAGCCAGAGCGACCCTCAAGAATCGATAATGCGCTATATCTTGCAGCACGAGAACATCATCACAATATCGTCCGTTACCTATTGTCCGCTGGTGCAGATCCTAACTACCGCTTCCCATTGTTCGAATGTGACGGGACAGTGCTCGAACTTGCAGAAAGGGAACACAATATCGAAGTCTTGCGCATCCTCTTCGAAGACAATCGTGACCAACCAAGAGCACACCTTCCGCTCCAGTCGGTGCTGGTGAACGCTGCATTCACCGCGGCCTTTTATCTGTGTCTTGACGCTCTTCAGTGCCTGGTGTTCGAAGGGCATATTGACCCCAACGCTCGCTATTCGGGACCAGCGGTTCGAGACAATCCTGCTTGCTGCAGCTCATGACATAAGTTCATGGACCAGGGATGTCTTTCGCTGCCTGAGGGAGTGCGGTATTGATTTCAATATTCAAAAACCTGATGTGTGCCGCTTGCGTAAAAGCCAGCAGTCTTGCCATAACACTCTGTTGGAGGCCGTGGTGCTCACTGGTGACATGGACCTCGTTCAGGTAGCTGTCGAAGAATGGGGCGAGGATGTGAATGCGATCTCCAATGACTACGCAGACAGTCGGTATGGTTGTGCTCCGCAGCTGTTGAAAAAGGGCATCTTGAAGTGGTACAATACCTACTGAAGAAGAATGCCGATGCAAACTGCCAGGTACCAAAATCAAGGTCCTGGAACACCCCCTCTTTCTGTGGCTTTGGTAGGAAGTCATTTTGCAATTGCGAATGCGCTTATTGAGCATGGAGCCGACATCAACATGCCCATCAAGTACGGCCCCGTCGGAAGCGCTCTTGTGCTAGCCGCGTACCAAGACACAGTTGATGCACTCAAGTTCGCAATCAACGCAGGTGCACTGATAGATGCCTCTCTCGAGTATGGCTTGATCGGCAGCGCTCTCATCTGTGCGGCAGGTTCAGGCCATGTGGCTAACGCGCAATATCTCCTCGACCATGGTGCTGACATCAATTACCAAGCCACCATAATCCCAAGTGCCCTAATGTCCGCGTTGTTGTCTAGTGATGGAGAGATGGTCTCCTTCCTGATTAAGAGAGGCGCAGACGTAAACCGGCCACAAAATTATGGATGGGATACGATACTTGAGGAGAGGACGGTGCGATACACACTGGCATCGGTAGAAGATTCCACGTCTGATACAGAGCATTTCAGTTCTGACACAGACTAGAGGTAGGGCAGCCTTGTATCTCCTACCCCTTCTAAAACGTTTCGCGGGACACACGGATTATTTCAATTTATCTTGCACGCAAATATCAGTTTCAGTTTATTTTTCACGGGCCATTCCAATCTCTCTTTGCCAGTAACTATTGTAGGTCAGTCACGGGAAACCTCGAAATAGGGATTTCTCTGTAGCGCAGTCTGTGGCGGTTCTCTGGTGGTACATTCCACTTTGCCATCGATCTCTGCGCTCAACAATGACCAGGAGTCTCTAGTGGTGAAATACAACTACCTAGTTGATGCGATGGAAGCAAGGCAGGTTCGAAGCAGGTCTCTGAATATCTAAGGCACACATGGGAAAGACATCAATGCCACCAAGGTCATGCTTCTATACCAGATAGACCACAAGATGAACAGAGCGAATTCCTCCCACACTCCCATGGCCAAGGATAACCTCGTCCGAGGCTACTTCAATTCTCAATTCTTCATCTCCAATTCCGGAGACTTCTCAACTCCTGCACTCCCGTATGCCATGCAAGAGGTCGGCTGGAGCAGTAGACTCGAAAAGAACTAAGCATCTCTGCCTAGGAGAAATCAAGATACCACCAAAGCCTAAGACTATTTTAGGATGGGATAACTAGTTTGCCAAATATACCACCACATTACCTAGGTAACTTAATTTAAGTAATATTACTATTAAAATACATAGGTTAAGATTAATTACCTATATTTATCCTTCTTATAATCTTAAAAAGAATTCTTATTATAAACTTAATTTTCCTATAAAACCCTTTACTTGTGAGTGGGTCCCATTGACTGCTGGCTTTCACTGAGACTCTGGGCCCTACACCCCTCAGGCATAAAACCCCTCGCTGATAATTTCTACCAGACCTCTTCCTTACATAGAAGGTAGCGCCATTTTGCTTTGAATTGATGTATTAAGGACAGCTGCCTTGTCTGTATTTTCCCTCTGATAACATTACTTATATAAAAGCCTTTATATACAGCTTATATAAAGGGCTACAGCGCCCCTAACGTTAATGCTCTTGTTAATACACAAGCATTACAGTTTCACAAAATCTTCCACCTCCTAACGTCCTCATTAGATACTAAGAGCATATCTTTCAATAGGCATATCAGCGCTATCCGCTATTGAAGTGTAACACACCTCATGCAGTGTAGTGGCTTTAGGCGGAGATAAGCACACCGCCATCTTTGGCCGGGTGATACAGAATTCCTTTGTTCACGACAATGTGAGACAGTTGGCTGACGTGTGCCGCTGCAACCAGTGACTCGGCATGCGGCACAGCGTGAACAGGTATAAAACTCATCGTCGCTAGGTCACATCCTCTCCGTCAGCGTCTCTCTCACAATACTGTGCCAGTCATCATAACGCAAAAACATGCATCTCATTCTAACCGGGGCAACCGGCTTATGTGGCTCGGGCGTGCTCGACGCCATGATTAAGATGCCAGAAGTTACCAAGATCTCCATCATTAGCAGAAGGCCAGTGAGGATGGCAGAAGACGCGAAGGACCCCCGGATCAACGTCATCCTTCACAAGGACTTTGAAAAATACGACTCCGGCCTCCTTGACCAGCTCAAGGGTGCCAGGGGCGTAGTGTGGGCGTTAGGAATCAGCCAGACTGAGGTCGATGCAGAGTGAGCAGAGGACTAGACTCCCAGGCGCTATCTATATCAAGGAGTCCCACGCTGACTTCATCTCTCAAGGCAATACGTCAAGATCACCAAAGACTTCACCCTGCGCGCAGCAGAAGCCTTCCAATCCCTCGGCTCAGAGGCCCAGCCCTTCAACTTCGTCTACGTAAGCGCTCTCGGCGCCTCCCTGCAGCCGGGGCGGTTCACCCCCATTTTCGCCCGCGTCAAGGGCGAGACCGAGACCGCGCTCGCGGAGATGCGCAAAGCCAACCCAGCCTTCCGCTCCTCGTCGATCCGGCCCGCCGGGATCGACGCCACATTCCACGACGCCATCAAGCCGTATCTTCCGGCGCCAGGCTTGGTCAACAGATTGCTTCTCCCATTGTCGCGGATGCTTTCGGCGTCCATTAGTAGCCCGACGGAGCCTTTGGGCAGATTCATGACGGAGATGGCGATGGGGAAGTGGGATGCAAAGTATAGCGGGGCTGGTGTCGCAAGGTTGGGCCAGTTTCCGGTCCTGGAGAACACGGCATTCCGGAGGTTGGCCGGACTGGACGCGAAGTAGATGCGGCAAGGAGGTCCATCCCCCGGGGGAGGGGGGTTGATGGGCTGATTGTGGTTCTGGTTGATTATACACCCTAGAATTACACTTCTACGCCACGATGTATCATGTCTAAGGCCTGGACTTGAAAATAGGAACTTCTTTTCTCCACTCGAGATTCTGCTGCACTTCGGTGAAGAATGCCTGAGCCTCCGCACATCTTTGGCCGACTTTAAGACCCGGTCTATTTTTGTGACGGTCCACTTGTATTGTGGTTTTAAAGGTAAGGAAAGTCTGTTTTGATTTTAATCATTACCAACATGCAGACAAGAGACAGCGCCAAGATAGTATTACATTTAGGTAGGTACAAGGATGTAATTTACTTGAATGCATCTTAGATATTGTGCCATGCATCTTTTCGTTGGTTACATGAAGGTTGCCCTCTATCTGAATAACAATGCAATGCATGGTTCGCTTTTGAAAAATGAGTAGACTTAGATGATTGGCTTGACAAGAGATCGTGACTTATAGCATGGTACTCAACGTCAAGCAGCGATGCAAGAATATACTGACATTAGTCGTACCAATAGACATCTCTAGCGACTAAGGTAAATCATCGTGCAGGTGGTCCAACTTGTTCAGGTCCATGAGTAAAGATATTCGGTGCACTTTGGTCATCCAGGTTGATTAGGGATTGTCTCTTCTCCCCAGAACATGGCATATCGCAACTGCAAACGCCACGGAAAGTCAACGAGTCCCAATTGTGGCAGCGCGCAGTCTACCCGTAGATGAGTGGACGCAGTCCCTCGACCGAGTTGCAACCCCATGCCACCTCATTGACCGGCCAGCCGGGCCTTGACATTCAGCTTGGGCCTGACCCACAAAGCGTACTGCGGCAGGTTGTCGAAATCCTTCCCAATCCAGTCCAAGTCAGGGTCCTCCATTTCCAGGTCAAACGTGTAGAGCATCTTGGCTAACCCCACACGCAATTCCATCATCGCGACGCTGAGATTGGAGAAAGGAACACGGCATTAGTCCCACTGTCTCTGTATCGGTAGTTCAGGGGTGGTACAAGGGTATGGAACTCACGCCTTTCCTGCACATCCGCGGGAACCGAGTGAAAAGGGCTGGCTCGCATCCAAGATATCCCCGCCCTTGCCCAGCCACCGCTCTGGCTTGAATGCCAGCGGGTCCTTGAAGTTAGCCGGGTCGAGCGCCGCGACCATCGGGGCGATGGTCACCGGGGTGCCTCCCGGGATGAAATGTCCGTCGACCGTGTCGCCGCCTCGGGGCACCAGACGCGGCAGGATAGGCGGCGCCCCCGTCGGGAGGCGCAAGCCCTCGAGGCAGACGCGATGGAGGAGCTCCAGCTTCTCGGTGGCCGCATTTGTGATCGCGGCGGCGTTGGGGAAAGCCGCGCGCACCTCGGCCGTGACCTGGTCGAGGAGCTGCTTGTCCCGCAGCAGGTAGTACGTCGTCGACGTCAGCACCGCCGCTGTCGTCTCGGTGCCCGCGCCGATAAAGTCCCACGACTGCGCGGCCAGCTGGATCTCCGAGATGTCCACCTTTGTGCTGGCGCGCTGTGCCAGCACCCTGGTCAGGAAGTCCTTGCGCGTCGTCGTGTCCTGCTCCGCGACGCGCTTCCTCATGACCTCAAGGGCGAAGTCCCCGCCCGTCCGCGCGATCTCTTCGAGTCTGGCGACTTTGCCCCGGAAGAGGACGCGCGCGATGGGTCCCAAAGGTGGGAAGCGCTTGATCGCCTCATGGAGGCTGGTGAACCCCAAGGACTCGTTGAGTTGGAGGATGAATTTGTGGGGTGTTTCCATCCCGATGGCGCCAAAGTCTTGCCCAAAGGCCAGGTCGCCGATGATGTCAAACGTCATGGAGCTGTAGCCGAAAGTCAGGTCCACGACGCCGCCGTCGGCCGTCTTGGAGCGGACGTGTTCGACGAAGCGGTCGATATAGTCGATGATCATGGGCTCCATCTCGTTCAGGAAGGAGCGTGAGAAGGCGCCGCCGTAAAGCCGACTCATTGCGGCGTGTTTTGCGTGGTCGCGCTCGGTGATAATCGAGCGTACGTCTTGGGCGGCGTAGATGCTCAGACCATCATACCAGGTGCCTTTGAGGAAGGGTTGGTGGCCTGCGCGGGACTCGTAAATGTCTTTCCAAGCCCGGGCTGAATTGAAACTGAGTTCGTTTGGTCCGTAACGAACGACATGGCCTGAGGTATCATCGACGAGTTATTAGTGCTGGCTGCGGTCGTGCTTGTGGTGACGATAAGTCACTCACCGTATTTGCCGTGGAGCCTGAGCAGTTCGTAGGATTGTTTCCCCTTGAACACCGACCAAAGATGGGGGATCTACCGGCGTCAGTGATGCGGTCACGCAGAACAATGAAAGATTGTGCATACGATGCTGATCTTGTTTACCAAAGGCCCAGGAAACCTGCGCAAGGGATGGAAATATATATTGTAGACCGCCTTGGAGACCGAAAGGAGTACCAAGGACCCAAGGAAAAGGAAGAAATACGCCGCTAGGGCTTTCTGGTCGATGAACTCCATCTTGAAGAAGCGTTGTGTTCGAGCGATACCATTTGTTTGCTTCGAGTATCAACCTTGGGCGGCGGAGGTCATCTTATAACCGCAGTTCTTGTTACAACCTTCCGCAGCCAAAAGTCCCGTCCCGCCGGATCAGTCCTCTTTGGGCAGTGCCGTTTACTTTCTAGGAGGGCTCTATCATGTGATAGCTGAAAGCATGCGTTAGGCAATGCACCACGCGGCCAAGAAGCAACGCTTCTAACTTCTAAACTGAGGCAGATAGCCCCCAAGACCAACCGAATCCTTCAAGAGAAACCGAATGCTTCAACACCAACCAAATTCTTCATGAACAAGACTCCGGCGACCTTCTGACCTTCGAGCTCGGTCGCCGAGACCGCGTGGCTTTCGTGGCGACGAAAACCATCCGGTATCCTCGCCAGTACGGTTTACACACCGCTGGATTGTCCTACCCCACAAATGCACGTTGTCAAAGGACCACGCCAGCCACGGGCTCATCAGTGGCAAAGTGGCTTTGTGCAATATCGCTCACACCGTGGTCTCAATAATGACCCGATGAAGAGACTTTCAGCTTCCGCGCTGTGTAAGCGACATACTTTCAGCTTACACGCGGTATAAGCGACATACTTTCAGCTTCCACGCTGTGTAACCGACATACAATTGCACAGTAACAACGTAACAAGCAATTTCTGAGTAACAACGCAGTAAGGAACGAGCAGAGCCGCCTGAATGGGGCACCAACAGTAACATACCTACCTTAAAATTTGACAACTCAGAACGCAGCAAGCAACGACGAATTCAACCTCTGAAGCCTATAGTAATCAGACAGTCAGCTACAAACAACCCCATAATAAACAACAACTTACCCCACTATAAGCAATCATATAATTGGCCTTTAAAGCTGATAATAATAACAAAATCAGCTAATGATAAGCCCATAATAAATACTTATAAATAAAAAAGTAAAAAATAGTTTTCTAATAAATAATAATGAATATTATATAAATAATATAAAGAAATAAAAAGTAAATAATTAAATTAAGATAATATAATTAATAAATAATAATATTATTATTAATTTAAAGAATAAATATAAAGACTTTTAATATAAAACACATAATATGTATGTAATATAAAAAAGTATTATTAATTATTTAAAGGAGTATATAATTAAAAAAATTAAAGGTAAAAAGAGAACTTTAAGTCTTTAATTACCTTTATTATTAAAATAAGATATTATAAAGAAATAATATTTATATTATATAAGTTTATATAAGAAGATACTTCTTTATTTTTTCTATTTAATTAAATGATTATAAACTTTTATATATAAGTAATGAGCATATGCGTTTATAGGATTTTTAAGTCTCACCTCTGTAAAGTGAGTAGCCTTGTAACACTCTACTTCAAGTCTTTGGAAAAAGGAACAGAGCATACAGTAACGCGCGTGAACATGAGGCCGCTGCAGGTGGTGCGATGCTCAATCCGCTCATCGGTCTGCTTCGCCCTTGTAAATCATCAAGACCCGGTTGAGTGTGGTCAAGTAAAGCGTCTATGAATTTTGGCGCATGCATTGGTGGCGAGCCCCTGCTGTGGACACAAGTGCAACAGTACAGGTTCCTACCTATTTCGACCGCGAGCTTACGAAACCTTTGAAACCCGGAATGACCGAAGATGTGAGGATAACTGTGAAACCTTCGGAACGATCGAAGATGTGAGGATAACTGTGAAACCTTCGGAACGATTGAAGACGTGAGGATAACTGTGAAACCTTCGGAAAGATCAAAGACGTGAGAATCGGGGCGGCGCTGCCGAACGCCATTCGGGAAATGGGAGCTGGGTGGTGTGCCTCACGGGTCAAAGTATTAGCGAAGGTGCTAGTTATTAACACCACGCCCTTCGCGATGTGGACCGGATGATGTTTGCTTTCAGTAGCTGCAAAGCCTTATTTCTTCAAGACGACAGTCCAAGTTCAGCTCTGAAAATGTCACATTCCACCGAGAATGGGGCTCGCGCTGTGGCGAACCCCAAGCTGGCCGTCATATTCACCAAACTCGTCCGCGAGATTAAATACCAAGCGCCTGCGCATGATGACACACGCCCTGCCCTCGAAGCCGCCATGCTCGAATATGCCGCTGGCTCGGGGGCTCCGTACGAGTCGGAATATGCGCAGCGGTACTTCGACGTGGGCCTTACCCTCGCTTGTGTACGTCTTCTTTCTCCCTCCATGGCTCCAGTACCGTCTTCCCCGGGTTTGACGTATACTCAGGCTCATTCCACTAACTACGAGTGTCAAGGCCTACTATCCCTCTCACACCTTTGCCGTGAAATTACACATAGCCATCTACTCCTGGCTGGCCATCTACATCGACGACGATGAGGACGGAAACCAGGACCTAGCCGGCTTCCAGACACGCTTCCACAAGGGGGAGCCTCAGCCATCTGCTCTGCTGGCGCGCTTCGCAGAGTCGCTGCAGGGCATGTCGACACACTTCGAACCCCTCGTGGCCAACTTCATCGTGCTTTCGTCGCTGCAATTCGTCAACGCCACCCTTCTGGAGAGGCGCGGCGAGTTCCTCGGCCTACAGCACTGTAAAGAGGCAAGCGGGTGGCCCGACTATATCCGCGACAGGAGCGGAGTGCCCGAGGCCTTTGCGTACTTCATCTTCCCGAGGGACCAGTGCCCGGATATGGGAGCGTATATGCAAGGGATACCGGATATGATGACTTACATTAACTACGCGAATGATGTCCTATCGTACGTATTGACCCGCCCCTGGCAGCCCAAGGCCCTGCCCTCAAACCTGCCGCGCTCACTAACACATAACCCGCCGTCACAGGTTCCACAAGGAGACCCTAGCCGGCGAGACGGACAACTATATCAACACCCGGGCCGTTTGCGAGCAGCGTGAGCCTGTTGCAGTGCTCGAAACCGTCGTTGCCGAGACAATCGCGGCGAATTCACGCGTAGTTAGGCTTCTGCACACCAGAGCGGACCCCATGTACGCCCGAAAGTGGGACGAGTTCTTCAACGGCTACATCCTGTTCCACATAACAGCCCGGCGGTACAAGCTGCACGTGTATGCTGGGCTTGCCCACGAGGGAGTCAATGGGCGGGAGGAGTTTGGGGGCCAGAGGACGAGTGAGCGACCCGTGGTCGGTTTACTGCAGTGCGCTTAGGCTGTGTACTTCCTGTAGCAGGCTGTAAGGATTTGTGCGGGCTGTGATGAAGAATGCGTTTGGCGGAGAACAACAGTGTGTGCTGCAAGTAGACGTAACACGTGCGCTTACTCATGGCCTTCGTGGCTGGGAAAAATGAAAGTTGAGATGAGTCAGTCCAACGTTGTGTGATCCGAAAATTGTGATCAAGCCACCTGTGACGATCCCGTTGCCCTACATTGTTCGGCTCGCTCTTGCGACACGCGAGAAAGTTGGCAGACGTCATCCCAAGTGCATTCTGCTAACTCAGCCGTGCCTCACAGGCGCAAAAAGCCAAAGCTGACATTCCAGTCCACCGCCACCTACCAGGGCGGGGGGGGGGGTTCTAATCACGCAACATCAATATATTAATTAAATGTCAACATAAGGAAAACATTTAATTAATATTTTAATGAAATTATTTTTAATACAACTATTTATATAAACCTATGTTAAGAATTTATGTTAAATTATATTATAATTTTATTATTTAATCTTTATGTTTTACTTTTATTATTAATTAAAAAGTATTTTATTTTATTATAAAAGAATAATTTCAAGATTTTAATAAATGAAAAAATTAAATAAATGCTTTTAATACATAATTTTATAATTATAAGATTTATCTCTTAATATTACTTGTTTTTAACAATTATTTTTTAGTATGTCTTTTAGTATTTGGTTTTAAAAAATTCGTAAAGTTTGTTTTAACGTTAGTATTGTTGTAAAACATGATTGTATTGCATGACCTAGTCGGAGACCCCCTTTCCCTAGCAGGTGATGTTTGACCACAGTCCAGTGACCCTACCCAAGATCTTTGAGTGTCCATGGTCTGGTGCTTTAGGAACAAGGCTCTCAAAGGAACTTAAAGAAGCAAGGCAACTATAGTTCACGATAGGGTTGAACTTGAAAAAAATATTCTGAGACTGGAAGTAACAATACATCCACAGCCTGTGTATCGAGATTATCTCAATGTCAACCATGCTTTGCAGCCTTGTGGCTTTGTAGCCCTGCAGCCCTGTATTGGAGGCATGCTTTTGCGGAATTAAGACTCGGGAATGAAGCAGGTGCATCTTTGCGGCGTTAAGACTCGGGGACGAAGGTAAGACCGGAGCCCATCTGCTGTGCGCAAGTGGGTTGATGATAGAATTCTGTACAACCGCACCTACAACGGGATCGGGCAGCTGGGAGATGCGCGAGTGAGGGGTAAGCATCTGGTCCTTTATCATCTCACAGGCCCACAAAAGAACGATTCTTAGACCTTTCGGGACACATGAGGACAAAGAACTATAAAGGCACGCCGATACCCATCTTCCAGCTCATTTTCCAATCTACTGGCGACTCATCACCGAGCTCATTGACTAGCATAGCAAGCATCAGATCCCCAATATTTCTCGCCTAGCTCCTCCACCATGGCACCTCCAGCATCTCTGCCCACCAAACCTCTCGGCAAGACGGGACGACAGGTGCCCGCCCTCGGCTTCGGAATGATGGGCCTGAGTGCGGCCTACGGACCCTTCGGGTAAGCTGCTCTGTGTGTGCCTTAACTTGAGACACAGTTCTGACACTTTCCCAGTAATGACGACGAGCGTCTGGCGCTTCTGGACCGCGCCTGGGAGCTCGGCTATACGAATTGGGACACAGCCAACAGCTACGGCGACAGCGAGGTCCTGATCGGAAAGTGGTTAAAGCTGCACCCCGAGCGTCGTGCCGACATCTTCCTGGCCACCAAGTTCGGCATCAAATTCACAGTCAACGACAAGGGCGAGTGGGACATCTCGGCCGACAACAGCCCCGAGTTCTTCAGCGAATGCCTCAAAGGCAGTCTGGAGAAGATGGGCGTCGATTACCTTGATCTCTGCTACGTTCACCGTCTCGACCCCAAGACGCCTGTCGAGAAGACGATGGAGCTACTGGCCAGGGCAAAGAAGTAAGCTACCGCTCAAGTGTCTATCCAGGAGAGGTACTTGCAGCGCCCATACTGATAATTCTATGTCAGGGACGGCAAAATCAAAGCCATCGGCATCTCCGAATGCGCCTCCAGCAGCATCCGACGGGCCTACGCCGTCGCGCCCGTCGACGCCGTCCAGGTTGAGTACAACCCATTCCAGCTGGACATCGAGAACGAGACAGGCACGAACCTGCTCTCCACCTGCCGCGAGCTTGGCATCACCGTCTTCGCGTACGCGCCGCTGGGTCGCGGCTTCCTGACGGGTCAGATCAAGAGCACCGACGACTTTGCGCCCGACGACTTCCGCCGCGTCGTGCCGCGCTTCAGCCCCGAGAACTTCTCCAAGAATCTAGTGCTAGTTGACCGCTTTGTGGCCCTCGCGGATAAGAAGGGCTGCACGCCGGGCCAGCTGGCGCTCGCGTGGTTGTCGGCGCAAGGCGAGGACATCATCCCGATCCCCGGCACGAAGAAGCTCAAGTACATGGAGGAGAATGTTGGGGCGCTCAAGGTGCATCTCTCGAAGGAAGAGGTTCAGGAGATAAGGGAGGAAGTCGAGAAGGCCGAGGTCGCGGGTCACCGCAACCCGCCGGGTATGTTCACCGAGTATTCAGTGACGGTCGAGCTTTGAGGCGTCCTTGCAAGCGGTTTCTTCCGAAATTGGTCTGGATGAAATGAACTATAGATAATGCATAAAATTTTAGTGATTAGGGATATATATTGCTTAAACGGCTGAATCTATCTCTAAGCTTAAGGATCACTTATGATTATACAAAAAAAGAAATTGTATTAAAGACTTAATACCTTATTAATATCCACTTCATATCTAACCTCCATGCTTTTGCTAGGGTTTCAGAAAAAACCCCTCCCCCTGGTGGGTATGCCATGCAAGAGGTCGGCTGAACGTCCATTAACCTCTCCATCAACCATCCTCTCAAGTCTATACTAACTGGCTACGCAGTGTACGACGACCACGTTTCAGTCAGTGGTGGCAAACTCATCAACTTTAGGCGTAACAATGCCTCGCGTGTCTTTAATAGTCCCAACGGTGTCCATCAGATGCAACATAAGGGGGAAAGGCCATGGGAAGCTGGCGGTCCCAGCCTGAGACGCAAGCAAGGAAGTCGACCGCGCTTTGCACGACAAAGGGCTGGAGAATTAGACTCGGGAATAATTGAGCCTCTCTCCCCAGGGAGTTTACAAGATACCAACAACGCCCGGTACTATCTTAAGATGGGATGACTGATTGTCCTGAATGCGTCACCACGGTACCTAGGTAGCTCAAATCAGGTGACACCGCCGCTAGAGCGCGATGACCAAGACTGACTGCCGACAATTCTCTTTCCTAGGTTCTCAGGAATACCACTTTTCTTTCTATGGGAGTAATTAATCTGCCCACGCAGCTCCTTGCTGATAGAGAAACCCGCGTGTATCCCTGGGCAGAACCAGAAACGAGATTTGGGAGGAAGTAGTAGACTTTTGTGGGATCCTTTTCATGTTATACACGCTTATTTTATCCTTCCTGTCTGCTGCAATTCGCGCCGGTCGGTCGTGGCGCAAAGTCTATCGTTGTCGTGAGCTGGTACGAAGCCGTCAGCCTTGAGGCGCTGACACTGGCATTGGCGACTGCAGGCGCCGTCTTTGCAGCTTCTGGCGTCCACACCATGCTCTTGAACCCACAGCGGGCCATGATCTCGTTGATGTCGTCCATGTTGTCATCCTTGTCACTGGGCAACCCCTTCTGATCGATGCAGCTTGCACAAAGCGCCGTGGCGCCCCCGACGTCAAAGGTCTTGTTGGTGCACAAGCACTGCAGTTTCATGAGGTCTTCTACCTCCTCGTCATTATCGTCGAAGTCGGCGTCGACATCGCAGATGCCGCTGATCTCTGCGACAGGCCGGCAGGTATCGACGCAATGGGCAGGTACGTCGGCATAACCGAGCTGGAGGCCACCGCGGACTGCGGGCACAAAAGTGATGATGGCCGGAAAGAATGACGAGAGCCATCATATGGCCTTATTAAATAGAATATTTTGGAAGTATAATTATTGAAAGTCGACGCGGGAAGGACATGAAATTGTACTCTGAGTACCTGCGAGCCACCGTGGCGGGTCTGTGCTGGGTTCCGTACGTTCAAATGTAACAACGTCTTCAAGTCGTCGAACCTATTCTTCAGGGGCAGCGAGTATATGTATTAGGAAGGCACTTACAGGTATTACGTAGTATGCTCGTCCCATGTCACGTGCCGATTGTATCCCTGATGAATCTGTCACAACATCAGACTAAGCTATGCGTTGCTTGGTATACGCCCTACCCTACAACATATTTCACTGGGCGGAATCTGTAATCCTATGTTACGCTTTAAAACTCTAATTTGCATGTGTTCAAGTCATTGTCGGCGCTGTCTTGCAACAAGATCGGACATGCCGATACTGAACTTATAACATCTCCTATAGCGACTTTGTGTTCTATTGTCACACAAGCGTGTCCCGAGATAGAACAGCTAGCCTCATTAAGGAAGCCTTCGTTCGACCTAGCACTCGCTATTTCCGAAACGCTTTGGGTTGAACCCCAGCTGAGCTTGAAGCCGCAGCCCGATTCGAAATTCTGCTTCCACTTCACCAACTCCGCAATATCGGACAGGCCAATGGGCTGAGTATGGGTTGGGAACAAACGGGGAGACGGCAGCCGAGTGCTTGCACCCTCGGAACAACTCCGCCCCCCTTCCTCCCAGATCCAATGTCCACTTGGCATCAAGGATGTGCTGTATGATGAATTGTATAGCCAGCTGAACTCTGTAGGCAATGCGTGCGGTCCCATGTTCCCCGGCCACAGCTGGATTGCCATCGGCACTGATATTATATGTATTAAGAATAGAGGCATCCTTGACCTCTTCGCCCAAAATAGGCACATTCAAGACTTTATAGAGGGAGGAACCATACTTAGTGATGGCGATTTAAGTCACTCACATCTACAGAACGCACCTTAAAGGGACGCTCGCCAACATGATAGTCAATTATCTGTAACCTTCCAAGGTCCTCATTAAACGAAAGTTCTGACAGTAAAAGCCCACCGATCCCACGAGTACAAGAGCTGTTTACAACTCCTCACCGAGCCAAGAAAATGGCGCCACCCAACACCAGAAGCGGCAAGAAGCGGGCAGCTGAGAAGCCATCGCCGACCGATGCTGGATCTGGTACCAGCTACTTCAACCTCTACCCCAAGGCTGAGGGATACAGCGTTGTCCAGACGAATATCCTGCCAACCATAGGTAAGCCCGAACCCTTTGTGGGCCATGAAGAGATAGATGCACTGACTTCATGCTTCCACACAAAGGCAATGCAATCCAGATTGTTGCAGCCTTTGCCGTGGGCTGGCTGTCGGATGCAACGGGCAGTCGTGTCTGGACAGTTGTGCTTGTGCAAGTACTAGTGCTGGTCTCGAACATCATATTGACGATCTGGAACGTGCCAAAGGCGGCGTTGCTCGCTGCCTTCTACTTGAGCTACACTGGGGGAGCGGCACAGCCGGTGGTTATTAGCTACGGGCATGAGATCACACAGTGGAATTCAAACCTCAGACAGCTACTCGTGGCTACTGGAAACATCTTTACCTACACGTTCAGTGCTTGGATGCCCGGTAAGTCGATTCCCGCTAGTCTGTCGACAATAGATTTGCCTCTATCTCATTTATGGCCGAGATGCTACACATTTCAACAAGTGGTACTCTTTCCGACTTATGATGCGCCCAAGTACGATTACGCGTATCAAACACTCATCATGTTCGGCGTCCTTGCAGTGGGAGGCATATATTTGTTAGACTACTTGTATAAACGGGACATGTGAGTTGAAACCCAGCGTGAGATGATATCACCCGAGACTAGCTAACACTGGTCTAGCAAGCAAAATCCACACCTTTATGAGATAGAAGGTGAAGCTGAGACTGACAAAGACTTACACGAAGAGAACAATGATGATGGTTTGGAGCAAGAGCAAAATGCAATTGGGAGTCGGTAAAATGGAGAAACCAATGTTGTCAGGCTCTTAGGGAACCTTGAAAGGGTAATAAAGACGGGCATATCACACGCGCAGGGCCATTCAGCATCAGATGGGCATTGGGGGATCTTCATGGCGACACTTTTCTCTTCGACGGACTATCATTACGTCCACCCTATATAGACTTGGAAGATCAAGAGATCGAAGTTCGACAACGCCTCGTAGCGAATCAGTTGCCGCGAGGCCCTGTCAGGCTCAAGAGGGTAGAGGCTGGTTTCTTCCCAGGATAGAATGTGGTTGGGACAGGAGGGACCGTGAAGGACGTCGTGCTGGGGAAAGCGCTCTTTAGATCATTTGGCATGGTCGACGCGGCGTAGGCCGGCGCCGTCTTGATCGTCGTGTAGCTGGCGGCGTAGGAGGCAGTACCCGACTTACGCAGACAGGCTCCGTTGCCGTAGGCACTCTGGCATACCCATGTCACCTCGCTGCTTCCGTCGCTGGTCCAAAGGTTGACGTTGTCCACGGTGATGTCGTGGCAAGGGACTGAATCGTCGCACTGCAGTCTGATCGTGGGGCGCTTCGAGTCACTGTTGTAGCCGTGCCAGTTCCTGAATGTAAGATTGCTCAGTTGGACGCCGGCGGCACTATTGTCCTTTCCCCAGGCTTCGTTCACAGCCAAGATGTATGCACCGCCGTTGTTGATGATGTTTTCCCAGATGATCGAGTCCACTGTGCCGCTGCCGCCGTTTGTCTTGAGATACGCGCCGTCTGCTTGGTTCAAGTAGATGTTTCTGTATTGCACGGTGGATATCTGTGTATCAAGACCAAGAGAGCCGATTGCACATCCGCCACTTATGTTGCAGTGGACGTCCTCGACGAGGATGTTCAACGGGAATCTTCGAGAGTCGAAATGCGGACTTTAAAGCTACGGAGGGCCATGGTCAGGCTTAGCCCGGGCACGACTGTGCTGACAAGTGTGAGCGTTCAGACGCCAGATTCCGGATGGAAATGAAGGAAAGAGATTCGCATCTGGAGCTGATCTATACAAGCAGTAGAGGCAGCAGATTAGAGTGGAATAATGACACCAACAACTTTCAGGCGGCGCTTTGAAGTGCCCAGGATGAGGCAGTATTCTGCCGCCACACCTGCTTAGTCGGGATATATGAATAATATACTAAATCTGCAATGATCTTTCCCAACCTTTTTCGTATTTGGAGCTGATTTTATTTATTTGTAACAAGCAAGAGATCACCAGAAATGAAGTAAAGGAATTTCTAACGCTAGAAGAAAGCACGTCTAACTTTAAACCAAGTTCACGGACGTAGGTGACGTCTGAAAAAGTCCCCCTGTCGTCGGCGAGCAAACTGCGACCCACCGCTGCAATGCTCGCCGCCGGGTATGAACAGAAATTCATAGTCCTTGTCCTCATCGTTGAGAGCCTTGACCAACTGGAAAGTCGAAGCAGGATCGACATTGTCATCAAGCTCGCTGACAATCAGCATTAAAGCCCCCTTGATCTTGTTCGCATGAACCACATTCGACGAATCCTCATAAGACTTGTCCACGGGATATCCCATCCACTGCTCGTTCCACCATATCTTGTCCATCCGGTTGTCATGACAGCCCGAGTCGGCGATTGCGGCCTTGTAAAACTCCCCGTGGTGTATCAGTGCGGCCACGGCGCTCTGGCCCCCGGCTGAGCCTCCCATTATACCGACGCGAGACGCGTCCATCCACGGGCGCGTCTCTGCTGCTGCTTTGATCCAGGCGATGCGGTCTGGAAACCCCGCGTCTTTGAGGTTCTTGTAGCACATGTCGTGGAACTTCTTCGATCGCCAATTCGTTCCCATTCCATCTAGCATGACCACTACGTATCCCTGATCTGCCCATTTCCGCTGTTTGGACATGGCCGAGAACTCCTTTGGTGTGTGGAAGTCGTGAGGGCCGGCGTAAATATCTTCAAGAATGGGGTATTTCTTCGACGCATTGAAATCGGAGGGGAGGATCATCAACCCATGGATTGCCGTGTCGCTGTCTCGTCCAGGAGCTGTAAATCTTTCTGGAGCCGCCCATCCCTCTTCGAGTAGCGCGTTGGCGTCCTCTGCTTTCCCTTCCAAATCCAGAATCTTTGATCCCGTCTCAAGACTTCTCAGCACCGACTGAGGTGGGAGATCAACCCGGGACCAGGTATCGATGAAGTAACGGTTATCGGGAGACAACGCCCATCGATGACTTCCATCGCCATCAGTGAGAACCTGGAAACCATTTCCAGCAAAGTCGATGCGAGCCAAGTGCGCGTAGTAGGGGTCTTGAGCAGCGACCATGCCATACCCTTGAAACCAGATTTGGCGCTTCTTTTCGTCAACCTGGGTGACCGAGTGAACATTCCACTCCCCTCTCGTGATTTGATTCACCAACTGACCGCTCTTCAAGTCGAACAGATATAAGTGATTGAACCCATCCCTCTCGCTGGCCCATAGCATGTTGTCCGTATCTTTAATCAGACGATGATAGAGTTTGCTAGAGTAGTCGATGAAGGTGTCACTACTCTCCTCGATCAAGGCTCTGACCTCGCCACTTGTTTTGATCCCTATCAGACGGAGATGCTGGTGACCGCGCCCATTAAATATGAAGCGGTACTCCAAACTGTCCTCGCTCCAGCCGATGTCCTCAAGCTCGTATGGATTCTCGAACAGAGCGTTGCTAGTAATCACCTCACACTTGGACTCCAGATTGAACAATCGAGGACGGTCGATCCTGACGCGATCGCCTGGTTTAAGGTATCGAACTGTCCTCATCTTTGGCTGAAGCTGGTCGGCAGGCGCCGACTCACGGAGATGCAGGTCATGCTCCTCTTCCGGCGTGTACTGCCACACGACGACAAATTTCTTGTCCGGGGACAGAAAGACTTTGGCGCTGTCGTAGGGGTTTTCCTCGCTGCCATTAGATGATAGCTTCGTCTCACGACCCTCGGCGTCTAGTAGCCACACATTGTGGTTTTTCACCGAGACACGATTTGTCGCAGTCTGCGTGCTCTTCCCATCCTTACTTCGCGCTTCAGGTTCGGCGGCATCCATACTTGCATTTCCCTCATCCCCACCCTTGCATCTTGCCTCTGCCATGGTACTCTCATCGATAACGATATGGTCTTCGCTTTCATCTGGAGCAACGTATATTGCTTTGACCTCATTTGTCTCCTCGTTGACGAGTTTCCAAACATGGCCTGCAAATGTCCGCTGCTCGTATGACTCCCCGTGACCGACTTTGTTATAGAACTTTGCTTTGCTGTTGAAGTCGATCCAATAGATCGAAAGGGGCCCATCAGTGTGATTGACAAACGTGACAGTCGTGCCCTGGCTTCGCGACCGAGAAGGGCGTTCCTTGGCGAGAAGTTGGTCTCTGGCCTGGTTGAAGCTGCCATCCCATTCTTTGAGAATGTTGTTGGAGCCATATTCCCATTTCCTCTTGTTCCAAACGAAACGTGTCGATGATCCGTCTGGAGAAAGCTCAATCACAGTGAAGGGCAGCGAGTTCGGGCTTATTTCCTGTTCCTTCTCTGCCGATTCGACTCGGCTTTTCAGCGCGCCGGCAAGGCCCTCATGGTTGAACGCTGGTCTACGAGTCTGACTGACACAATCGACGAGCATGAATTCATATTTCCCAGGAGAAAGGTAATGGCGGTACCAGAATGAATCCCCGCCAGGAAGCCAATGGGGCGACACCGCAGCCCTCTTGATGTATTCTTCTTCCATGACGAGTGTTGGAAAGAGGTGATGGTTATCTTCAGATACTCATGAGAATGATCGGTCTCATCAGTATTGTGAGATTTTAGTGCACTTTTAGGCAACAATGCCCATGAGCTTCGGACGGTCCACCGCCTCCGCTTACATGTCAGCTATGCTGCATTGCACGCAACTGAAATGGCTCCAAGCAATCAGGTGAACCAATCAAATCAAAAGTGGCTGCTTCATCAATGCGTCGATTGAATTCATTGTGGTACTACATAGCTGGAGAGGTCACTGTATTTTGCGAACTGAGGGGCTGTTCTTCCGGAGCCATGAGAAGCCGATGGGACCGGAGGTCGGGTGGAGGACCGGGGGGACCAGTTGAACGGGCGAGGTCGGCGACTAGTGTTAGGCCGCAACTGACTGATGATTGCTGTGCCGAGCGCAAGTGCTGTGCCGCAAACGCTCTGTCACAACTGCGGCTTAAACTACACTTTACAAGGTACTGGCACGGCTTGACTACTGCTAGCAAATCCAGTGTGACGGTTCAAAGACCAGAGATTCGAATCACTTGGAAATGTCCCATACCATTAGAGGTACTAGCTCTTTATTATTTCTAGAAAACACTCACCTTTTAATAACTCATATTAACTAGCACTCCCAATAGACTGTATTACTGACATGTATTCGACCTGGATAATTTCCACGTGCCTATTCTGCAACGGTCGTCAAATGCTACAGCCAGCTCTTTCGGGATACATACGAGTCTCGTGGATGCCTCCAAACACGGGCATACGACCACCGTCGAGTGGTTGCTCACCGCCTGGAACGGGTGGGATGCCGACACCACGCGAAAGGCGCTTCTGGAGGCTGTGAATCAGTGGCAGGCGCAGGTTGTCGATGTGCTGCTGCGGCATGTCGAGTACGAGGAGGTGGTGCGGTATCAGATGCTGGAGAAGGCGTGCGGGTTGCAGGCGCTGCTGGCTGATGGCGGGATGCCGGGGAATGAGCCCGAGGACCAGGAGAGGCAGCGCTCACTTGTGTCGAGACTTATCAATACCGGGCTGGATCTGAACCATCGCGATCAAGTCTCTGGCCTGCCAGTTTTGCATATAGCAGCTAGTAATGTTGTTCTCGGTGGCGCTCTCAGTGGGTTGCTGGCCAGTGGTGAGCTCAGAACCCCTTCACTATTCCGTGGCGGATATGGACAAGCTAACAAGTACGTGTTTTCTCATCTATAGGTGCTGACCCCAACGTTCAAGATGAAGAGGGCAGACTGTGATGCACAAGCTCACTTCTCCCCTTCCCACAGGGAAGATGAGAGGCCATATCACCCTCCATAGCAGACACCCCTTGATACCCCTCGACTATGGCGCGTCTGTCTCCATCGGCGACGAGAATGGCGTGACGCCCTTGGCATGACGCCCTTGCATCTTCTGGCATCATTTCCATTTCCTCGCGAGACTTTTTGGCCGTTCCTCAGTCACAAACGAGAGGCTCAGTACGAGTCCCTTGTCCAATCCAACAACCACGGCGAATCACTCCTCCACTACGCTGCCGCCGGTGCCAATTTCGAAGTCTTGCAGTACCTTCTCGAGCTTGATGTGAATGCATCCACATTGTCAGAAGGTGCCGAGGGCATTGATGCTGAGACTTTGAGACAAATCCGTGAACAAGGAGGCCTCGAAGTGAATGCAGCCAACAGCAACGGCTGGACACCCTTCCTTTGCGCACTCACCCAGACAGTTCAGGCACCAACAGAACGAAGGCTAGGCTCCAGGTCGATAGTCCACGAGAAGTCCGGAGCAGGTGCCCTACGGGCAGCACAACACTTGCTCTCAGCCGGCGCAGATCCCAGCCTCGTCTCTGAAGAGGGCTGGGCACCGTTGCACAGCCTCGCAGGCCACGACTTCCCAGACACCCTGGATGCCGAAGCCGCGGCCGCGCTGGCAGAGGACTTGATAGCCAGAGGCGCCGACGTTAATGCACGGGCGCCAGCGTTTTCCTACGGCTGGGAGGGCGGCGCGAGGTACGAGAGAGTACCATGGCAGTGGCGGCTTCCTTGGGGATTCCGTGGGGCCAAGCTGATGGCTACGTACCCCGGTGCAGCGAGGCGAGGCATCACGCCTCTTCACTGGGCCGCGGATAATGGGTGTGTCTGTGTGGCTAGGGTTCTGTTGGCCCATGGTGCTGATCCACTGGCGGAAGATGAGAACGGTGCTACGCCGGAGACGACGGCGAGGTATTCCATGAGGACTGGAGCGTCACTGATGGAGGAGATGGCGCAGTTACTGAAACGAGGATGAGGCGAGACTGAACTCAAGCCTTTCACTATTTCTTAGAGGCTCTGCTATAGGATTCATTGCGCCAGGGACCTTTGTACAGAATATAGGAGGGCTTTGGCTTCCAGTTATACTTAGATGATAGGTACTGACCCTCTCTCACCAGCTTGGAGCTTTTGAGCACTTCTTACAAAAGTTGTCTATGTGCATGTCATTTGATCGCTTCGGACCATATAATCATGATACGACTAGCTGTGGTAAACTTTGTGGATGGGACGGTCGAAACCGATGGCCCACCGATGGCCCCTGAAGTAGTACTGTCCATCATGTAAGCAGGGATAGTCCCTGTGCTGGCAACTGTAATCCATCGAAACGACTGGACGAAATCCGGAAGTTAAAATTAAAGTTTTGAACATCATACCGTAAGGTCCCAGGTTCGCGTTGATGATCAACAGCTGAGACCTCCTGCTTGGGCAGTATTGGTCCCGGATACAACGCCTCCATAATAGCTTTCGGACCCGATTAGAGCCGTACTATGCACCGCAGCTCTGACTTATTACAGTCACCACCAACAAGGCACAGCGTGCGCCCTCCTCACTCTTTGGGTTAACACGATGTGATTTTGATTTGTTATTCTGGACGCTCGATCCAAATCTTCGGCCCGCCCGCAACGAGCGCCCAATGTATGTACAAGGCTAGCTGGTGTCCACTGATGTTTTTCTTCGGCAGCTTTTGGTGGTAGCTAGTTTCCGTAGGAGGCATCATAGTAGTTGGCCCGATCATATCGTGTATACGCCTAAATAGTGTACGTGGTGTACCTGCTGCACTCTGTCTTGGGTTTGAGTGCCAGCGCGAGATTGAATGGTAATTGTGCTCCCCAAGGATCCCCAGCGGTAGCAGCAAGCATCAGCCGCAGCATCGATGAAACACTCCCGGCACCTTCACGGCCGGCTCGCTTGTGTAGCTTGCGCTATGATCCTGCCCCGAGACACGACAAAAAAGCTTCTTCATCTTTCGAAACCTGATTCGCCACGGGCTTAAGCATAAACTTCATAGGGCGTAGTGTCAGGAAAGCTTGACCCAACTTGGGCCAGCTCGAGACGAACACCACCGCTTGCTGTCACCACCACCACCAGCACACACATCGGACGGCACCTGGAGCAGTACAGCCCTCACCTGGATATTTAAGCTGACCCTGCCCCTTTGACTTATCCGAACATCTCTCCCATCCTTGGCAAGCCTCGTCTTATCATTCATTCTCTAGTGTCAAGCTTCTCGCCAAGAACCTCGATACTACAGTCTCTTCTACATCTGACGCAACTGGTTGCGCAAAAGCCTCTCATTATTGACACTCATTAATACATTTACATTAGCACACTCTCTGAGGTGTATCTCGTTGTCTCATACTCGACCTATCTCGTCTAATACCAACGTCCTTAATTTTCAAGATGAAGTGCACCGCCGGTGTCGTTCTCGCCATGTGCGCTGCCGTCCTGGCCAACCCGATGCCCAAGAATGGCAACAACGCTGCCGCCGCCGCTGGTGGCAACAACGGCAACAACAACAACAACAACGCCAATGGAAACGTGGACGCCGCTACGCAGCAAAAGGTGGCCGGCACCATCCAGAACTGGCTCAATGACATCGCCGCCGTGAACAGCTTTGTCGACACGGCCGGCCAGCTCCAGAACAACCAGGACATCAGCGACGCCGCCGCCCAGGCCTTCGTCGCCGCCCAGGACGAGGGGACCTCCAACACCGACCTCGGCAACGACGTCCAGCTCGACGCCTCTGGCCTTGCCGCGTCCCAGGCCCTACAAGACCAGTTCAACATCATCGGGCCGGCGATCAACGACACCATCTCCAACCCCCAGAACCTGCAGAAGAACCTCGACGCCATCAACGGTGCTCGGTAAGCCACCCACCTGACCTTTTCCTTATTACTGTGAATGGTTCTTCACTGACTGACACGTGGCGGAAAATAGCTGCCCTCCCCCCGCCGGCAACGGTGCCATCTTTGAGGAGGCCGCCGTCCAGCAGTCTGCCGCTGCCGCCGCCGGCATCCAGGCCGCCACCCCGGCCCTGCCCAACGCCTGCCAGGTCCTGGCCCAGAAGCAGGTCGACGCCGCTGGCAAGAACAACGACAACGACGCCGATGCCTCTGGTGCCGACACTGCTGACGCCAACGCTGCTGATGCCAACGCTGCTGATGCCAACGCTGCTGATGCGAATGCTGCTGATGCGAACGCCGACTGCGCTGGCGCTGCTGCTGGTGCTGCCAAGGGTGCCGCCAAGGGCAAGCAAAACTAAGAAGTGTTAAACGATAGTAACCTGACGGGTACTAGGCAGGACGGTGGAAGATGTGGAGTAGGGCTTTATGAGGCTGTATCTGAAAGCCGGTATGGGTAATTCAGGGTGATTAGTACTACGGAGTTTGGGTAGTCCCAGCAAATTTTCAAAGATTCTACATCAGAACGTTTTCTTCAGGAGCAGTTTCTGAACTTGATATCCCTCTCGGTACCCTGTCAGGAGGTCTTCTTTGTCTCTGCGTAGTATCTGTAGTGCTGCTTCTGTAACCTGACCTCGTCTGGGATAAACTCGTACGAGCTGAACTGTCTTCGTAATATTTTTTATTTTATTTTCTCGTGACAGTAAACCCTCAGTCGCAGGTAAATACTCTGTCCTAGTTCCTTTAAACTATAGCAAATGCCATGTCGACATAAAGAAACTGGCACATATTAGTTGATTCAAGCTGAAGATAATTTAATGAATGAACTTACTAAAGAACCAACTCTATAACCATTCGTGGCATACCCCTTAATTACATCTGCAGGCTCGTATGCGGCACGGCTCGGCCAGATGCGCTGAACCAACAGTCTGCGGGCGGGGTAGTCAGAGATGATGGGTTATACAGCATCGAAAGGCCTCTTCAGGCCGGCCTGTCCCAACACTGCCTCGTCACTTCCAGATTCCCACCTGCGGTCTTGTGGCGACATTTGTTGGTCAACTTTATCAAGAAAGAAGTTGGGAAACCCCTCTATCTTGCTCACAACACCATCTCGTTTTCTAACCTGGTATTCCGATTACGCCTTGCTTGAACGTCTGGTCAGCTTCTGGCCCGACATCATGCTCAGCCACTTCAAGCTACTGCATCTCCTGCCTCTGTATATCGCCACAATCCATGCGGTTGGCGGCTTTGTCTGGCCCTTGGTGGGCCCCAACGGTGCGATCCTGGCATCCGGGCTGCCTCAACGGGTCGCCGACTTACCGGCTGCACAATCTGTCTTCACTTTGGCCTCTATCCGCCTCAGCGCCCTAGGTTCCCTTGTCTGGATCTTCTATCTGCAACGCAAGCTGAAAGAAGTCGATACCGTCTACATCGTCATAGGCATTTGGCTTGGGTTTGCAGACACTTACGCCCATTGGATGGAACACTTACGCCATTGGATGGAGGGTGAGCCTCGGCAGGCTGTCTCCCGATTCTTGGGCCGGAGCTCGCTATCACATGAGTTCGGCACGGAAATTAATGGCATCGAGAGATGTTGTCAGGTGGCAGATGGCATGCTATTCGATTCATGCAAATTGATTACCTCAGGAGCGGGGGACGCATGTCAATTCATTCTCTATCACTCAAATTGGAATCGGTGGATTTCAAGTTGGTGTGACTTGATGCGGGCACATGGCGACTCAGCTCCAAACTCTGAAGTCCAGTAATTAAGGAAGCCAAGGAACATCCTATCATGCAATCATTCAACATTATGACGCGTGAAATCGACAGTATAATCTACCTTATGTACATGTGGTCTCAAACCTCTCAAGTCTCTCACCAACGCAAGTTTAGTTCGGGGTGAGCTTCAAGAGCCGTCCGCTAGTACCATCCTCGATGACCCAGATGGCGCCGTCCTTGTCCTCCCGGATACCGCGCATGCGCTTACCCATTGAGATGCGCTGAGCCTCCTTGGCCGTGTTGTCACTATTGATGGTCACACGCACAATCCCCTGCGCGCTGAGACCGGTGATGAGGGCATTGCCCTTCCAGCTGGAGAACAGGTTGCCCTTGTAGATGATCATGCCGGCCGGGGAGATGACGGGGACCCAGAAGGCCTTGGGCGCGGCGATGTCGGGCCGCGTGCTGTGCTTGGGGATCTGCCGGCCGTCGTAGTGGCTGCCCTCGGACACGACCGGCCAGCCGTAGTTGGCGCCCGACTCGATCAGGTTGAGCTCGTCGCCGCCCATGGGCCCCATCTCGACCTCCCAGAGGCGCCCCTGCGCGTCCCAGTCGATCCCCAGCGGGTTGCGGTGGCCCAGCGACCAGATCTGCGCCTGCACGGCGCCCTGGCTGGCGAACGGGTTGCCCGCGAAGGCGGTGCCGTTGTCGTACAGCTTGATCATCTTGCCCAGGTTGGCGGTCATGGACTGCGCCGGCGTCATCTGGTTGATCTCGCCGGACGCGACCCACAGCGCGCCGTCCGGGCCGAAGAGCAGGCGGCAGGCGAACTGCAGCCCGCCCGATGCCCTCTGCGAGTGCCGCCAGATGACCTCGAGGCCCGACAGCGCGCCGCCGCCGTTGGCGTCCAGCGTCAGCTTGGCCCGCGCGACCGCGCCGCCCGCCCCGCCGGTGCCGCTCTCGGCGTAGCTGATGTACACGATGCTGTTATTAGCGTAGTTGGGGTGCAAGGCGACGTCGTGGAGGCCGCCCTGGCCACCGTAGGCGACGGTGGGCACGCCGGTGATGGTGCCCTGGGCCTTGGTGGCCGGGTCGACGAGGCGCATGTTGCCTCGTCTTTCGTTGACGAGGATGCGGTTGTCGGGCAGGAAGGCGATCGCCCATGGCTCGTTGTGGGTGGTGATGACTGTCGACGTGAATGGCTGCTGGCGAGTGTCCAGCTGTTGCGATGGGACGGCCAAAGCACCGGCCACCAACGCCAGAGCGTAGGTGACAGAAAGTCCGAGATGCATCATTTTGGGGCGACTTTTGCTTCCCAGTGTATTGTGTTTCTAGAAGATCGAGGGTTGAGTGGCTAACATCGTATAGAAAGTCTTGGCTGTCTGTTCCCCCAAGCCTGAGGTAGGTAGGTATATAAGGAACTGGAGGACTCGAGCAACCTCCTGTCCAATTTCAGGCTATTCCCGGCCTTCAATAAGTTGATGTATATCAGGTTAATCAGAGGATCTGCGCTTTACAGCCCCGGTACCGGTAGAAACGAGTTTCCCTCTTGTTCCTATCGCCGGTCCCCTGTTGAGTCTCTATGGGTCGGCAGATTGGCAAAAGTCCGGCATGGCATCCCCACCCTAATTGGGCACGACCTCTTCTCTGTTATGATGACTACCGACGCCAAGACGGGTCATATGCTGTGATTCTCTGGGCATCAATCTATAAGTCATCAAACTCACCACTTTTCTGTCTTGCGCCATGCGGGGGTTCTCCATCCGTCTTGGCTATCTTGGGATGTGTGATATCATTGTTGAGTATAACAAAGTCAAGTACTTACTATACCATGCCGTGTTCTCGATCTCGCCGACCGGGACATGCTCGATATAGCTTGATATCTCGGTCTTGCTATTGCCGACGTCAGATCGGCAGGTGAACTTTCTAGTATCGAAAGGTCATTTCATCAAAAGGTCAGAGTTCGTCAATTCAGTGGCTATATTCCAGCTGTTTGTTTATTGACAGGTAGTACCAGAATAATTAACTACTGTTAAATGGAGACATAAATATAATTAAAACCAGAGATACTGTCGCTGATGTACCGGAATATGGATTGACGGGCATGGAGCGAGACTTGTAAGATAGAGGCGCATTGATTTTCCAAGGGACACAGGAGACTAAGTCCCCCCATCCACATTCAGCACCACCCATGATTTGGACACTGGATAATAATAGACCATAAGCAAGACTCGTCAAGTTTGTGTGTATAGTTGTAGACTAATAATGGTAAATTCACAGTCCTTCCAACACAGCCCTTTTATGCCTTCTCTACATCTTTCACTTCCGGCCAAGGGGGCCCAGATTATCATTGATATACTGGATCTGCTCCTCCCGGTATGTGTCGGCGATGGGAGTGGCCAGAGCGGTCGAGTTAACATCAAAGGCCATCAGTTGTGGCTCGGCGAGCGAATAGGCAGGCCAGTCGGGACCAACTATGGATAGTGAGGAAGACATCCAATAATTAAGAAGTAGAAGAGGGAGAAGACGAACAAGCATGGGGAAATATAAACATACCTTTGCCACTATTAGGGTCCAAATCGGCAATAAAGCCCGCCCAGTAGCGAGACATAAGGTTAGCCACCCTCGTGTGCTCCTCGGGTGCCGCGGCGCCGACGTTGGAGAAGACGTAGGCGACCTCGAGGAAATGCGTGACGCCGACGGCGCCCGAGACACCGACCGGGAGCACGTTGAACAGGTAGGACCAGCCGGGCACGCCGTTACGCGCCCAGGTCTCGGCCGTGAGGCGCCGCGTCGCGTGCCACACCAGGTCGCCGCAGAAGGCGGCGATGTTCTCCCGGAGCCAGCGCAGCGCCAGGTGCTGGTCCTTGTAGCCCAAGTCCCCTGAGCCGGCCTCGACGAAGTCAGATCCGTACATGAAGCCGTACAGCTGCAGGCGGCAATTGAGGTTGACCCCGATGAAGGGCTTGCCCGCCGCGACGGACTGCTCCACGATGAAGGACATGTTGTACTGCGCGTCGCGGTTCGAGCCCGTAATGTGGGCGCCGCCGTGGATCCAGACGCCGACGGGCAGCTGCACATCCTCCATGCCATGCAAGCAAGTAATACCCGCTCTTTTCTCCGAAACATCCTCCTTGGCTTTCGTCCAACTGTTCGGACAACAGGATATCATCTTTAGAGTAGGCTCTGTATTCGCGTTCTGGAGCTGCCGTCCGTAATTACGAGACGGTACTCCTCAAGTCCCTCCGTCGACTCAGTGCAGCTCTGCTGTAGATCAATCACTTCGCCGCAGAATTGGGCATCCCAGCGAACTCAACTCATGGCTGGCCGCGCAGACACTCGATGCCACTGACGATACAACAGTCTGTGTGGGACCTAGGCCATCTCGCTCAAAGCATGGCATATTGACTACTTCCTGCTGGGCCAATTTCATACTTTTTACTGGCAATGCCTTGGCGACAGAGAAGGTATAAGTAAGAGCCTTTCTGCGCCAATTCGCGTGTCACGTCTGCTAATGTCATTCTTTCCTACTCTCATCGCATGTAACAGAGCCTTATCAAACCAATATTTCGAGCTTACTCATTCAAAAATAATGGCTGGATCACTCCCATTCAGCAGCATCGAGGTTCCCGTTCCCGGATTTGGCGCCATGGGGCTCAGTTCCTCCATGGGCTCCAATCTCAGCCTGGAAGAGGCTGATCCAGTTCTCCAGAAGGCCATCGACCTGGGCTGCACCTTTTGGGACACCGCGGTACGTTGGCTATATTAGTCAGACATGGGAATACTTTACTCTTGAGAGCTGTTTGACTTGCGAACATACGTGAAATTGACCGAAATGGGCGATCTTTCGCCGCGGAAACCCCCTTCAACTCACGGCGACGAGCGAAACAAAGCCCTCTCGCCGCGTCGCGCCCGCCAGGCATTGGTCGAACGCAGCAGATCCGCACATCCGACGACGACCCAGGGCCACGAGGCGACGAAGTCTTCGGTGACCTCCCAGCCGGTGGGGTCCCACGGGTCACGCCAGACCAGCAGGCCCGGGTTGTGTACCGGCGCCTGGCCGCGCATGGCGTGGCATAGCTCCTCCTCGTCGAACGAGTCAGCATCGCGGCGGAAGATGTTCTCGCGCATGGCCGGCATGGGGAGCAGGTCGATCCACGGGTGGTGCATCGTCGCGCGCTGCAGCTCGGTCGGCTGCAGGGCCGTGGGGAGGAGCTCGACCTGGCCGCCGGCGGCACGACCTGCCGGCAGCCGGGAGGGGCCGTGGGGCCCCCTGTTAAAGGGCGAGAGTGCCTCGTTGTCCATCTCTTCATCCGAGAGGCCCAGGACCGCCATGTTGGCGAACAGCGCCTTGATGAAGTTGTACTGCGACACGCTGGGGAGGAAGCTCAGCGCTCCGATGCGGGCTGTGTAGCTGCGGGTCGCGAAGGACTCGAAGCCTTGCGTCAGCTTCTGGTTGCCCTCCCAGCTGGGCTCGAGGATCCGGACTAGGTTGATCACTTGGATCGTCGCTTCGGTGATCTCGACCCATTGAGAGTCGTGCGATTGCCCAGCCAGCACGGCCCGGAAGCCGTATCTCGCCGTCGGCCTTCGTCTCCGTATTTGTCTTCCGAGGTGCCCCCTTTCTTCTTGGCTCCTGTCACATCGTCAGCGCTGCCTGAATCGCCGGGCGAGTCTCCTCACGTAAGGCGCGCTGATTGCGACGATTCTGGATCCTCCTCCTCTCCTGTTGATTCGTGACGCCCAGCCAATCGTCCTCATCCTTGGCCCAGATCTTGTTGTCGCCTAGGGGGAGACGGGACGGGCCCTGTTCCTGCATTGCGTCAGCGGAGAAGTGCGGATACCTGTCGATGCCGTGGGATTTGACAAAGACGGGAAATGGACCTGGGATTCATGTATGTTGATGACAACTGCATGTGAACTGAAACTGGATTGTTCATCCACTTGAGCACCGTTGCGGCTAATCCTCGCCTATTTACTTGCTGCTCCTGATTCGCCGGGGCTGTTTCTTGGCAAATGCATGTTGATGACAGCCCCATGAGAGCCAAGATCGGCCGGGAACTAGGTAGATAAGTAGGTACCTATGTGCCGTCCTATCAGGCAGAGTCATAGGGTTTCAAACTGCTTCAATAAAAATGGAAAAAGATTCATTAAACACAGTTTCTGTTACACCGGGTTTTGATAAGGGTTTCAATTTTTGGGCAGGTGAAAATCAGCAAGTTCACAATGCTATCAAGTGCCAGCGCTTGAGCGTCAGTACAGTGGCTGGACAGAAGTTCCGCCACAAGGGAACTCCGCAAGGTTTATATCTAATTATTTGAACACAACTTGACAATCAGTAGAAAATCAAAAGTTGTAATATTTAAAATAAGAACTCTAAAAGCGAGTGGATGACGACCACAGGAAGTCCAAGGACATGAGAAAACTCTGTCGTTAGATGTGCTTTTCACTATCCACCACCTGGGCAGCTTGAATCTCCCCAAAGGGCCTAATCTCACTTCCCCTTCTCAGCCTCCAGCAATCGAGTCAGCCTCACCGCCGTATTAAAATATCCCCAGTCCATCTGTGCACATAAAAACTACGCGTAAAGCCCCTCGCTCTGCGTCCAGAAAGAGACCGCAGCTCATACTGTTCATCTAAAGGATCTACCTCTCAGCACGCTCGTTCCACTTCCGCTTGTTTGTCTCGACCCATTCTGCTTCATCCGGAGTCGTATCCATCCCCTCTTCCGGCCGAAGCCAAGGCCAGCAGAGGCCTGCGTCGAATTTATCAAACCCGCCTTCCCCGCCGAGTTGGCCGAGGGATTCCAGCATGCGGTCGTATCCTGCCAGGATCTCTTCACCCTCTGCATTAGACGCGGCTTATCAATCTGTGGGGTTGGACCAGGGATCCGGAAGTATCAGAGTCAGACTGGCAGTTAGGGACGGGAGGTTGAGCCTCCCCTTGACCCGCTTTATTGTTTCCCTCCAGCCCAAAAGGGCGCTGTGTCCTTCTTTAGGTCAGGTTACGGTGCCCTACATATGGTAAACGACCGTGAGGAAGCGCAGCTGGCCTGTTAATGGCGCCGTCTAGCAAGACACTCGCCGCAAAACGGAGAAATGGGTACGCGCCTGTTGGCGCCTGCCCTGGAGATTTGCAGTTGTAGTCATAGATGAGGAAGAGGTTCTAGGAGAACACCACGGCTTGAGCTTCAATGTAGAAGACGCGAAATGGGAGCAAGAGGCCTCACAGCGGCATCCAGCACTTGCATTACGAGGATAAGGCGGAGTGCTTGACGGGGCAGAAGCACCCCAGCATGGGGGCGAGGGGGGTCAGCCAGCAGCGACTGGCAGCCGTGGCGCACAACCCACACCTCATCGCCGGAGTCAAAGTCGAAACAATGCATACGGCTGACTCGGAAGACACGCCGTTGCCTGTGCCATGTGATCTCTTTCCAGGGCGCGACGAGGTCCGTGTAATTCAGCATCTGCAGACGTAGCTCCGGTGGAAGCGCCAAGAGCCACGAGCCAAGCGATGGCCGAGAGCTGGTGGCGGGCGAGCAAGAGCTCGGCTCTGGGCCTTGAGGGTATGGAATACCACAGGTCTTGAGAGGTGCACCTTGCGCGAGTCTGTTCAGTTCAGGTGTTTGGTGATTGCGGTCACCAGCAAATGAAAAAGATAACTGCCATGCAAAGCAGACTTTAATTTCGCGGCGGGTATCTTCCTGGACGACAACGTTCCCAGGGGCTGCCTCGACCTGCTGCGCTTCCTGGAGCCAGCTTGCACTCTAGACGGGCCTAAAATCAAGCCCAAAGAAGGACATACCGCCCATTCAAACTAGAGGGAAACAATAAATTAAATCAAGGAGGCGCTTAAGCTCCCAGTCTTCATAATTACTTTAATTATAATCTTTTTAAATCCTTAATTTAATCCTATATATTAATTAATTATATTTAAGGTAAATATAATGATATAGCTTTTATATATTATTAAAATAATTAACAAGCATGTTAATTATTATAATTATTTAACTGGGAGGTAAAATTTATTAGCAGTAATTTTATTTACCGTTTTAATAATTAAAGCTTTAACTATATTATATTTTTTAAATTAATTAATTCTTAATTTATTTATTATTTACTTAACTTTTAAATTATCCCTTTTAAGCTTATTTATTAAGTTATATATAACTTAATATATTAAATTATTTTCTTTTTTTAAAGAAAACATATAATAAGTTACTTCTTTTTTACTCTTATTTTTTAATTTCTTTTAAATTCTTTTAAACTTTAATAATAAAATAACAAATTTAATAAAGTATAATAAAATTATAATTTATATTTTTATTTATTTTATTATAATTATTATTTTTACTTTTTTAAAACAATCTTATAATATTTTTATAAAGAATATTTAAATATTTTAAAGTAAAATACTTTTTAATTTTAACTTTTATTAAAATTAAGTTTAAAGTTAAATATTAATTGTAATAATAACCTACTTAATAAGGGTATTCTTAAGAGCTTATATAAAATGTATATTAATACAAATGAAAAGAGATTACGTTTTTAATTAAGATTATAGCAACTAGTATAATCACAGAGAATCCGGTCCTGACAAATCCAGTGATGAAAGTAATGGACAAGGTCCTCAGGTCAAGACTTGAATTCCATGTAAAACGTGTCCAAGTCCTACATTACCTGTCACAAGTCAAAGAACTGATGGATCATGTTGATTCCAGTTCTATCACCATAATGTTTGGCCTCTGGCCAATCAGAATTCCGTGGGAAGAAGCATTGCATTAAATGCACAAATTTGATTGTAAAGAGACTTAAATATTAGATCCCCAGCTTGGAAGGATGTGCATGATTGGAAGCACTAGAAGGCAACAACAGCTCTCTCAATTGCAAACAGGCTCCAGACCACTGGTGGGTTCTTTATGTGGGCAGCCGGCCTCAGGCGGCCCTGTTGCCTCCAACCCGCATGACGTGCGGCACAATCAAAAGGCAACAATTTCCACCGACCCTGATTCTACCACCTTTGTCACCACTGCACCTTGGTCCTCGACAGGCTCAAAGTGTGCAAACCTGAGTCTAACCACAATGGCTGACACGGACGAACCCGACGTTTCGCAGTTGATGCACGTGGGAATGCTGTTGCGCTGTTTCTTGTGCCACGAAGCACTCCCGCAGCCAGGCTGGAACACGAAAGGGACTTATCCGGAGTGGAAAGGTCCTCTGGTCTCTGGTATATTCATCCCCAAGACTGTGACCAGAATACTCGCTGACTCTTGTCTGAAAGTGTTTCCTTTCCCAGCGCAAGATGGATCTGTCAGACAGCAGTTGCGCTCCACCCACATGCAGAAGATCAAACAACGCCACCCGTACAAGATGCGGTTTTGGTCAAGCAACACCCTAGCAAAGGAGCTGTCGATTCGGCCCTGTGATCGACAGACCCTGTGTGGGGACTATTGTCCGAACTGCGGACCAGATCGCATGGTCTGCCTCTCGCACAGGGACTGTTGGAAGGTCGCGTTCTCGATCTCTCATCTGACATTTCCAGATTGGTCTCGCTTGGCTGCCCAGACACGCCCATTTGCGATTCGAAGATGGGATAGCTCCATGGGGTGCCATGACTACCCAGGCACGATTGTTCCTTCTTCAATGCCTCCCGACCCCGACTTGCTCCATGTAGGCACTCCGCTGGGAGAACTTCTGTCCAAGGTTCGTCTTCTACCTGCTGAGCTCCAATTTCAAATTATGAGCCTTTTGAAAGGCACAATGGTCGCCTCTCTGCTGCAGGCAAAGACATTCGTCTCAGAGCTACTTCCTCGCCTGCGCACTCGACCCAACTGGACACTTGAACCGGAGATGAAACCTCTGCGAGGAGGCTGGGGACAAAGCGGTGCTATCCTATCTTCCTATTCGACGGAGATCATGGGCCGGCCGTATCTGAGCGACTTAGCCCTCAAACCACTCAAGGAGTCTACGGCGCAAGTAATTGTAGAGAACAAAGCTGTTCGGGGACTGCAGTTTGCTCTAGGCAGGTTCGGACTCCGGGGTGTTCGCATCTCATACGAGGATGTATCCTTTTCCCCGTGGCTGGGCGATCCAACATCTTGCTGGGTAGGAACCGTTCGTTGCTCCGATCTCTCCAAGCTGAACGTCGTTACAAATGTGAGTTATCTCTAGGTCCCGATCTCATTTGAACCAGGTGTTCTGGTGCGATGATTACACAGGAATGGCAGATAATCCGTGTCGGTACGGGCTCGAGCACTGCCCCTTGCTCCAAGGCCTCAGCCATGTGGTATGGGGGCTGCCCTCCCTTCGGGATCAGTACACGGCTTGTCACATCAAGAACTTCAGCAATGCTTCATTACTACCCCGATTGGAAACAGTTCCAGTACCTACCACTCAGTTTCGGCACATAATACGCGTCTGGCCTGACAGTGTACATGAGCTATGGATTTGACAGGATTTACGGCATTGTCTCACACGGATTGTCTGATTTCGTGTTCGGAGAAGCAGAATATGAGGAGGACAAGCATGAAGAGACTTATCATGGTCTTGGGATACCTATTCACTTCCCTCTGGGCCAAGGGGAGTACCTGACTTCAGCTTGGTTAAATGCCACGTATTATGACCGAGGATTGCAAGGGCTGCTCGCCGTGAGATACACCCTTGCCTGGGCCAGTCTTAACCAGCTGCTAACGATTGCTCTGAGGATACAGCTAGGCACAAACCTCGGCCGAGTTCAACATTTTGGAGCCCACCAAATACCTGAGCAGGTAGATATTGCCAACAAGCTCGACGCTCCAAAATGGGTCCGCCTCAGCATGGAACGGCCAGCAAAGATTCATGGACTAGCCTTTGATGTACCAGAGTATACTCGTTATATGAAGACTATCTGCGGCTTTGGGGTAGCGCAGGATGCCTGCCTCGAATCAGACAGCGACGAGACAAACAAGCCTCCGCTCCTACCAATCCATGCCAGGGGCCCCACGCTCCCGACGCCCGAATTCATCAACTACCTTCGGCGGGAGAAAACGGGATATGGGCTGTCGACAGCGTCACTAAACAACATCAAAACCCTGCACGTGCGCAAGAAGATGATCCAGACTCCCACGGGGTTGGTATGCGGATGCGTTGGATTACGGGTATTACATCTCGACTCGAGCATCGAGATACTGGGTCGATGGGATCCGCGTGACAAGCACTCCATATCGAAATTATACGACTCAAGCGAAGGTATATTGAAGACGCTGACTTTCCACATGGCTAAGATTGAAAGGGAAATGCACGTGGAAAACGTTACCGTGGGAGTTACGGACAACCCGTGGGATTACCAGCCTCTGGATTCGTCAACGGTGGTCCCCATGGACCCTCCGAACCATCCTTGGGACTCCAGGGACGGCGGATATTCGTCAGTATTGACAAGTGCGAGAACGTTCGACTGCTCTCAGGTTAGCCAGGTAAATGTTTCCCCTACTCTCCTCCCACTCCTGGGCTCCAAGCTCGATTTCTGACGACGAGTTTCGGAATGCGATGATATAAGTTGTGACCACGGGATCACAGGAATGCACTTTGGGGAGGATACCGATTCGTTCTTTGACGAAGATTACGAGGTAATACAGATAGAATAAATTGAGCTGAGCCAGCAGCTTTGTCTATCTCGGAAAAGGTATACAGCCAGTAAATGAATGACGACATCAAACCCTCAAGTATCCAACCACATAAGCGAACGACGCCAATACTGTTAAGTTCTCAGTAAATAAACAAAATCCTGAAATGATAGTGCTCAACACAACCCCCTCCCCTTCATCCCACGTTTCCAGAAGTCAAGCATGAATGTTAAAGCGTTGAGCTTTTGTGAGACCAGTCGAAGGCTCTGGGACATTCATTTATACCTCCTTTATATTGTTAATCAGGCAAAGTTTCTCAGTAAATCATCCGGGCATACTGAAAAGTCAGGCAACTAGGCCCACCACAAAACTCATGTCCATCCGAACGTCAGTGACATGCATAGGCTGTGACCGTGAAGCAGGGGATGTTGCCAACAGCGTGGCAAGCTCTTATAGCAGCCTAATTACCGCCGCTCTGACCGCCGCTCGTTTTCCTCGGTTGAGGAGGGGATCGCTGACGGTGTGGTAGGCTGGTCTGTTCAGGAGGAGATAACGACCGTCCATCAGCATCCCTGCCTCGCGGCGGTTGTCGCGGCGGGCTTCCCCCAGCAGCACTAGGAGGGTTTGAAATGCTCATGGGGTCGCTCCCCGCCGTGCCGGGTCGTGGCTCTGACCCACTGCCTGATGAGCTAGGCCTGGATGGAATTGGTTCTGGGGGGTGCTTCTCCCTGATGGTTCTGAAACGGGCCTGGATATCGGAGTGATGATCGGGATTGCCCACGTCCAGATAATCTTCAGCCAGAGTGGGTGGGTCCTCGGGGCAGTTTCCCATCTTGCCTTTGAAATCCTTCATAGTTATATCCCAAATGGTACTTTTCCCGTCAGAACTCTTTCTTGCGCGCCCTGTTACAATGAAGCAGCGAATATATGGCCCAAGAACTGCATTGGCGAAGACCTCGTTTTCGGTTCCTTTTGGCCTTGCTGCGTTGAACCATTTCTGGCAATATTTGTGGAGTTGCTTTTCACAGTCTGCATGTTGCCTTTTTTTATCGATGCTGTACCGGGTATGTGGGGTTCTTCTAAATGGTTGTTGAGCGGTGCAGTTACCGTTTAGGGGGTCTAAACTACGGGCAATTAGGAGGGGAAGTTAAACCGTTTAAAATCTCTAAGCGGTTTAGAATCTCTAAATAGTTTAGAATCTCTAAATAGTTTAGAATCTCTAAATAGTTTAGAATCTCTAAATAGTTTAGAATCTCTAAGCGGTTTAAAACCTAGTTAACGGTTTAGCCATATATAAGCAGGTTTAGCGCGATTTATACCTACCCACCAAGCTAAAAAAGGAAATCACTCTTTCATAATAACATAACAATACATCACCACCTTAAATAGGAAAGCAAAAGGGAAAGGAAGGGAAGAAAGGAGCTTTAAAAAAGTAGAAGAAGAAGCAGAGGCAAAGGCAAAGGCAGAAGCATATAAATTCAGCTTAAAATTTAATTCCATTTCAGGTAGATTTTATCCCTAGGCTTCCAAAGGTACTTCCACCCCTTTAACTGCTCCTTCCTTTAAATGTTTAAGCCCCTCTAAACCGCTTAGGGATTTTAAACCGCTTAGAGATTCTAAACAATCCAACTTCCCCTCCCAATTTTAAACCGCTTACCTGCCCCTAGTCTGGCCGGTATAGTGTTGCATTGCTTGCTCTCTTGGCCTCAGTGAAAACCAAGGGCAGCCTCCTGAAGCCATCTTGAGTCTGGGCGAAATAATATGTGCAAATGTCCATTGCCTTGTTGCTTTGATTAAATGGAGGCCATTGAGGGTTGTTGGAATAGCCTTTCAGCAAAACCTTTTGGTAGAGATCTTCCCAGAGAGAAACGGCTTCATACTCCTTGGGGTCTGTCCGGGTTTTACCGTCCGAGCTGAGATGCACCGTAGCCGCCTTATGAACAAGTCTTAGGGCCTCAGTGCTTAACAGATCTGTGCTCTGGGGGCTTTTACTATGGGTAGAAGCGGAGCTTTGGGTATTGGCTGTGTGCCCTATGTCTGGTTATGGACGCTCGTAGTGTGATTGATGAGACAATGAAAAGAAGTTTAGAGGGGGAAGAGAGCCTTGATGAAATTCAAGGTGAAGAAGCCAATTTGAGAATGAATGAGAGACTGAAGGAAAAGAATTCCACTAGGGAATTGTTCGTGTTGTTTCCGTAGAGTTGAAGTAAAGAGCTTGAGAAGAGGATGTTTGGACTTGGGATTCTGCTCAACTTAGGGTTAGGTGTTACAGTACGTATAGGTGATAGCCACGGTAATGCTCTCGGCATTACAACGTCCCTCTTTTGGGTGTTTAGCGCAATAGGCTTTCTTGTGCCGTGACATTAGGCACGTAGGATGCTTTATAGATCTGAACAACATCATGAGGCACACTGAGAGACCAGAAAGTCAACCTCGCTGAACATGTTGGTCCATAAAGGCAGGTCTGAGCTGGGGTGACAGTTGCTCTACATAGTACAAGGCACAAGCTGTTGGTGGCTGGTTGGCCTGCTGGGGCTAAGTAGGAATGGCCTAACAGAGGCCAAATATGGATCTTGATTAAGTGCTCAGGTGTACATAGTGTATAAGTTTGCGATTTACTAAGGGACACCATCTGTACAATACACAATACGCAAAGGCATCGAAGCCTCCCCCCAAACGCCCATGGGACGGATTCAGAGGGATGGGAATCATCTCACAAGAATCTCAAGTGGAGAGGAGAAACCATTACCTGCAAGTGGCACACAATCCGCACAAGTCAGGAACACATGCATGAGTGGAGCCTTGCTGACTCTGACAGACCCACTGAAGGCACATTCTCATTGCAGTGCTGTGATCCCAGAATAGAGATCAAGGCGGCCCTGGGGGCCAGATGGTTAACCGATGCGAGATTTGCAATGTAGGTATGCCTCCCTGGTAGCCTTTGTAGTGCTAATAATGTCTGCAGGATTTTCGCAGCCTCGTTGCAAGCCCGGGTCAGTCTTGGAGCTCTATGCGCAAGATCAGAGAGGCGGGACACAAACTCAAGCATATAAGTCTTGACGACGAGAGGGTGACGTCGATTGACACAGAGCCAAAGGCAAGTAAACGCACATTCTCTAAGTGATCCATCACATCTAAAACATTTTATTTACAACTATAGTTCGGATTTGTGGGACAGAGAGCGATACTCATACAAACGCCACAAGGAAACGTTCTTTGGGATATGGTGGCTTACCTGGACCAAGAAACCATCGACTGGGTGGGTTTTCCTTATTTTCTGAAGTCTTTGGGTTAGGGGAATGTCCATTTGACTGTTCTACAGATACTGTCAATTGGTGGACTGAAAGCCATTATCATTTCGCATCCGCATTACTACGCCTCGATGAATGAGTGGATGACTGCATTTGATTGTCCGGTGTATACGGCCCCTGAAGACCGGGAGTGGCTGAAGAATACTCCAGCAGAAGAAAGAGTCACGTTCCTTCACGAGGAGGTAACAGAGATTCTACCAGGAGTGACGGCTCTTAAGCTTGGCGGCCACTTTCCTGGCAGCTTTCTCTTGCATTGGGACAAGCATCTTTTCCATGGAGACACTTTTATTCTCAACTGGGTAAGTTTTCGTTCTCCCTATTTGAACGTGTAACGTCGGTGATAGACACATGGCCAGAAAGAAGATGCCGTTGACCTAACAATTTAAGCAGATAGGTCAGCATTCGGTAGGGGATAGAACGCCTGATCACGTCGAATTCAGTTTCATCCTGTCTGTCCCCGCTCAACTGCCACTAGGTCCAGACGCCATTCACAGAATATGGAGGGCGGTCAAACCGTATGGCTTCAATGCGACTCACGGAGCTCTTCCTGCCTGGGACATTTATGGGGATGACATGAGAGAGAGGCTACTCCACAGCGCGAAAGTTTGGGTTAAACGGATGGACCACCCAGCGCATCCTTTGTTGCAGGAAACAATGTAGGCTTAAGTTGCTGAGGTTAGCCAATGGACCCCCTGCTTGCCTTTCGATTCGACGAATCAATTCGCTCAAGCCATTGGTAGCACACTGGATAGGAAAGTTTCTTCCGGTGCGGAATGTGAGAGTTACCCACCAGCTAGCAAAAGTCTCGCCCACACAAAGTTGAGGTAAAATATACTATTTGGTTGAGATGATTGGTGATTCTGCCGGATACGAATTTAGGGCCAGATCATGGATTCTCAACGCCGCAGTGTTCTAAAGTACAAAGTGACTTCCGTGCCAAGGCGCTACGCCGCTACCGAAGCTTACCGAGAAGTCACTCGTGGGGGAGAACCCACCTTAAAGCCTTAAAAAGTTAGAACGTCAGCTAGTGTTATGCATAATGCAGCTAATTAAGCGTTTTAAAAAACAGTATTTTTAAAATTTTTAGCATTGTAAAGAGGAAAAACAAAAGGTTACAAAACTTATAATATAAATGGAAATTACGATAAATCTTAAGGTACTTCCTAAGCCACGTTTAAAGACTAAATGCACCCCATAGTTAAAATTTAATTCCAGATTAAATATAGCGCCACAGCGTGCTTTAAAACACTACGGCGTTTTGGAATCCATGATCTAGGCCTTAGAACAGCATTGATGGTAGGTGACATCTGGAGTTTGTGGAAAGTTATGCGAAATGGCGTGCTTATGTACACGTCTAAGGCATGCTGAATGGGTCCATCTTTTTGCCGAGACAAAGCGACACTCCGTTTGGGAATGGACGGAGGCGGAGCTGGTTCGCGTTTCTCCAACGGAGCAATGCCTTTCATCCGACTCCGCTCCAGGAAGAAGAGGGAGCCGGAAGACTGGCCAGGTTGACCTGGAAATGATCGGATTCCATCATTGTCTCTATACTGCTCTCTCATCATTGTGACACCTCTAAATTTCTAATTGTCTTCCCATAGAGCTGGTCGCGTTGCTGATCCGCCCCGGGCCTCCGTTCCCCCAAGCACCCGCGCCGTATGCAGGCCTCACTTACACGATAAGATGGACGACGATCAACAGGTCAAGGCCAATAAGGGCCCGAAGGCGTGTGCTACCTGTGCCAAAGTAGGTCAAGCGCCGGCTTATGTGTGGCCTCGATGCTGATTACACATTCTCGGCTCCGTAGGCGAAGTCTCGTTGCATCCCCGGTCCGAGAGATGGCGTTTGCGAGAGGTGAGTGCCGGACCAACCGGGTTTACGTACCTAGATATAGAAAGAAGGCTCCGTCCGTGTGTCGAACGGTCGACCTCGGCATGCTCGACCTACTCCGTTGGCACTTGTCTTCAGTCTCCGCCGGAGCCGATTGCTTGTGGCAAATTGATGCTGGTCGGTGGGATCATCTTCGAGGCACGGCTTAGGGGTCCCAGGTCATCTTTCCGGAAACGCTCCACCGGAATCTACACCCCGGCGCCGTGCCGAAAGGGTTGGGATGATACATGGCCATTTGAGGCAGTCAACCGCTATGGGATAGACATCTTCCTAGCATACCGAGATGCCCAGAAAAGACTGACGCGAACTTCAACACAGATGCGACCGCCTTGACAAGCCCTGTTCAGCACAAACCCCAGCGCCCCCTCGCAAGAGGAAGGCGCCTAAGCCAACCCGGGTCGCAGAGCTAGAGAAGAGGCTCGAGGACCTCAGCGCCCGCGTCGAGTCACGGCAGGTCCTGCCCCCGACGCCCTCCGATGGCGGGTCCCCGGCAGCTCCGGCCGAGGGCGGCGCCCTGCCGCCGGCGAAGAAGCGGCGGACCTGGATGTCCGACGCGTCGCAGCCTGCTTTTGGGTACATCTTCGGCGGTGATGTCAGCGAGAGCCAGGCCGAGGCCCGCGAGGACAGCAGCATTGGGCACCGCTCGTCGCACAGTCCGGTGCTCTCGCAGAAGACGCTTGGTGTCGCGACACCGGTGCTTTGGGATGATCGGGACAAGACGTCCCGTTCCGCCTGCTCCCTTCACAGGAGTCAGATCTGGACAGGGGGTCTGCCGCAAGTCCCAGATGCCGCGGTATCATCTGATACCCAAGGTGGTTCCAAACCAGGGCCGGAGTGGCCCAGAGGTGAGGAGGCCGATCGTCTCCTGGCCGAGTATAGAGAGCACATGGAGCCTATCTTCCCTTTCATTGTCATCCCAAGGCATATGAACTCAGAGCAGCTGCGCAAAGAGCGGCCGTACCTGTGGAAGGCTGCGATAATGCAAACCTTGTGCCTAGACGCGAGCCGTCAGATCCCGCTGGGCAACGAGCTGCTCAGTGATATTGTCACGGCGTCTTTCCTTCAGCCGAAGAGGAGCTTTGATCTCTTGCAGGGTTTGGAGATTCTGGTCGCTTGGTGAGTCTCGCTTGAGTTAGTCAAATGGAACAACCAAGTCTGACGAGGTCTTCAGGTTTCATGTGAAGCTGCAAAGCTTCCAAATAACGAACCTGCTCTACCTCATGCGCTCCACGTGCGTATCTCTGGGCTTCTCGGAGTCACGAGAGGCAATGAACGACCAGGAGCACGATTCGACGAGCCTGGAGCAGAAGCGGGCCTTTGCAGGGGTTTATTATCTGGTGACAATGTTCGTATCTTGACGCGAGGTGTTCCTGGAGGTTGACTGTGCTAAGTACGGGCTGTAGGATATTCACCACGAACAAGAAGCCCGACGCCTTCATGAACACGAGCTACCTGGAGTCGTGCTGCCGAGTCATAGAAGAGAAGATGGAGTACCCGACAGACGAACTGATTGCGTACCTCATCCGGACCCAGCAGCTCTCGCAGTCCATCTCCATGACACTGGCCTTCCGCAACAATAGTCTGCCCCTATCCATGATGATCAAAAGCTTCCAAGAGCAGATTGGACAGCTTCGAGCCTCGATACCCGAGAGCGTCAAGGAACACGGTCAGTAATGGCGTCCCTTTTATACCTCCCCTCTCATCGTAGAGGCACAACAAAACTGACTCTACCATACCAAATCTCAGCCGCGATCAAGACCCAGCTCCACATAGCCGAGATCCTCCTCTACGAAGTCGGCATCCACGACGACCTCTCAGCAGCGCTTTCGACGACGGAGCGCCTCGAGCTGCTGTGGGAGTGCCTCAAGGCGACGCGGTCGATGCTCGAGGCCCGCTTCGAGGTCCCAATGGTGGACCGCCCGCGGCAGACGTGCCTCTCCTCGTTCGACTATACGTACGCGATACTCACGTCGCTGAGGCTGTCGACGCTCGCGCTGCCCGGGTGGGACCTGGCGCTCGTCCGGCGCGAGCTCGACGCGGGCAAGTCTTCGACATGCAGATCCAGGAGGTCAAGCGGATGCTCGAGAAGCGCAGACGGGGCGCGTGGCGGGCCGAGGACTACGACAAGGACAACAACAACAACAACAACAACAACAACAACAACAACAGATGCGGTATCCGCCGCGTGGCGTGGGACCTGCGCGCCACGCTGGATCCGCTCGAGACGCTGTACAAGCGGCTCTTGGAGCTGCGCGTGCCGCTGCAGGCCGAGCTCCTCGCCGCGGTTGAGCGCGAGAGCGACTCAAGGGACGTGGCACCAGCAGCAGCAGCGGCACCCGATGCGGCGGCGGAAGCCGGAACTGGCGATGGCCAGCTCGTGGCCGCCGCCGCCGACCCGGCCGTGCTTGATTTCACGCAGGACCCGGAGGGCCCGTTCTGGCAGGACATGTACCGCGTCAACGAGTGGGAGACTAACCTCTCGTCGCTGTTCGGGTGGGGCCTGGACGACCAGGCCGGGCCGGTGCTCGCCGGCTCGAGGCTCGAGAACCCGGACGCCCTGGCGCAGCAGATACCGATGCCGCTGAGGTTGTAGACTGCTCGGATACGCTCGACGGTGTTTCGCGGTGTATCTGTCGCTGCGCACAAGGGACAGGAACATAAAGAGGAAGAGTAGTGGCCCCGCCGCTTGCGTATATGTGAACACTGGCGGCATTGCATGTATGAAACTCCCTCGTTCGGATACAGTCCAACAGACTTGGGATATGGTCTTGCGCACAACATCTTCCGCAAGATGCCGACGTACTTTTGCCAAAGCGACAGGTTCGGAGGGCGTGATGGATGCCCACGCTCCCTGATAACCAGAGGTCGACGGCTCCAACTTGAGGCGCAGCTCGAAGACTGTGCGTTGCAATGAAGGCTACGTATCCAACAGCGACGCAAGGTTGCATTTTGAGTAGCCCAGCAGCTACTATGAGTCCCAAAGCTGGCGGTCCAAGTAAGCAATGTCATGCCCCTCTTTACCGATGAAACCCTTCCGAAAACGACCTAACTTCTGTGCCAGCTGGTCTCGTCTCCTCCAGGCCCTGGCTGGGCCTATACGTATCTGCCTTTGGCCCTTGCCACGGGCAGTGATTGGAAGATTTCTCAGGAGGGTGTGATATTGGGGGATCGCAAGCTCGGTAGATAAGGTTCCAAGCAGGAATGCCCCAGGGGAGACTTGTGACGTGTAGTATGTTCAGAGTTCGGCGCAGGCTCAGCGTTCTGGTGTCATCGTCAAAATGACGGTGTCGGCCCGTCGACTTTCGAAGAGATGGAGACAAACGCTCCAAGGCTTGTGAGTTAGCGAAAGGAGTGTCTCGATAGCTGCGACCGAGTGACAGACGTGAACACCCCGGAGGCCGGTGTCGATCACCCGCCTGCCAAGGGTGTCCATTCCGGGCCCGTTGGTCTTGGGGTGACCGGCAGACCGGGGGCGCGGTGGCGGTGGCGGGTGGATCTCAAAGCTGCAGGCTGCCAAAACTTTAATTGAACCGCGTCTTGAACTGCCCGGACTGCCTGGACGTGTTTCGGAACTTCGTGGCAACCAATTTCCCCTGATAACTCCAGTTATAGGGAAAAAGGTCTGCTTCATTCATCTGCTATCTACCTGTGTTGCCCTGCCATCTGCACAACGATGATTACATAATCCTCATTGCCAGCGCAGAAGAGGAACAAAGTTCCCGTGCCTGCCGCGTTGACTACGCGATAAGCTCCTTCCCATATTCATGTCGACGTCACCAGGGATTGCTCCCGATCTTGAGCTTCCCGGCCTGTCGCTCCTCGCTCTCACTCTCACACGCGTACCTACACTCACTCCGCGAGATGCCTAGATGACAGGCAGCGCCCACCACGCCTGAAGATGCTGCGAGCCTGCACAGCATCGCCATGGCAAACGATGCGCAGCTCGGCGCGCTTGACCGCTCCAGCTCAAGCTCCAGCTCCAGCCTGTCGGCCGCTGGGATCGATCCCTTGACCGCCACCACCACCACGACGCCCTCCAAGCGGCCAGGATCCAAGCACTCTCGTACCAGCTCCAACGTCTCGAAACGACGCAGTCCGCGCTCCAATGCCACCCCCACAGACTTCCTCTCAGACAAGGCCACCGCCCAGCTGATCCGCCGCGTCCTCTGCCCCCAGCAAGCCGCCGACCGGGGCAGAGCAACTCCCGCCCCGATCCACGACCTCCTGCCCCCCCTGACGAGCCGGAACGACGTCGATTTACAGCTCTACGCCCTTATCGCCATCATACTGCGCGACTTTGTGCAGGCCTGGTACAACAAGATCACCCCGGACGAGACCTTTGCAGCAGAGATTGTCCACATCATCGCGCATTGCACGCGAGCCCTGGAACAGAGGCTAAGAAAGATCGATGTCGAGAGCCTGCTACTAGATGAGCTCCCAGACTTGTTGGACAAACACATACAGGGTCAGTTACCCCCTTGCGTGGCTTTATCTTGCGCGGGTATGGGGAAAGGAAATGGCACGTAGAAAAGAAAGCAGCAGCTGATGGTGGCTTCGCGCCTGTTGTAGCATATCGAGCGTCTCGCAAGCCCATTGTACAATTCCCCGTCCAAGCCGACTCGCGCGCCATCTACCACGCACTATGTCCCCTGCCCCAGCTGTCGCCAATACCCGACGCCGACGACCCCGATACCATCTTCAAACAGGCCGAGAACGAGGTGGCATACCGGCAGCTACTCGTCCAGGGCGTGTTAGCGGTCCTCCTCCCCACCGAAGACCTCGAAAACGAGTGCCTGACGTCCCTGGTCGGCGAGATCCTGTCCGAGATGATCATTGGCGGCGTCGTCGCCAAAAAGGTCTCGGAGCCATGGATGATCTGGACAGGCCTGACGATCCTGTCAGACGTCCTACAGCGGAAGCAGAAGGAAGCCCGCGGATCGCGCATGACGAGGAGCTCCGTTGGACAGGGCGCTAAGGGCTTGTCTATTCCAGGGCTGTTCTGGTCTCTCGTGCACTACCTCTTCGCGTTCACCACCTTCGTCCGAGTCTTCGTCATGACGCTAGTCACGAGTCGAACCCTCCCATCCAGAGGCCGGGTCTGGCCTCTGAGCGTGAACGAGTCGGCCCGTCAAAATGATGGCTCAGAGAAGACGAAGATGGGCGGCCGTTCCTCAGCCGAATCACCTTCAGAAGCTGCCAAAACACCAGTCTTGGCTTTCAGCATATGGTCCACCGTCTCGAACTGGTTGGAGATGGACAAGCGCATGCCCTGGCTCTGCGGCAATTTATCCATGGTGCAGTGGCTGGCCATCGCCGGGCCTGGACGCGTGGCTGGCTTCGATGGAGTTGTTGACAGGTAGGAAACCATTTCCATGTTTTGTCAGACGAGCAGAGCACACACCCTCATCCTTCCCACACTCTGGTTGTTACACCGCATGCGGGACTGGTCACTTGACTCTGCATCCTCCCACTCAGCTCGAGAAACCACGCCCTCGTCGCAAGTGCAAGTGCATGTGGAGGGCAGTGCCCACCCTTCCGCAGGCTCCAAGTGGGCTCTGCCATGGGATGTGGTGGGCATCCAGGAGCGGGCTATGTCAGGAAGCTTTGTGCGGGCGCTGGTGGCGGGTGGTGTGTGGACCGGATGCCTCGCCGGCCAATGTGCGCGCTGGGCGGGCGAAGGAATTGGGCGACTATACAGCCGGAGTCATCAGGGCATGCCGTGGAACACGCCCCGGAGATGCTCTGCGGCCAAATCGGCAGCCACAAAAGCCCCGACCAAAGCCACCGCAGAATGCGATGTGCCTGGGTTCATGCAGCCGTTCCCCAGATGGCTGGCCCGGCTGGCCAATTGCGGCATGTGCCCGCCATGAACGCTTCCGATTGAACGATAGGCCCTCGGCGGGCTTGCACGGCGGTCCATCAGCGAGCTGCGGTTACGCGCCCGTCATCCAAGTCCAGGGCTCACCTGCAAGGGTCGACCGGCTGATCAACCACCACTTTCGCCAGAATCCGCATTGGCACCTCTCTGCCTCTGCCTCTGCCTCTCTGCCTCTGGCCCTTGCCCTTGGGATGGATGCGAGCCGCTCCACTAGCCTAGCCTGCCGGCCGCCCTGCGCGTTACATTTGTTTCCATTTGGCTTCTTCATTTGGCCCGTCGCCCTGCCAAACTTCCGGGAGTTGGGCCCGACCATTCCCAATGCGTCTCATGGGCTCCATCCAGACCCGCGACAGTGCCGCAGGAAAGCGTCGCACCGTGCGTTGACATCGCCCGCGAGCTGCTGCCCATGCAGAGCGGTGACAGCGCCGTCGCGAGACTCGCCCTTCCAACAGACACTCGGTCTGGACGCCGGCGTCATTATAGCCAGGGACCTCGATACTCCCAACGGCAGGCTGCTGCAGGGCGCATGGCTGCCCAATGACGGAGGTCTTGTGCACTGGAGCACTGGCCCTGCGTCCTGCTCACCCCGCTCTAGGGCAAATTCCACCCGTCGTCTGTCACCATCGACCGCCGTCCGGAATGCCGCATCGGCTTGCGGGAGGACAGAGACAGGGCGGCCTTGGGCAGGGCTGGCTGGGCTGGGCTGGGCCGGGCTGGGGGCTCTGGAAACCAGGAACAGGGAGGCCAGGGCCCCCAGCAAACTGTCCATCGGCTTGGCCCTATTCGACCCTGATCACCGAGCCGTGTCCTGCACACCATCTCGGGCCCGTCCCCGCACGGGATCAGAGGCTCGAGAGGGACTCGATGCTGCTCGCCCTGCTGCTTCTACAAACCGGTCAATCCTCTCCGATCAGCGAGCGACCGCCTTGCCTGTCTGCGCAGCCCCTCCCCCCTCCCCAGAGCACATGCCTTGTGCCGCACTTTGCGCTGCGAAAGGCCTGATGCTAGCACACCACGCTGCCCCGACTGTAGCATTCTCGTCGCGTCCAGCAGCCTGTGTTGATGAGATCGCAGTCTCCTGCCGTTCTCCCCTGTCTTTTACTCTCCATACCCTTAGCTACAGCCCTGCCCATCCAGCGATCCCATCCTGCACCTGATGCCCCCCAGAATTGAGCCGGTTTAAATCGCAGCATGCACACCCCAGGTCCCGTCGTGTTACCCTTTTCTTTTGCTAACGATGCGGCGCCCGCGCCACCCCGTGAAACAGGCTCCTCTCCGACTCGATTCGGCGGCACGTCCTCGACCCGGCACTCGTGCCTACGGCGCTTCGCAACCTGCGCGGGGCGCTGTTCCCCAACAACGCCATGGGGTCACCAACGCTCTCCCCGCCCGAGTCGGACCACCAGCTGCTCGCGCTGCGGCGCAGGTGTGCTAGCGCGCTGTGGGCTCTCGCCCCCAAGGCCGCCGGCAGGCTGTTCTTTGGCGGCAGCGCCGCGTCGTGGTTGGCGCGATGGCTCAACAAGGCCGCCGGTGACGACCTGTCACTGCCGCTGCCGCTGCCGCGGTCCGTTCCGGCCCCCAACACCGACGTTGACACCAACACCAACACCAACATCAACAGCAACAGCGAGCCCGTTGACGCCCGTGACCACCCTGCCGCCTCATCTCACCAACGGGCACATGTCAACGGCGGCGGCACAAGGGTGACCCACCAGCAGCAGCAGGCCCCGGACGCGCGCATCATTTCCGAAATCGAGACTGGAATCCTGGACGTCTTCAGCGATCCCTACTGCAACAAGCACCTCATGTACGGCGCCCTGGAACTGGTCCTTGTCAGGCTGGTGCCGGAACTGACCGAGAAGGGTGTCGTTGAGCTGTGGGAGGAGAGGTTGAGTTGATGTCCTCCCTCCCCCCCCCGCGCCCTTCTTTCTCCTGCCTGCTTCTCGGGAGTCAGTGTTTCGGGCTAGAGCAGGCAGCTCTCCTATCCTTGGCCTTCTTTCCCCTTGCGCATGCCCTGTATCGGACGAGCAAGGAGGAGAAGCATGCACGCAAGCCCCGGCCGCCCGCGGGCTCTCTTTTACCTCCATCCCCATGTATGTATGTATGCACTGTACTTTACGTATACCCTTTTCGGATGCGTGTGTATGTGTGGTGTGTGTGTACGGTAGTGTAGTCTATTGTGTGGTATATGCACGTAGCCAACCGCGACAAGCAGCGCGCCAGTTTCTTTTAGCTTGCGGCACATGGTTGACTGATTAAACTGACTGATCATTACCACTGCTGCCCGCCTGACTCCAGGCTCTTGACCGTTATATGCTTCTTATTCTTCTTTTGGTGATATTATGCAACCCAGAGAATGACATGTTCTGGTCCCGTCCCGCCGTCACCACGAACTACAGCAGCTGCCCACCTGCGCATTTCGCCCCGCCCACAACCTGCCGCAAGCCCGAGATCTGGTCGCCGCTAGCGAGGAGGGTTTGATGCAGGTCGATAATAACCTTGCAGGAGAGAGACACTCAAATATATCGATCATCAATTAATCAATGGGTTCGCTCAGTCGCTTCATTCAATCGCACATTTTCCCCTCCTCACTGCAGGCATTCAATAAATACATGGCCAACAAACAACCGATGCAGGCAGGCGCGCAGCATCAACAACACCACCACGCCCATCGTCACCAATAGCAAATACAGTAAAAGAAAAATGCGAGGGGGCGGAAAACAAAAAAAAAAGGAAAAGGAAAAGAAAGAAAAAGAAAGAAAGAACCCCCTGTCACCAACGAACTTTTCCCCAATCGGGGGTCAAATGTGCAATGCACGCGCTGCTCACTTTCTCTCGTACTTTATTTTTTTGGGGGGGGTCGGTAGATTATGATTTGCTTATCGCCGAGTCCTGGTTATGCAGATAGCCGCCCTCGGGGAGCGGGTTGAGAGGGCTGTTGTTGCTTTCTTTTTTCTTCTCTCTCCCACTTTTCTTCTCTTTTGCCTTTCAAGGTTGAGAAAGGGGGGGGAGGGGGGGGAGCTGGATAGAGGGGTGGTGGTTAGGAGAGGATGGCAATTGTTGGTGGTGGCTGCATGTACAAAAAAGTTGAAGAGCGGGGAGAGAACCTCCCCTCTCTCTCTCTCTCTCTCATCAACCCAACCCCCTGTCTGCCCAGTACCACCGACTCCCCTCCCCAAAACCCCAAGAGAGAAAAGAAACCATGTACACCATTTCCCTAATACCCATGCTAATCCCCTGTAGATGTGTGTGTGTGTGTGTGTGGATGCGTGTGGATGCGTGTGGATGCCCATTTGGTTGCTTGGCCTCTTCCCTGGGCATAGCACATACCTTACCTACCCTACACCTAGATACAGTACCTGGCTGGCTGGTGGCACACACCTCGAAACCAGCCCCTTGCCAGAGAACCCTTTCACAAATCGAGATCCCCCACTGTTCCTGGGTGCAAAAGGCCGAGACCAATGTCCTCCTCCATTGTCTGTCGTCCCCTCTGTCCCTGCCCGTCCTACCCCCGTTATGCATCCATGCATCCCGTACCATCCTGCCTTGTCCTCCCCTCCTCCCCCAGTTGCCCAACCTTTGGGTCACAATTCCCGGTAGAGGTATCCATTGTCCCTTGCCCGCTGTGACCGTGGACGACGACACTCGTGTACCCGTCGTCATTCCGTCCGTCCGTCCGTCCCTGCCCAAAAGCCTCATTCGATAGGTATCCTTCTCCGGCCAGTCCATTCGTCGGATGCACACATGTAAAAGGGTTGGGAAGAAAAAGGGTGATAAAATAAAATTGAGAAGAAATAGAAACCCCAGTAAGAAAACTTTGTCCAGAAAAGTACAGATTAAGAGGAGATCAAGGAAAGACAAGAAATGAAATGAAATGAAAAATATATGAAAAGGTGAAAATGGGAAACAAATGCCGGTGAACCCCTGGTGCCCTTTCCCCTAGCCGTCCTGGAGGGACTGTGGAATATGTGAAAAGAATAGGGACGAGAAGACTGAGATACTTGGACTGAGGAAATTGAGGTTGAATCTTTTGAGGGAGGGGGATTTGTGAATCCTTCCGATTTTCGCGTGAGCGGGAGACTTCTTTCCTTTGCCGTGAAAAGTCCGGGGTATATGTATATGGCTGTGTGTGTGTATATAGAGACCGACCTGCTCGCGTCTCACAATGTGTAGTCCGTGCTGGAGGTGGTGGTAGTGGCGGTGGCGGCGGCGTCGGTGATCGTAATGATGATGGTTGGGTATTGAAATTCACAGGTAATGATATTTTTGGGCCATTGAGGCGAAGCTGTCTTGGTAGAGGTGGTGACTGGTTTTGATTTTGTTCTCCCCTGGGGGATTGCGTCGCGAGACGTCGTGCTCATGTGTATAGTCCGATGTGTGTGGTATCTGATGATTGTGTTTTTGCCCCCTTCGTCCTGGGTCCCCGTGGAGGGAGGAAATCTCCCGCTGTAATCAGACGCCGTAGCAGTGTGTGTGTGTGTGTGTGTGTGTGTGTGTCCTGGGACCAAGAAAATGTGTAAGCTGTGGGGCCCCGTTGATGCTTTTTCGTGGATGTTCCCGCTCCGCCAAATAAGCATCCCCTGCTCTTTCGGGGTATGGTCTTCCCCCTCCCTATAGTTTACGCGGTGATTTCCGGGAAGGATGCGAGGCGAGCAGGGGCGGGAAGCGGAGAAGAGAAAGAAAACACGTACAGTGATAATAATGGGAAGAGGCGCCGGCCCCCGGTGGGAAAAGAGGAGAGCGCCGGTTATCCTCATACCATGGTTCCCTCGTGCTTGACCATGCCCCCATCCTCCAGGTGCTGCCCGGTGTTTCCCATCTCGGCATCCCCCTCGGGGATCCGATCCAGGCCGCCCATGCCTAGTCCCATAGGAATTCCTCCCATTTGCATGCCGCCCATGCCCTGCTGGCTTCTCGCAGCAGCCTGTTGAGCCTGCTGGTGCAGCCTCAGCTTCTCCGTCAGCCGGATCACCGCGTTGTAGTCGCTCTGGTCCACAAAGGCGTTTGGTCCGCTGTTCGCGATGAACGACAGCAGCGTGTCTGCGGCACGCCTTGCGTCCTCCTGCGTGGGCGAGACGGGAGACGAGGCGACCGAGGACATGGCGGCGCTTCCGATAATGGGCGTGGTGCCGCCGGCGCCTTGCTGCTGCCGCCCTTGCAAGCTGCTGGCGCTGCTGCTGTGCCGAAGCGCGTGGTGGCCCTGGTGGTGAGGCGAGGCCATCGTGTTGTCGATTCCAAAGGGTCCAGCAGATGCAAACTCGTGAGCTGGCGACTCGATTGCCGAGGATGGTGCGGTCGATGGGACTCCCTGCTGGCCATGTGGGAACTTGGGTGTTATGGGATCGTTGTGCTCGTGGCTCGATGTGTCGTTCATGTACTCCAAGTCTAGTGTCGGAAACGTTTGACTCCGTGGCCTCTGGAAATTGGGTCCCCCAGGGGGAATGTGTCTTGCCTGCGAGTGGTGATCCGACGACAAAAATCCTCCCATGTTGGGATCTGGAGAGAACGTGAATTGCCCTGTGCCTGTGGGGCTCATGGTACTTTCAGAAAAGGACGAGCCTGCAGTGTCCGATGCGAATCCGCCGCTGCTCAGAGACGTGCTGCTCTGGTTTGTCGAGGGATACTTGAATGTCGGTCCAGCTGTGCTCGACGACGGCCCAGAAAAGTCCATCATCATTCCGCTGCTGCCACTGTCTTTTTCGTCGTCCGCCCCTGCCCGAGGCCCAGCCGAAAAGGGCGACACCGAGTGATTCGCCACGGGGGAGGCCGAAGAGATGGAGCTGGTGGGCTGCGAATTTGCCAGCGTTGGGGATGTAGTCGACAATTTTCCAACGGCACTGGGAATGTTGGTCTCTGAAGCCCTCCTGATCAGTCGCCCTCCCATGCCGTGCTTTTGCTTGAATTTCTCGAGCCACGAGGGGTTGTTGATTTTCGTCTCCGCCTCCCTGAAGGGACGGGCGTACATCCGGGCTTGCTCCTGTATCTCGGCGTCCGACACACGGCGGCCTTTGTGCTGCTCGTTGCGCAGCCAGTTAGCCAGCGTCTTGTCGATGTCCGGGATCTTGCCCTTGCTTTTCTTGATTGGCGAACTACTGCGGTCCTCTGGATTGAGCCACTTATCCTTGCGACTCAAGACCTTGGACACCGTGCTAGAAAAAATAGTTAGCCAGTTCCTTTGTAGTGGCAGGCAGGCGTTGCGAATCCGACAACGGAGCACAGCGCCGCGTTTCGTCTTGATTCTCACCTTCGCTCCACGCCAAACAGCGCGCCAATTTCGGTCTGCTTCATGGAGGGGTTATCGATGTGATACTGGCACATGCGGCGGCGGTCATCGTCCGTCAGCGTTTTCCTGGGTTGCGACGCAATCGGGGGTGCCACCGGCCTCGTGGTCTTCAGCGACTGGATCGGCGCCGATGCAGGTGGTATTGCGACCGGAGGAGACGTGTTGTATCCGTTCGGGTTCGTGAGCATGCTCGGCCATGTCGGATGCGACGGCACCATCAGCATTGGCAGCGTTGGATGGTGCGCCGGTTGCGAATGCTGTTGAGGTAATGGCTGCTGGGGTGGCGTTGCCGACGGCGGCATCCGGCCCAGCTGCTCGGAGGGCAGCCCGTGTGTGATGGGAGGCATGTAGCCAAAGCCGCCGCCGTACTCCGATATTGTCGTCTGCATGTAAGGGCTCATGTCGCTCCATTGATCGTGACCATAGGTCTGCTCATGGTGAGCGAGGTGGGTTTCTTGGTCCATGCTTGACGATCCTCCGATCCCTCCTTGGTTGTGCATCCTGTATACTCCAGCTGGTCCCAAGGCGTTGTGAGAGGCTCCTTCTACTCGACTGTATTCTGCCTTGAGAAGGAGGTAAAGCCTGGTGCAGACCTATATTTTGCTAGGACTCCCAGGACAAAAAAAGACGGGTGCGCGACCCGGAGGATGCGATGTAAGTGTGGGGGAGGATATCTCTGTACCCGACAGGACTGATGTGATTGATCTTCATGTACGGAAGGCGGCATGCATCAGATGACGACAATTGGTTCCTGGATAGCTTCGTGTAATGGACTCGAGTCTCTGTTGGGTTAGAGGCACTGCGTCGTCGACAGCTGTGGCGGCCGTCGACGTCTGGTGGTGCGGTACTCTGTGGTGCGCGTCCCAAAGGAGAGGGCGCAGATGCAATGCACGCCGAGACTATTCCACCCAAGGGCAGAACGAGGCACAGAAAGTTCGAGCCCAAAGCTTCCCGAGTCCCTCTGATGTTTCGAAACAGAGCTCGAGCACCTTCATAAATATCGATCCTCAGCTGTCTATCCCACCGATGTCAGCAGTAGGGCCGTCCTGGTAGTATCGTTGCTAAGCCAATGCGCGTGGTTAGTTTCTTTTTCCTCAGCCGCCTCTTATAACCCGACCGATGCCGCCCAAATTCGCGGAGACAGCTTCGGCCTGTCTGGATTTCTGTGGACGGCGCGAGGGGGGTCCGCCCAGGTGTGGGCAGGTAGGTGGCTTACGTTGTTCAGGCGGTTTTGCTCGCCAGACATGGCCAAACGATGAGACGCCCGACGGAGATGCTGGTCTAGACAAACGAATGGCAGATGAGAGCAGTGACAGGCAGATGGCTCGCAACGATAGAAATGAGCCTACTGCAGTTACAGACGTCGCATGCAGTTTGCAAACGCTGATGTACAGTAGCTGACCTGTAGAGAGGTGCAGGACGACCAAGTGATGGGCCGCACCACGGCTACATGTATGTTTGCAGGACGGTCTGTACCGGCAAGGGTGATGCTAGACCCCCCGTCAGGGAGGGTTGCAGAGAATGGGGGGGCAGACTCGGAGGGCTCAGGACCAGGGCCGCGAAATGGAGGCGGCGAGACGGATCAATAGAGACTGTCTGGGGGGGTGGGGAGGTAGTGATGCGAAGGTCTAGCAGCTAGCCCAAGGTATAAGACTGTTGCATCAGGAAGCTATAGCTGCCAGGGGGTCAGAAAGGCACATGCGGGATGGTACCGCAGCGTGCGTCGGGTGCGCATCGAGGTACCAGGAGGGCCATGTACATGTGATATAAGGTCAAGGGTCGAGCCACATCCCGCAAGGTAGAGACCTGGCCGGCTCTCGTCCCCTATAGCCAGGACAGCGAATATTCTCTGTCCACAATTACGTCCTCGGATCGGGGACAGACGCCCCATCAGCTCCGCGTGGAGATGATGGCGATGGAGACTGAGCAAAATGAACATGTCGTGAAGTTGCGTCGGGAGTGGTCGGTCAGTCCCAGCTTCTGCGCAGGAGGAGCCCAACCAACGGCAGCGCGTTAATTGCATTCCCCAATATTCGGCCAGTGGTACTACCACCGTGTGAGAAGACGTCCAAGGTGTGCGAATCACTCTGGCCAGCGGCATGTACTGTAGTCCAAAGAAGGCTTCCCGTCATAGGTGGACCGAGCCAGGGCCTGGTGCCAGGAGCTCCACTTGCAATGGCATCCAGTACCCGCTTTCCTTAATGAAACCCCTTCAGATGAGTATTCGTCACCAGGTCTGACCAGCCTCACCATGATGTGGATGCATGCTCGTGCTGTTTTGAGTTCTCGAGGCTGCAATCGCAATCCGCCAGGCATGGCCATGCTGAAACTGTCCGGCGGTCCGGCGAAATGAATAGACAAGATTTGATCATGGCCAACATTGTGAGCGTTGACTGTTCGGGCAAAGAGCCCGGCCAATCCGGCAGGCCTGGTGGGTTCGAAGCGGAACTTATTTTCATGCTTGGCTTCTTGAGGACCTCACCGGCAAAACAGCAGCAGTGCAGAAAGCTCCAGTCAAAGGTAGTACGAAATGCCGCTGATCTTGTTGTGCGGTTTCGTTGCACCTCTGGACAGATTTTGAGCCCGTGTTGGCCAAGCTGCATGCGACGAACGAGGTCTTGTTACTTGGGACCGTGAACAAACCACATTGTGTGGCACAAGACTCGACGCGGCCCGGTGGGCTACATTGTCGCGCAGGGCCGCAGGGCCACAGAGTTGCGGCCGGCATGGCCAAGGTCGCCCACTGGCACCTGCTCGGGAGCTCTGTCCAGGGGCAGGGGGCAGATCTACAGTATTCCCCGAATGGACCAGCCCAGGTGACCCGCAGTGAGATTTGTTAGTCGCAAGCCACTGCTCGAAATCCCCCGTGTGCTCGCTGTCCAGGCACGACGACTCGCCGGGAAAGAGCAGCAAGTGGTTTAGGGCTCCCCAAACAAGGCTCCTGAGCTGCCTCTTCCTTGCATCCCTTCAGGCCGCTGTCAAGATGGCCTTGTTCCTGCAGAGGCGTGGCGTTGACGTTGCATGACGACAAGGATCGACAAATTCTCGTGTCCACGATTCCACGCGACGCCACAGGCCGTCGAGTCGCTGGAAGCAATGTGGCATTGTCTGGGAGCACCCCGGATTGGGCTTCGGGATCGTCGCTGTCCTGGCTTGTGTCATGCGGATGTACCAAGGAGGATATCGATGAGACATGAGCACGGCGTGCCATTGCACTGGCGGGAGTGGGGTGAAGGCCGGCGCTGGTGAAGGATTTTCCCTGGGGCACGGGTTTGAAGCGGTCGCTATACTACGTAGTAGCAGTTATTTCCGAAAGTAGCGGCACGGCTTGGCTACTACCAGAGGGGCCAGGTTTGTTGTGCATTGAGAGAGTTTGATTTCATGCGTCGATCGGCGTCGATAGAATCGTCCCGATGCCTCAGATGGAGCGGGATCCGCAACTCTGGGACGCCGCGTCGAATTCGTGGTCCAACCGAGGGCGGACAGCCTCAGGGACGGGAAGGACAGTGAGATGCTGTGCGAGCCCCGGAACCCCAGCTCAGCGCAGGACGGTCCGCCTGTCAGGGCAGGACTGTACGTATTACTTTGACAAAAGTCAGGCCACTCAGAAGGGCCAGAAGAGCCTAGCGATTCGAGACGGGCCCGGCTTGTATTCCAGTTCGCCGGCCGCTATCGCGACCCTTGCCTGACGGGAGCCCTTCCAGGTAGATGCTAGTGGAGGGAGGGAACTGTTAGGGCCTAGTGCGGGAAGCTCCCCGCGGATCGTACCCAGAAGTGTTTGCGTATTCTTCTCAGACGAGCCGCCTGGGGGCGTTGGTGGCCCAGAGAAGGCGGGCGAGGGCTGTGTGGTAATCTAGCTTTGGCCGCAAGCAGCAAGACGAACTTGGCGGTGGACTCGAGACGAAACGAAGATAGGCCCAACGCGTGCTCCTTCGATATCAAGTCATCTAAGTTCGACCAGAATGGATCACTAGGTTGCACTCATGCGTCGATTCAGCGTGGACAGGTCTTGATCTGAGGAGCCAATCGCTCAACAGATGAGCTTGCTGTCAAGAACCTTGTAGCAAGGCTATCCAGGCTCGCCTTGCCTAGGGCAGACCCCGAGGGCCCGGCCGACACAGGATCGCCGAGGAGCTGCTGCTGACACCGGCCGAGTTGGTCCAGTGGGAATAGCTCCACGGCTGTGCAGACAGAACCCGGTGTCCAAGCTTGGGGGAGCTCGCGTGCCCGACGCTCTGGGTTGGGGATTGATTGCACGCGAAAAGCGGCTGATGTGAAACCCCTTCCAGACTGCCAGATCAGTCACTTATTACAATGAGTGCTGGGATCGCATGTGGATTGCCATGAAAGCCGCGGCCGCTAGGCACGGTACGGGCGCATGGTCGCCTAATCCACCAACCTTGCTGCCCTGGTACCCACAGCAGTTTGTGTTTGTACGGTGCCCACTGCTCTGTCTTCTCCACACACTGGCGACGGGCTACCCACGCCCCAACAGACGGGGGCCGCGCTGTCAGGCAGCCAGGCACAGGCACAAGGGAAAAAAAAAAGGGGATGAGAGCACGGACGGCGACGGTCCTTGTTTCGCCCCAAACAACGACGTTATTTGGTCTCGCGCTTGATGTCCCTCCCGCGAGACGCTAAAAAAAAATGGACTCGGTGGATTCTATTAGGCCTATGCGGACACGCGCGTGCATTACACCGCGCGTCGACGTTTAATAACCTCGCTTCTCCATTGCTACGGCTGGGAAGGGTCCGAGCTGTAAGTAGCCAGGTCTGCACCCAGCAAGTCGCTTAACTTGGGGTCAAAGGTCCGAAATTCGCATTGTCCGCCGCGGGTATGACATCGCGGCTAGTGTGGCAAAATGAAAATGAATAAAAATCTGAGGCTGACGGTTGTGTCGAAGCTGGCGACAGGCGGATGGAGGAAAACCGCAGGCGGGCGGACAGGGGAGGTAGCTCAAGCCCAGAACTTGCGTGCGGCCCCCTCTCCCCCGCCTCTGACGTGAGCAGTCAACCACTCATGCGAGGTACCCAGGCCGTGGAGGTCGAATGCGGCGGTAAGAGGTTCCCTGTGAAAGGCCAAATCCACGGGTGGTGTAGGCAGTGAGCAGGCCCAAACAAGCGAAAGCCACCAGGGGACATCATTGGTTGAAACATTCCGAATGGGGTGTGGAGACGACTTCAGGGCCTCCCCCAAGCTCTACCTGGCCATCCTGCCGTGGTGATCCAGCTGGTGCTGGTGCTCATCCTGGGCAAGATTTTCGTCTGTTCTGATTTCCAGTGTGATCTTGATTTGCCCCAGGGCATGATGCTCCTCTCAGCGATTCCGCCATCGCACGCCCGTGAGAGATGGGTTGACTTTCAGCCCCTGAGTCTATTTCAGGCCACGGAAGCCAGTCGACAAGAGTCGGCTCGCAGGCATATCGGTGGTCCGAGAGGCTGAATCTGCTCAGGGGGGGCGCGTTCAGGAATGCCAACGATAGCGAGGCGGCCAGAGCGACAGCTCCCTCGCCTAGAGGGCAGTCCCGAGGGCCGCGTGGCGTGGCGAATGGCAAGTCGGCGCCCGCGGTGTCATCGCGCAGAACCATCCTGCCTGCGTGAGGAGGGAACAAGAAACCGGAATGGCATCCCCGCTTGCCGTCGAGGTTGCCCAGTCTGGCTTGACCGAGTGATGAATGAACACCAGAAACGGCCCACGCCCGCGGGCACTGGCATCAGCGTGAGCATCAGCGTGAGCGTCAGCATGAGCATCAGATGCCGCTCGCTCCAATCTGCGCGCATGAAGACATGAACGACCCTTGATGCTTGCCCGCTGGCTTGCCCGCAATGGCCCATGCCGGCCGAACAGATCGCGTGTTGAGACCATCTGTACCATACCGTCCGGTTCCCCAGTATCAGACTTCGGATGCTGCACTTGCTCCACGCTCCGGGGGCCGCAACACACGCAGGAATCGAGGAAGTTAGATGTCCAACAGTGTAACACCAAGGAGGCAACATGGCTGGGAAGGGCAGGGTGAGCAAAGGTAAAGCTTTGCGAATCTTGAATTCATTTTATCGATCCCACTCAAGGAACCTCCTCCCACTTGTGACCTCGTCCTGCCGTTTTCGATAAGCATGCCGCAGTATCTGATTGATAAAGTCTCACGTCGTGCAGGCGTTCCCACGTTTCAAGCTAAGCTGGCAGGCTGAACAGCTTTTCTCACTCCGGCCGTGCTGGCGTGTGCATCGATGCCCACACAGCCGCGAGCCGTCAGGATCGATGCAGGGACAGGAGTTCAGGATTAGCTTTGTGGCGACTGGCTCCACCCGACTTGAATCTGAAATTCCCCGAAATTGGCGAGTGTAATGTAATCGCTGTCAAAGATTATCCCGTCTCGGCGCAACGGTCCTCGTCCAGCGACTCGTGTTTGCTCACGTAGAGGGGGCGACCGGCAGCAGGCGGTTGACAGCCCGGTTGGAGCCTTGTGGCTCCGTTACTAATTTGTGGTCGAGGCGACAAATCATCGCTTTTGGATTGTGACTTGAACGAAAACTCGAATTAGCACCTGGAGGCCTGTCCCCACCATAATTCGCCGGCGCCTGGCGAGGCTACACTCGGGAAAACACTCACCGATGTCTTCATCCGCAAGCTCGTGAGCCAGCCCCACTCGCTGGGGTTGATGCTTGACAGACTTTCCGTACACGATGGCCGTTTTGAATTGTTCGACGATGCTGCGGTGGATAGCGTTGCACTAGGGCATCCTGTCAGAATGGAACTGTCCATCACCTGACGCGGTGGGACAGCTCAGGAAATTTGTGGCTATTTCTGGAACTTACGAAATCTTCCACTGTGCACCTCGTGGAACGGAGCACGACAGGCGCAGAATAATCAGGCATCTTTCCATGGGGCTTGGTGTAGACCCGGACCAGCTTCAACTTGTCCCACCTGCGTGCAGGGCAATACCGTTTCATTAGCTCACCGGACAAACGATGGGTGGAATAGGGCCGGGGACGGGGAGAAGACGCACATGACTTCCATCAGCTCGTCAATATTCCATCCGTGCTCGGAGCTGATTGGCACTGCATTGGGGATGCGGTACAGCAGGTCAAGTTCCTCGATGCTTATGGCGTCTATCTTGTTCAGCACGTAAACAACGGGAATGTAGCTCCGGCTCTTGGCCTCCAGGATGTCGATCAAGTCATCAATAGTCGCGTCGCATCGGATGGCGATATCTGCTGAGGATATTTTGTACTCGTTCATGACGGCCTTGATTTCGTCATGATCAATGTGGGACAGCGGGACGGTACTGGTGATGTTGAGCCCGCCCTTGTCCTTCTTCTTGAATGTGATATTTGGTGGAGACTTGTTGCATCGGATTCCGAAACCTTCGAGCTCGTTTTCGATGACCCTCTTGTCAGTCAGTGGTTTGTTGACGTCAAGGACGATGAAGATCAGGTGGCATGTCTTTGCGACTGCTATGACCTGCCGTCCACGACCTCGTCCGTCCTTGGCTCCTTCGATAATTCCCGGTAGATCGATGATCTGTAAGGGCGCCCCGTTGTATTGCACCTGACCCGGCACACTTGTCAAAGTCGTGAATTCGTACGCAGCTGCTTCGGAGTGCTGACCCGTCAGCCTGCTCATGAGTGTGCTCTTTCCTACGGATGGAAATCCGATGAAGCCAACACTCGCGACACCAGTTCGGGCAACATCGAAGCCAGCGCCGCCGCCGCCGCCTCCGCCCGAGGGTGTGAGTAGTTCTCTCTTGAGCTTCGCGAGTTTCGCTTTCAGTTGGCCCAGATGGAACGAGGTTGCCTTGTTCTTCTGGGTTCGAGCCATCTGTCCATGCTGTTAGTATCGAATCGCCCATGGCTGCAACGTCGTACGTGTGGTGATGGGGCGCGTTTGAAGGCGGTTGTCGTCCATCGGGAATCTTCAACTATCGAACGAATGGGTCTGGCCGGGGGGTTGCACGCACTTCGGCCTCGATCTCCTTGATCTGTGGTGGATGCTGTCAGCCATGGCAGTCTTGTCGCAAACAAACCCGTCACTACTCACCTTCTCCACCGTGGTCGACATCTTTGCGGCGTTTCGTCGGGCGGCACGCCACTAACGGGATCAAAGCAGATGATGTAGTGTTTCGATGTGTCCGTAGCGTCTTCTGTGTGGCGGTAAGTGCCTGCGTTCGTTGTTGGTGTGGAGAGGAAACTGCCCAACTCGAGATGGCGAGGGGCACCGAGAGAGAGCCTCAGCAAAATTCTGCCCCGCTGATGTCACTGTCACCGCCTTCCCCCGAGCTTGTCACTACAAAGAGAGAGATGCCCGCCGAACACAGAATATTACTTAGCAGCCGGCTGATCGGACATACATAAAGGCAATTTTGAAATTGGTCCCATATCAAGCAAATCTCACATTGCACGACGCTGCTGAGTGCCTACCTAGCAGCCTAGGCATTCAGCAGCCACATCGTCCAATGTTCCGCGCCGCTGCATTTAGTCAGGTCACAGCACACTATGTCACGTTAAATAGGGAGTCACGTATTCAATAGCTGAAAGTCGCTCGCTATATTTGTCTTTCGACAACCAAATCGGCTGTCTCCTCTCAATTCATTGCTTGTCGCCATGCTATTGTTGATGCAGATACATAATTGTATACGATGACTAGCCACCTGGTAGCCACGAAGCCATCGCCTCCTTCCAACTTCAACTCGAGCTGGGGGGCATACACAGAGACTCTCCTGGTGTATTTCTCAGGATATGATGGAACCCCAGCCATCCTACTCACAGGACCGCGGTAACCATCCAAGAGCCCAGAGCTATCACACCGACTCTGCTAGCTTTATTGTTTTGGAGCAGGGAACTGTCTGATGAAGCTTGCCCCGGTTACAATTATCAAGAACTTGGGGCCCATACCACAGATCCCGTCGCTTAGATGTTCACAGAGATCAAGCCCCTTGCGCCAACATCCAATGTTGGCCGCGGGAGGCAAATTCTGCCAAGGTGTGCGTTAATGCTGCACAACGCTCGCCACTGCGAACCCCCCAAGAAGTTGTTTACTGCCGAAACGACGCAAACCGATGGTAATGACAACTGCAGGGTCATTTGTCCGCACGACCCATCGTTCAGTGATCGATGGCACCACCGCTGGCCGGAAGACGTTCAGCAGTACCATTTACCAGGGGCTTCTCCTGCTCGCCCGCCGAGCCAGTAGACGAGCGCGGCTGGTGTCCATCGCCGTTAACAAAGGTCGTAGCATCTGACTGCGGCGGGGAGAGGTCGTCGTTTGCACCCTGGAATGCTCGTTGCGAGAAGAGTTGACTGGGAGACGCACGTGCGACTGTAGTATTGGGAGGTGTCCTGAGGCCAGAGAAGAGATGAATAAGGCCTTGCTCTTTCGCAAGTCGCACGTAGTTCGGATTCGTGGGCGAGACCGCCGTCAGGCCACTTCTGGGCACTCGCTGCTCTGGCCACGGCGTCCTGCTGACAGTGTTGATATCAACCTTGCCTTCGCGGACAAGTTGGCCGTTGACGTAGTACTTGGGTCGTGGACAGAAACCCATGTAGCGGTCTGCGTCGGGGTCGTCTCTCCACCGAGACGGGTACTCTCCTCGCTCGTACTGTTCCACCGTCTCTGGTATCTCCTCGTACATGACCACGATCTCCAGGTTGCGAAGATGAGCCATGTTGGGGACGGAGAACAGAAGGTCAGACAACTAGAGCGGCATCGGTCAGTAAACTTCCGCACTCGAGGAGAAGCAATGAACAGCCTGCTTACCTTGACAAAGAACAAGTCCATATCCATGAACTTCAACTTGGACTCCTCCTGGAGTTGTCGCTTTTCCTTGAAGCTCAATTGTGCTGGTTCTTTGCCCAAGTAGTAGCCGGGGAGCTGTCTACCCAAATCCCACTCGTCCGCGTCGATGAGGCCGCAGCTGGGTCTGCCCTTGCCGAGTATGACGTACTTTGCAGCGTCGGATGCTGGAATATGGACCCAGCCCGAGAAGCGTGTAAGCTGGAGATCATTCTCGCCCAAGAGCAGAGCGGCTTGCGTATTCAATATCCACAGCTCACGTCCCTCGTCAGTGCCGGCGGTCTCAGGCCGGATGCTGTCGAACCGGACACCTGTCAGGATCCGGAATCTCTTGGCTGTCTCTGGGCTCCTGATGTTGACACCACGATCAAGCCAGCGCAGGAACGCGGGAAGCTTCTCAAGACGAGCCTTCTCCAGCTCCTCGCGCTTACGCAGCTCAGCCTCCCTAAGCATGCGCTGGCGTTCGCGACGTTCCTGCTCCTTGCGTTCTTCCTCCTCGCGTCTGCGTCGAGCTTGCTCCGCGGCTTCTTCTTCTTTGCGGATTCGCTCTTGCTCTTCCCGCTTCTTGCGCTCCTCCTCCTCTTTCTCCTTTTCGAGGCGCTTCCTCTCCTCTTCCAACTTGCGTCGGTCATCTTCCTCCTTCTGCAGTCTCTCGGCCTCCTCCCGCTTCTTCCTCGCCTCCTCTTCTCGTCGCTTACGCTCCTCTTCCTCCAGGCGCTTCTTCTCTTTCTCCGCCTCCTCACGCTGCTTGATCTCTGCTTGGCGGCGCTTGAGCTCTTCGTCCTCGCGACGTTTCCGCTCCTCGGCCTCCTTCTCTTTTTTCCTGGCTTCAAGCTCAGCGCGGCGCTTTCTCTCTTCTTCTTGCTCTCGTGCAGCACGGGCTTTGTTCTCTTCCTCCTGAACTTGGTCTGCGTCTCGCATCACGATATCGGGATCTTCAGCCTTGACATGAATGCTCTTCTCGGACGGGGCACATTTGCTAGATTCTCGTCGATTGCTGTCCGATGCCGAGTCGGATTTCCGGGGCTTGGACGGTCTTTCTTGTCGACTAGATCACCGTGTTTGCGTGACGACTTTTCATCCTGCTTTGTCGCAGTCGCACCATCACGAGGAGCAGTCGATTTGCGGTTGCGGTCCGGTGAGGAGCTTGGTTTTGGTAGTCGCTCCTTCTTTTCGGCATCCAGCCGCCTTCGCTTGACAGGCTCGCCTTCCTTCTCGGAGACACGATCGGGCGTGGCACTAGTACGGCTGCGTTTGCTGGAGTGCTCTCCGGAGACGGATAACCTATCCCGTGACTCGTCCCTCTTGAGAGCCTTAGCACGGTCGTGGTACTTCTCGGTCGGGGGCTCATGTGGATCGTCAGTGCGATTGTCACGGGGACTCGAAGGCTCACGAAGAGACGAAGTGTTGGACACCATGCTATGGCGTCGATTCTTCTCCCGCTGTTCCTTCAAATCCCTACCCGACATGAGTCTCTTTCGCGGCTTGGATTCGCCCTCGGACGAGAACGAGGCAGTGTCCATATCTGGGCGCTTCTGTTTGCTTGACGTTGACTTGCTGGCAGGGGAGTTCTCGCCGTCTGAGATCGCGATGGTGGGCAGTCCGCGGTCGTCTTTCCTAGGCCTCCCAGGTCCACGCTTAGGCGAGGTCAGCTCTTCATTCTTCGGACCAACAGAGCTAGTGCCTCTGGCTTCCTTGTCGGCTGTGCGCGCTTTTCCGACTGTGACGCGTTGACCGTCACGTGTGGGGCTTGTGGCCTTGCGCTTCAAGCTTCTGGCCGGATCATCTTTGGACTCCGCTCGAACACTTCGTTTAGACTCCAACTCCCGCCGATTCGGTGACTTCTTATGAGGATCTCGGTGGTTACGCTTATAAGCATCATAAGCATCTTTCAAGATATGCTCTTCTTCCTTCCAATTTGGACCTTGCCGTTTCTGAGCGATCTCGTAGTAGGGTTGTCCCCGGAATTTCCTGGTTGGGTCGAAGTTTGACTGAGCCAGAAGCAATCTTATAACCCTAATATTTTCTTGGCCAATGGCTGCCAAAATCGGCGTTGCTATTTCTGGGCGTTCCGAGTCCACTGGGGAAGGGTCTGGGTTGGCATTACCAAGGGCCAGAAGCAGATTCATGACCGTCTCATGACCGCCCCTGGCAGCAGCGACCATGGACTCTGCGTCGTCGAAATTGTCCCTAACTTGAAGGATACGCTCCACGGTTTCCAAGTCGCCGCGACCAGCCGCTGACCGCAGGGTCTTGTCATCCATGTGCATGTACAGCAGATGATTGCTGAGCTTATGGGAGCGCGAGCTGGCCGCCCTCCTGGTACCTGCGGCAGCGTCAGCCAGGGCGGGCGAACGCCGCGGGCTATCTGGGCCGTGCGATCGGTTGTCCTGTTGGTCTTGTTGCTCTTCCGAGGTTCGCCGACGGTCTCCCTGCTTTTTTCTGGCCTCCATCAGCGCTGCACGAATCTCCTCGCAATTCTCGAGCTCATCATCTACTCGGTCAAGTGGTTCCTCGCCATTGACGTTGGCTTTGCGCGGATTGACACCAGCTTCGAGTAAGACTTTGATGACATCGAGATGGCCGTTGTCTACGGCGTCCAGAAGAGGGGTATCCTTGTCGTGATTTACGCAATCGATATCACAACCCGCATCAACAAGAAGCTTCACAATGTCGTCGTACCCATTGATGGCTGCAATCTGAAGTGGGGTATTGCCTGCGTAATCGGGGAAATCCAGGTCCTGTGGGCGCTCGTGGAGCCTCCGCTTGACGTTGTCGTATTCGCCGCGAGAGCATGCCTTGGCGAGTTGCGTTTGGCCGTGCGCGTCTACGTGTTTTTTGTGAGCGGGGTTTTTGGCCGATGACATATTGGAGTCAGCAGTCGCTGGTGTTGTCAGGCCGCGCATTGTCGAACTCCGAATGTGAGGGCTTCCACTTGCAGAAGATTCGTCTGAGTGATAGTCGGTGGTAAGAGGGGGAGGAATACGTCTTTTCTTTTGGCTGAGCCCGCTGGATGACTGCGAAACGATTTGGGTGGATGCACTTCGTCGGTGGGTTCGAGGGTGTGGGGAAGTCGACCGTTGCCGCAACGACGAAATGCTGTCATGGTTGAATTTTGACTTCTGGTGATCGCGGTCCTTGTACTGAGGTCGTGGAGTGGAGGACGCGTCGATTGAGGCAGAAGTCCTCCGTCGGCGATTCTTGTGGCTTTCGTTATCGGCCTCGTCGTCAGACTCTGCTTTGGGGGCCTTCCTCTTGTGCGCAGCTGCTTTCTCTGATGACTTGGCTCTCGAGACGTCCCTGTCCCTGTCTCTAGGCTCTTTTTCCTTGGGGATGACTTTAGTCGACCTTGCGTGGACGGAATCGCCCTCGGACTCTTGGCGGATGTCACTCGATTGTTGGCGGGAGCGCTGCAGAGGAGACGCTGGTGCCGAGCTCAAGCCACTCGAGTCCTTACTCCGTGGGTGATCAAGCAGTCGCTTCCGCTTTGCATCGTCCGTCGAGAGGCCGTTGCCACCGCCACTGCCTTGTTTGGTGCCATGGCCATCGTTCTTGCCGCCGGAGGGCTTGCGTTTCGCTGGGGAAATGTCGATGACACTAGTTCGTTCCTCGCCGTCGCTAGCATCTTCGCGCTTGATCACCTTGCGGCTCTTGATGGGAGAACCGTCTTTGCCCGGAAGAACAATTGTCTCAGCCTCGGAGTTGTTCTCGGCGCCAGCCTCATCATCATGCTGCGGGACGGCGGCGGTTACACTGGCCTTGGAATCGCTAGACTCCTTGGGACTGTCGGTTTCTTTGGACTGTTTAGGCTCCTTGGGTTCTTTGGGTTCCTTTGGTTCCTTTGGGTCCTTTGATTCCTGAGCTGATGGCGTTGGTGGTGGAGGCGGCGGGGTCGAGGCCGACGCTGACGCTGGGACTGGCGGTGACTTGTTCAAGGTGGGCGGAGAGGACGGAGGCTTGGTGGCCTGATCCGGCTCGGTAGCATTGCCTGGCCTAGGAGAGGCGGAAGTGGAAGCAGGAAGCTTCGTAGCGGCGGACTCTGCAGCATTCTGCGCATCCATATCATTCAGTTCGAAGGTGAGCTGTTCCTGTGCACCATCATGGGCACCTCTGGACCACGGAGTTGGAGGGGGGGACAAGAGGCCAGTTGAACCGCGTCGAGCCAGACGACTTGAGGTGGAGTGGCGTGGCGTGGTGTGGTGTGCCAGAGGAGAGAAGAGAGGCCCGAGTTGTAGGACAGGACAGGACGGAACAGAACAGAACAGAACAAGCTGACAGGACAAGACTGAACCTGACCCTGGACGTGGATGGGGACGGGATGGTCCGGGCGCTGTTGCCTCGAGCAACTCGGTCGGGGTTGACTGAAACCAAGCCAACTGTCACGAGGACTCCCGGTCGATGGGGAAATCAAAGAGGCTGGAGGGCCGGCGCGCTGTGGTGCAGGGGCTGCAATCGGCAGGGCTCTTTTCGAAGTGCAACAAAGGCCTCGCGCTCACAGGAGAAACGGACAGAGGGCAGAAGAACAGGTCTAGCAGTCCAAGGCCGGTCCAACGAACGAACGGGTCAAGGCACGACGGCGCACGGGAGGGTTTGCAGAGGGTGCGGTGAGGTACGATGTGGTACGGGTGCGGGCGCGGGCGCGGGACGGCACTGGTCGGGTCGGAAGGTAGTGTACAGGATGGAAAAGACTGAGAAACTAATGATAATGTCTCAGTGTCTGTCTGTCCCCTTTCAGGATCGTGGGATGGGGAGAGGGAAGAAAAAAGACTACGCAGGAGACCCAAACGGAGCGTGAGTGAGCGAGGAGAAAGAGTCTAGGAGAGGCTAGAGAGATTGGGGTTCTTTTCTTGAATTGAACTGGCAGGACTAGGACTAGGTCTGGCTGGCTGGCTGGACTGAACCTGGATTGCATTGGGTCTGATCGGGAACGGGCTGGGACTGACTGGATGGAGCCCAGAGAGAGCCTGGCCGGGTGGCAGGGCAGGGACACACAATAAAGCAAGCAGGCTGCGGGACTAGACACCACAGTATTGACTACGACTGGGGCCTTGAGGGAGGGGGAGGTCCAGGGGGGGCCACACACCACCCACCACCCACCAAAGCTTGGAAGAGAACAAGAGGGACGCGCACAGAGGGACGCGCACAGAGGGAGGCAGGGCCAGAGAGAAGAAGACAGAGAAACGGGCAGACGGACGGACGACAGACACAGCAGAGATAAGAGGCGGCCATTGGCTGGAAGGGGCGGGAGATGGAGATTTTCGCTGGGTGGCCCCCCTGTCTAGCCTCGACTGGGTGCCTCTGGACCCCTGCAGCTCCCGTGGGTTCGAAGTGACCCAAGTCTGATCTTGCACCGCGCCTTCCCTGCGCGTTCTCATTGCCACCTCACCTGATTGGGCAAGAGGTCGAGCAAGCCTACGGCGGGCGACAACGTCCTGTGCTGTCGTTTCGAGCCCTGCCTGGTCCTGCCTGGCCCTTTTTTGCCCTGCCACCACTTCTTCCTCCACTGGTGCGCACCTTCTTGGATGATGTGTTCACTCTCGGTCGGTCTGTGGTACCGCAGTACCTCTTCCAGACTGTGACTCCTCACCAGAAGTTGAACATGACGACTGGTCCATTAGGAGGTACCCGCTGTCCTGCCTGCCTGACAACTCGCCTCTTGGATCTTGTTGCCTCGCCATGCACTTGGGCACTTTCCAGTTATCGTTACCGAGACGGGCTGCGCCTCATTCTGTGTGCCCTTGTCTCTGTCTCGTCGCGTTCGCTTTGCCTACCCTGGCACATGGACGATACTTTCCCTGCCCAAACGCGCAAGGCCACCTTGATCACAGGAATAACGAATAAGCTCCCGAGCACCACCAAACTTATTTCTCGTGCTGTCTGTTGCTCCCAGTAGATCTGTCTACCACTACCACAGACCGTCACGGCCGACTATCCCTCGGTCGTATCTGGCAACATTCGGCGACTCGCGCACGTACACACTGTTACAGTCGCTCCAGGAGGCACAGGAAGATTACTGCAAACAGCATTCCCAGCGTTATCAGGATCTGCCCTCTCGACGGTTTAACCTCGCGCGTAGTAGCGGGCATGGGCAGCGAAGTGAAGGGGACAAGGTGGTGGGAGGACAAGGACAGCCTGACCACGGATTCCCTAGGTCGATATCGAGTCTACTACAGTACCTACTCAAGTAGGTAGCCGAAATCCCCCTAGTGTTAGCCGGCTAACAATTTCCCACGGTTCTGCCTTGCTTCACCTCAGCCGGCTGTCACACAACACACACATCACCAACATCCATCCCATCATCCCATCCCACCAGACAAGACAGAAACTTGACTGGGACCGCTTTGGCTTCAAGGTTTGTAGGGACGCCGTCGCACAGCATGCGAAAGCTTCCCTGACTCGTTCGATTCTGGTCGTATTCCTGCAGTCATCAGTCTTCTATCCCAAGCTCCCCAGCTCCCAGCTCCAGCTCCAGCTCCCTGGTCTAGCCGGCATTAGGCCCAATCAGTCCCGCCCCCAGCCTTACCAAGAACAACCTTGCCTTCCACCCTGCTCCGGCTCTGAACCAGCTCGCGACTCTCAAAAAGGTTGCATGTCAGCGGCATCTCGGCCACGAGGCAGCCGACCTACTAGGAGTTGACTGCACGCAGATACGGCACACCCGCTAGCTCTGAGCCAGACTCCACCGGACGCCCGGACTGTGCGTCGTCTTGCCTGCAGAGACAACCCAGGTGTACAGCAATACCTGCTGTTCTGCGGAGTCATTCACCCCTCGATATACTCTCAGCCTGCCCACTACTCCTGTGCTCTTCCTCAGCACCCCAACAGCTGGGCCTCTAAATCGTACCGTACTCCTCGTGCTGCCTTCGCGTGGCAACAAGCAAACGAGCCGCTGTTGAGATCATCGGGGTCATTGAGTCGTACGCTTGCGAGGTCAACCGTCCCTGCACGCGCCTCGACCGTCTCGGCGACCCAAGCTCGAATCGAAGGGCAGCACAAGAGACCAGGCAGAAAGCATCCTGGGGTGCAGCATTTCGTTTTGGGTTGCACTGACCGTACCTCGCCCCCTCCCATGGGTCATGTAGCTCCCCCCACAGGAGTTTCACTCCCCTCTTCCCTGGATCAAGCCAGGATACCTCGCCTTCCTGCGACCGCGTACTACATCGCAGACTTCATAAGTGAGGAGGAAGAGCGTCTCATTTTGGATAAGGTGTGTTAGTACCAAGGCTGCGCGCATCAGTATTTCCCTTCTTCGAGGTCCGACTGGCAGGCTGGCTCACTTTGAACCAGATCTCGGGCGCACCGAAGCCCAGGTGGAAGCAACTCTCTCGTCGACGTTTACAAACGTGGCCGTCCGACCTGGTCCAAGACAGGCTCCTCGAAGCTCCTCTGCCAGCTTGGCTCGACGAGCCTGTTGTGTCGCGGCTGCTCTCAATCCCTCCTGCCGCCGACAAGTCCGCTCATCTCTTTGCGTCTAGCCCACACAAACGCCCAAACCATGTTCTCATCAACGAGTATCCTCCAGGGGTGGGTATCATGGCGCACAAAGACGGGGCTGCCTACCATCCAGTCGTCTGCACCGTCAGCCTAGGAGCCAGTCTTTGCCTCAACATACACTCGAGCAAGGAGGATGGTGCTCTTAACCCTGAACCAGCTTTCAGGATTCTCCAGGAGCCTAGAAGCCTCCTCATCACGACCGACGACCTGTACACCCAGTACCTCCATGGCATCGCAGATATTCAAGCCGACGTTGGTCTTTCGCCCGAGACTGTCAGCAACTGGGATATGCTCCGGGCGCCAGAGGATTTTGCTAATGGTGCCAATCGACGTTCAATCCGAACGAGCCTGACATATCGAGACGTTCTAAAGGTGTCGAAGCTCGGAAACAATATTGGCAAGTTTCTAAAGCGTTGACGGCCGATCAGCCTGGAGCCTCAGTACACGAAGGGTATCATGACCTTCTTCGGCGCCACCTTGTCCGACCCAAACTTGTCTATATACCAGCTCTTGGTCCCTCGAGCCGTCACACCCAGGTTCACAGCCACAAAAAGCAGCGCGGACAGCAGCGTCTGGTTGCACAAATGTCCCTCTGGGGCTGCGATAATTGCCAATGACAAGTAAATCAAGCATTCGCAAGTGTAATGGGGACTGATCAGGTGTCGAAACATGCCTTGTTCGGGCAGTGAATACTTCTTGAGGCCCGCCAGATGCTTGTGACAGCGGTACTGTGAGACCCAGGCGAAGAAGAACAGCGGCACCGCGATGGCCACCTTGAGCAGCGCGTCCTCCGTAAGCTGCAGTGTCCAGGAGCGCAATTGGTTTTGCAAGAGGGCGCCTGCCACACAAGTCAGCAACCAAGCCCCTCCGAGAGCAAGGTCCCAGGACAAAACATACCAGAGCCCTCGACCCAGACGGCCACGCTGATCCCCACGTAGAAAAGCTGCCCGAGAAGCCAATGGACAATCCACATGGTGGACTTGGACGGCTTCGCAAAAGCCCAGGACTCGTACAGCCGTCTTGCAGCCTGGAGCAGCATCAGGCACCACGCCACGGCGACGTGGCCGTTGTTGGCGCGAGATGGGCCGAGCTGAACTTGCCGGCTGGCTATGGCGCACAAGATTGAGCCGTTGAGAAGGTATTGGCCGGCCCAGAAGACAGCGCACAGAATGTAGGTTGCGTAAAACGTGAAGAACCACATGTGAGGGACCTGGCCGACAGAGGTGATCGTCCTGACCGACCTGAGCAGGATCTCGTCGTCCTTTTGCCTGGCGGCAGCGGTGGTATCAGCCGTAGGTTCCCCGTGACTCCGGGCACCGTAGTTGACCAGCAGCTTGCGTTCCCTGGATGGGGTGACGGCGACGGCGAGGACGGCACATGATGCGAGTGCGAACGCAGCCTGGCAAAGACGTGCCGGGCTCACCGAGTACAGCAGCTGGGCGGCTGCCTCGGGGAACAGCTCCATTGTCGTCTTGCCCGAGTGGGCCAGCCTGGTCCGATCGTGCGTGTTTTCGGTGGGTGAGAGAATAGATGCACCGCCAGCTCGCTCCGGCCTCGACGTCTGCTGTGCACGGAATCAGAGAACCTTGATGCTTCGGCCCGACGAGCTAGCAGCTGGCTGGCCTATGCTTTTTCGAGTCTTTGCCTCTTGTCTCTGGCGCGTGTCTCCACCACGGTCTTGGCTTTTGCTTTTGGCGCATTGCACTAGGGGAATTTCCGCTGGTGCGCCGATGCGCCAGTCACGAAAACTCTCAACTTTTGTCTTTGAGGCCTTCAACACGGGAGCTTGAGTGTGGGCGAGTACGCCTCTTCAGACCGGCTACGTATTGCTCTCCCAATGGCAGGCCAGACCATTCCATGCAGCAGCTTGCCTGCCTCGAGGGCTGGGTACTGTAGCCGCGAAGCCGGTCCGCCGAGCCCAACCACTATTCGCGACTAGGACGAGCGGCAGGAACAACACAGCAGCACCAGAGAACCACAGATCGACCACAGAGCACAACACAGCACGTCCACCAGAAACCGGGGGTGGCACGCCCAGTCAGACTCTGGGCACACCAGCAAACAGGCAGAAGCGATTGACATTACTAGCATCTCTTTTTCCACGGTTTCACCGCCTCTGTACGGCCATGGGAACCCGGCACCTGGGCGATTTGAGTCGTGCGGCGTTCTTCTTTCGCACAAAAAGCAGTCAGCCCGCACTACTGTGTGGACGTAGACCACATGCGAGCAGGCGAGTAGACAAAGGAAACGGCCGTTGCAGGCACTGCAGGCACTGCAGGCCGCCGGCTTGGCCTGGGCCAGCTGTTTACAGTATGATCGCCCTGGGAGGGTCGCGAATCGTGGCGGCCGGGTCTGGGAACCATGCAACCGCTGTGACGTGCTCCGGCATATCGTGAGATCCTGGCATGCCCGCTTCGCCTTCCCATCCTGACCACAACCCCTGGCTCGTGCTTCTTTTTTGCCCATGATTATGCCCTCTGCTGGCTCTTGTCGAGCCCCATGTGGTGGTTTGAAGCTAATGTCGGGCTGGTTCGGGGCGCGATATAGTGTAGAACAGGGCCCCCGTCGGTTCGTAACGGGCAGGTAGTTCGTCGAGAGAGATTGCGGTATGTGAGTGGGGTCCTGCCACGAACTCACGCTACTCTTCCGCAACTTACATGCAGCGTGTGTATGTGTGCGCATATATATATCGCGATGCCCCACGCTACAGAACGTCATTTGCACAATTTTTATCCCAGAGCACAATGCGCTCAGCTTTCCTCTAGGTCCCACGGGGTTTGGAATTTGGCAAGAAGTTGATTCGTCAGTCTTTACGAACCCGGATTAGAGGATACGTCAGTCAACCAGTCAGTCATGGCGGTAAGAAACTCTATTCCCACAGGATCACCTCGGGTAAGCAGGTACTGACAGACAAACCAAGGCACCGTATCCCCAGGTCGTGCTCTTTGGCGACTCTTTATGGGAGGGTTGTGTAGACGCTCAGGATGGCTTCTCATTCTACGCCACTCTCCAAAAACGTAGGTGTTCACGGGCATCGCCCCAAAGCCGCGCGGCAGACGCCCAGTTGCTGACCGGGGCTCTCACAGACTGCCTGCGACGGTATGATGTTGTCAACCGCGGCTTCTCGGGCTACAACACCTCCCAGGCCCTGAAGATCTTCGAGCATCTCTTCCCAGAGCCAGGCCCCAGCACGCCCAAGATGGAGTACTTGGTAAGTCCGCCCACTTCTCTGTGGCATGCCTGCCTGCCTACCTCCCTGCTCCAAATGGGCGACCTAGAGCATGGAGCATGGCGACCATGACATAAATACACTGCTAAGGCCATGACACTCACCCCACCGCGCAGATCGTCCTCCTCGGTGCCAACGACGCGGCCCTCCCGCTAGACGACGACAATCAGAGCGTGTCGCTGGAGCAGTACAAGGCGAACCTGGCGCGGCTGGTAGGCCACCCGCGCGTGGCGGCGCACGGGTGCAAGGTCCTGGTGGTGACGCCGCCGCCGCTGGACGAAATCCGGCGGGCGGAGATGGACATCGCACAACACGGGCGGGCGGTGCGCGAGCAGGCCCGCAGCGCGGCGTACTCGCAGGCCGCGCGCGAGGTGGCGGCCGAGCTCGGGGAGTCGGCGGCCGCGGCAAAGGGGGCCGGGTCGGTGGTATGTGTGGACCTGGCCAAGGCGCTCATGGACCACGCCGTCGCCAACACGACCGGGTGGGACGCGAGCCAGCCGCCGCTCGGGTCGGCGGCGGCGGGCGGGCGCAGGGGCTACCTCGAGCAGCTGCTGCCCGACGGCCTGCACATGAGCGGCGAGGCGTACCGCGTGCTGTGGGGGCTCGTCGAGGCCGAGATCCAGCCGCGGTTCCCGAACGAGAATACCGAGGGCTATGTATGGCCCGGGTGGAGGGAGGCACCGTGGCTGGAGCCGGGGCAGACTGTTGAGGAGAGGAGGAAGTCGTCCAAGTAAGAGACCAACTGCTCGTTCTGTTTGTCTATTTGCCTGTCTGTTCCTTTGCTTGTGAAGTGTTTTCTGTCTCTTGGTGCGAGGAGTCTGTAGCGAGAGGGTGTCGGATTGGGATTCGGGATGCCCACGCAGGTCTTGGGATGGAGTTCAACATGTGCACGATCCAGTGATCGGTGCCGGGGGGTGTGTGTGTGTAGGCAGTGAGTATGAGCATGCCGTAGTCTACATGACATGTCAGACCAAGTGCTAGCCAGGTAGGAAAAGAGATGGGTTATTTTTACATTCTTTACATCCCAAGCTACGGTCAAACGCGATCCAGTCTCCGGTGTCTTGGATGTCCAGCTTTTACCCCTCCTGTCAGGCCGCATCGAGACTTCGGACGGAAACCTGGAGACGGAAACAAGACCAGACGGATGGGGCGGGGCTTACATAAGTGGGTGATTCGCTCCGCCGCGCATCCGTGACTAAATCGAGAACAGGCCTGGGCTTGGCAGGCCCCAACCTGCTATGGGCTGTAGTACGTATCCGCACCGCAGGTACTGTCGTAGCCCAACAAGGCAGCCACACAGCAAGAGACACAGGGCATGAACGACAGACAGACAGGCAGACTGGGGGTGGGACTAAACTCGACTGGGACTGGGAGCTGAGGACACTGGTAGACCGGGGTGACTGGGATGATCCAATCGATAATAAATCACATCCATCATCATCACACAGCCTGCCTCCAACCTCCAGCCTTCCCCCCAAACGCACCGACTTCACGCCACGCAGCATCAATCCACGCCCGCCCCAGCATCTGCTGCATTTGTTTGCCTCTTCTGCCTCGCCCTCACCGAAACTCTGTCCAGAACCCAGCGAGTGATTCCTGACCCCTCCTGCTTGCGTTACGAACAATCCAACATTGTCTCTCCGACTGCCGATTGCACCTGGCCTTAGCGAAACGTCCGCCCTTGCTGTCCCTCTCCCGCCCTTGCCCTCGACTCGTCAACACCCACTGCACACTCGCCGTCTCTGTCCGTGATCGAACCCAACCACCCACCCGCGACGATCAAAATACACATTCCCAACACGAACACCGTCTCTGCGACTGTGCCACTGCGACCTCGGCCTGCCCATTCCATCGAGACATCCACGCCATCCCCGGAGCCCCCCCAGTGCCTTCGGCCAACTCGAAGGAGCGCTGCACAGGATTCCCGCCTGGCCACTCGGCCGTGAATAGCAACAACAAACCCAGGCGGCCATCGTCAGGCCTCTTTAACTCTCCCCGAGTCAAAGCAAATCAGGAACGAGGCAGACAGTTCCAACATCAGTCAATACCGGACCGATTCTTCCCCCCCCCCTGTCACGCATTCTGCCGACGTTCGCGTTCCATTCACAGCTTCCGGCTTACACGCGAACGCAACACCCCCGTCCCCGACTTGTACTCGTGCGTCAGTGCTGCATCTACTGCAACAGAGCAACATTGCTACCATCCCAACGCCGGCAGGACACATCGCAGAAAAGACCTGCTGGTCTTTGCGTGCGATGTGGGGGGCGTACAACCTAGTGGTCTGATTCTCGACAATCGAGGTCGCAAACGACAACGTCTGGGGCGGCTCTGCGCTGGGTGATACATTGGTGTTGACCACGCACGCGCACGGGAAGACACTGAGGAGCTCAACAAACACAATCACTCCTCTTTGCGGTGCCCATCAGCCCGGGCCCCAGCGAGCGCCGTAGTTGTCAGCCTCGTCCGCTCATTGCACTCCCCGCCTCTTTCTGTCGGACGACAGCCTCCAGAGCCATCACCCGACCAGTCCATCCTGGGCATGGATTCTCGTCTGACGCCCCTCCACCAAGAACTCCATAATGTGCAGATGGAAGTGAAGCAAGTCCAGTTCATCCAAAACAATCATGCCGATAGGTTGATGAGGCTCGAGAGACGCCAGACAGAGGATGCCGTCAAGTCGGTGTGGAATCCCTCCCCCTTCCCTAGTGTCCTGGGAGGGACACCCCAGCACGGTGAGGCTCTGCCTGCAATTGCCAACGTGAACGGTTCAATTCAGAACATGTTGCTGACACATATGACAGGTCCTGTGCAGATGCCCAACAACGAGGTCTTCGATGACTTCGACGATGAGCAGGGCCAGAATCTCTTAGGCTCGCTTCACCTGGACGCCGACGAGGAGCCCACCCGTCGAGGGGCGGCGTCAAGGGCAAATAGTGTCCGCTTCGACGAGGCTACTCTTCACGCGTCGAACTGGGGTCAAAGTGCGCGTCATTCCGGCGAATTCGGCCCTGTCAGGCCTGGAAGTGGCCTGGGAGGTCCCACCTTGATGGAGCGCTCGTTCTCGCACAAATCTGACGGCCGACATAGCTCTGCAGGCCATTCGGTCCATTCCTTCCACTCGGTGGCATCCGGCCGGACCAGTAGCCTCGGTCTTGACCTGCTACTGGGCAGCAGCAGGGATGATGATGACGACGACTCATCGCCGATAGAGATCACCCGTCCGCCGCCAGGCTTGATGTTTCTAGGGCCTGTCCCGTCTATTGTCCGTTGCTGGCTCACAACCCAGTACGCGCACATGACACGCTCCTCTACGCGGTTGTTTGCACTGGTTCTCAGAAATCGACCCTCGACTACTCGCTTCTGAAGGAGTTGAACCTTGTGGACGAAGCTCATAGAAACATCAATGGGGTTTTGCATGCTAGTCTTCCCGTCTACTTTGCTGAAGCCACCGTGGCTCAATCAAGTTCTCGGTCCTCTAGTCCGTCTCGTCGACAGGTGCCTTACATCAATGTCGACTTCGAGATCACCGGAACGGAAAACGCCGAGGTGGGGGATCACAAGCAAGCGATCCGCATTTTCGTGGGCAGCGACACTCTTACCTCGAACAGTGCCGACCTGCTCTTGTCTCAGAATCGGATGACGCTGTTTGGCAACGGTGATGATCGTGACAGACTCTCGGTGCCCTTTGTCCGCCCCGAAGATGAGTCTGCTTATAGGCACATCACCACGCTCAATGTCGTTCCGGAGAAGCCCAAGCTCAATGCCAGCGCGCCGGCGTTCGTGTCTGGTGACCCCCGGCCCCAGACGGCGGCGGTCCCTGACCAGGCGGAGACGTCTGTCTCTCATACTGATGCAGGAGAGTCTGAGCTGCCGAGTCCTTTCTCTTCGACCACAAACCAACCGGCGTACTCATCGAAGACCACAGCCACGAGTGCTCCATCTGATAGCGGCAGCGAGCGACAACAGAGGGATACCGCTCCCAGTGTCGAGGAAAGCATTGGCAAGGAAAATGCTGCAAACTCGGACGGAGGAGGGCGGCGAGACTCTACGGCTGGCATCTGGGGATCATGGCGACAGGGCGGCTCAGCCAGTGGTGGCGAAGCTTCTCAGCGCGAGAACGGACTGAGTGGGTACCAGCCAGCGGGCAGGGGCGGACGCAACATGAAGATCTTGAAGCCTCAGAAATCGGTCTCGATATCTTCCTCGGCGGCCCGCAACGGTACGAGTTTCGACACTCCGGGCACGTCCCGGTCAAGCGGCGAGTTCAGCCGGCGCAAGAGCCAGGGCGCCGCCTCCTCTATGTTCGACCCAAACGGCAGCTCCTCCCCGGCCCCGGCACCCACGGTGCGCTGGGACACGGTCAGGCGTAGTGTCAGTGCCGCCACTCCCAGCGCGATGTCCTCCAACAGCGGCGGGGCCCCGCCGACCCCAACGTCCACGTCCACATCCGCCACCACGGACAACAAACCCAAGGCTCCTGCGACACGCGCGAACCCCGTCGGCGGCGCTTCGGCCTTTTCGTGGATGGCGGGCGGCGGCAGCAAGCCCATGGAGAAGCCCAAGACCCCTGCGACGCCTGTATGAGTGGGATCAAGGGCGGACTACTACACCTGACTTGAGTAATTGATTTGACTTGGTTGACAGTGGGTGAAGTCGTCGACGGTGACCATGTATTTTGAGCTGCACCCCGTCGTTTGAACAGACCCGAGAGCACACTCCTGTTGTGAGTGAGGCTAGCTATGGCAGTGCCGGGAAGGCTTTGGTCTATGTTGTTGTGTTAACGCACTGCTCTACACACTCTCCCACCTATTCGATGACCGCCACCGCACTCAACCTTTTTGTTCTCATGCTGCCTCCTTCTCTACCCTCTGTGTGTGTCTCTGCTTCGTGTACTATTACAGACAGTACAACGTCGGTCAGATTAGCAACTTCGCTCAGGCCTCTGAGAGGGGGCCTCGATACAGTACATACATACCTACGACCTACCTACCTAGTTGAAGACAGAATCAGACAGAAAATACAGATAAATTGAGATAATCTCTAATGTTTGATCAGTGAGCCCTGGTATTCTAAGGTAGGTATTTGCTGGGTTTCTCGCAGCCTGACTGAATTGACTAGTTTCTTCTGAGAGTAGTAGAAGGAGCTAAGTACTTTCCCATGCCCCTTGTGAGGAGAATCAATGTGTCTCAGACAGAGAGCAATATCCACCGGCACTGAGCAGTAGTCTAGGCTTGAGGATGCGTCTAAATATTTCAAGGTCACATGAGGAGGCCGCACTTATCCTACATTTCAATTTGCATGTCACAAGTATACTTTTGGCAAGGTTCAACGTATTTGAAGGCTTCATCCCAATCTTCGACTTTCTATTTGTCCATACATCAAATATGTAATGTCCTCGCTCTCTCGGCTTCCGTTCCTAGCTCACCCCAACAGGAAGACTTGCTGCAGGCGGCAGATCTCTCTCAGCACAAACCCAGGATGCTGCTCCTGGAAGAATCAGGCTGGCTAATGCTCCAATTGGCAGAAGCTTCCATAAACAGTACCGCTGACTTCTAGGCCCTCTGCTACGCCGAAAGGCTGGCAGTCGTAATGCATGGGGCTCAGCCAGCGAGGCAGAGTGCGAGGGGCTTTGCTCTCCCCATGTTACTTCCCAGCCTCTCACGGATCTTGTCGAGTGACACAAGCGTTGTTTGCTCCATGTCCAGGCGCTGGATGTCACGGGGAGTGGCCGCTACACTATAGCCACGCCGTGGTCCAGAAGGTACAGAATTTCAGAACGTCTTCTGGAATCCTAGTATAGCCTGTGTAGCTGTGCCATCCATCCTAGACGACTCCTTAGTTATCAACACCAGTCACATCACCACGACTTTCAGACCGCACAATAAACCATGGAGGCAGTCGGAGCAGCCGCGTCCGTGATCTCGATTGTTGAAATCGTCGGCAGGGTCTCCGCCTCCGCAGCGTCCTTCATGCGCGACATCAAGGACGCGAGGAAGGACTTGATCCAGGTCCGCAAGGACATGTCGGACCTGTCGACGCCCCGGGCCGGCGACATGCCGCACAGCCAACAGCACATCATCAACATTGCCCACAGCTGCGGCGCGGTCTTACTGGAGATTGAGACGGTCCTCCGGGAGGGTCGCTCCCGGCTCGCGTGGGTTACGTCTGGGAAGGAGAAGGTAGACAGGCTCAGGGAGAGGCTGGAGACGTGCAAGTTGTCGCTTCGATGTCGCGCTGGACTATCGGACTATGTGAGTTCACCTCCTTCCCTTTCAACTCGCATCCGCACCTGTCCAGGATGGTAGTGTAACCGGGCTACAGGGTCGTCGTTCATGACATCAAGGAGGAGTAGCACCCGGTTCGTGGGTGACCTCTCCGCCATCCAGCGTGATGTGGCGCTCCTCCTCGGAAAATTCGACAACATCGAGCCGAAGGCCGCGGAAGGCCAGGGGTCGGCAGATGACGCGGTGGGTCTTCCCGGCGGCGTGCTGATCGATCGCTTCTTGAACGATTGCAGGAGTGATACCCAGACGGTTCTGGACAACGTCGAATACCAGCAAGACCAGGACTTCGAAGACATTCCACCGTCGCAAGTACAGGCCGAGGCCCAGGAGTTGGCACCGGTGTTGGCACCGGCCTTCAGACCAGAGTTGACACTGTCCTCCCCGTTGCCGACAGTGCTATTGAAGACAAGCCTGGGCCACGAGCATAATATTCCCTTGGAACAATGCAGGACATGGCCTGTAAGAACCCCCCCCCTCCCCCCAGTGAAGAACTGCTGGACGAGTCTAGCTGCGAAAGTTTGCAAGATTTACAGAATGCAATAGGACATGTTTGAGATCATCCAGTGCTGTTATCGGCATGATCCGGCCAACACAGAAGAAATAGACAATGGCCGGTTTACCCTATACCACGATGGCCAGCCAGTACCGCCAGCATCGTGGGATGATTTCGTTGGCCCTGGGCGGAGCATTGGCCTCAAACTATGGAAAGACGAAACGATCGACTTCACGGATGCCATCTGCAGGATGTTTCTTCCGCCTTGGAGTGTGGTGAAGACTTGGAAGGTGAGCCAGACGTTTTCCCAAGCTACGTACCTTTTCCGTCTAGGCATGTGGATGCTGTGCCCGACAAGAATGGAATCATCCATGCACGGGGGGTGCAAGGCATAATCAAACAGGCCTTCCTCCACGTGGAGCATCACGGGGATGGAGTCGGCAAAGACTATGTCCTCAGGAATGAGGTCGACAAAGGCCATTACGACCTATTGGGGCTGGACGACACGATCATAATGCCCGTCGCGTGGGAGCAGGTCATCAAGCCCGGCATGGGGGTCAAAACGAGGATGTGGCCCGAGGAAACATGCAAGTGGCTCGCTAGGCAGGCCGGAAGATGCCAGCCAGAGTACACGGCGAGGCCGGGCTGCTCAGCGTCGATACAAGAGGAACGATCGCCGCCGGCGACGGGGAGCGTGCCTCAACCTCCTGTGGCGGCGGACAGTCCTCGAGAGCCGATAGGTCTCCCAGCGCCGCAACAACTCAATCAGAAGCAAGACACAGGTCTTGGCTCCTTTGCCCCTGATGTCTGACAACACAGAGATTGGCAACAACACGCCGCCCGCCGGGACTTCCTGTACCGATAGTGGATGACAGACCTGTGAGGCCTACAGGACTTTCTGCCTCACAGCCTTCTAAGGGCTCAAGCCGCCCCAAGAAGGCCAGGCCAAAGCTCAACTAAGGGTTCATTCGCTTCGAATTTTTGTGACATTCTGTATAGTAAGGGGCCCTTCATGTTGAAGCCTCAGGAGCAGTTGAAGTTGAACACCCACGAAGCACGTGAGGTATCTTGACTTGCAATCGCCTACGGTTGTTTCTGTTGTTCACTAATGCATGACGAGATACGAGGACGGGCGCTACTCTTTTGCCTGAGTAGTGACTGGCTGCGGAGGGCTACCCAATCTGCAAAAAGGCGTCGAGGACTAAGCAGCCGGGCAATTCAGACAGGGTTGAGCATTGATGCAGTCAACGCAGAGTTGTGATATGGGTGGATCGTAGATCATGGCTTATGTACAAGCGATATACAATGTATGTATGGTACACAATTCCAGGCAATCCTGCTCTGGTACGCCAGTGACGGCACGTCAACGGGAGATTCCCAATTTTTACTCCACGTCTTTCCTCGTCGTCTCATACCTGTTCAGCTAGTTAGCATCATGCATCTCGCCGCAACTTAGACAACAAGAACTTACCTCTTTCCACGGAAGGCCCACACTCCCCAGTTACCACATGTGACATCCTGGGGGTCCATGTCGTTGAGATCCCACCTCAGACTCCTAAAAGTGTTCTCCCCAGGGTTCAGCAGCAGGTCGAACTCGCCAGCGGCGGTCTTGTTGACCCAGTCGATGTCCCTCTCCATGTCGTACTGCGTGTAGCCCGTCACGATGATGGGCGCCTTGGTCTCGAGCAGCATGGGGATTGTCTCGGCCCACTCGTGCGAGCTGGCCGGGTGGCCCAGGCCCGGGTGGAAGAGCACGAAGCAGTCGAAGTAAGGGTCGTAAGGGTAGAAGTGGCCTGTCTTGTGGATGGTGTGGTAGTAGTCGACGATCGTGCTGATCTTCATGTTCTGCCAGGGCCGCTCGACGACGGCCCCGAACGGGTTGCCGGGCGTCCTCTCCGGGAGCGGAAACTCGTCGTCGCGGTTGGCCATGGCCTCCGGTCCGATGAAGATCAGGTGGAAGCTGGAGCGCGGGAAGAGGTGGGCTAGCTGGACCCAGGCGTCGCGGGGAAGCGACGACTCGGCCCGGGCGCCGAGGACGAAGAGGCGGACCGGAGGCGCCTCGAGGCGCAGGTTCTTGACCTCTGTGCCTCCGCCCGTCCTGGGCGGGTGCAGGGTATACCGCAGGGCGCTGAAGCTCTTCAGGCCCTCCGGGGTCAGCTGGCCGCCCGCGCGCAGGGTGTACGGGCTGAGCTCGTGCAGGATGCTCCCGACGGTGATGGGGTACGTGAGCAGCCTCGTCGCCTGGCGCATGCTCCTGTCCGAGTTGATGGCCTCGAAGTTCCTCGTGTACAGGAACGTGTCCCAGTTCGTCATGTTCACCATGGCCTCCTCCAGCTGCGGGCCTGCGTACTGGAACTCCGGGAAAAACCTGCCTGACCGGAGGTCATGGTCGTCCTCGTTGATCTGCCTCAACGTGTCACATATCTCCAGGTGGGCCTCGTAGTCGGCCATCCAGTGCTCCTTGCTGCAGTATACGGGCACGCCGCAGTCCGGGCACTCGAAGTCGACGTGCGCCGGGGGCAGTGGCGCAGTCTCAGCGTCCTGCCGCAGAGGCTGGCCACTCTCGGAGAGCCGGGTTGGTCGGTGATCTGGACAGGGGCAGTAGGCATGTTGGCGCATGAATGCCGCACGCTGGCGTATCTCGGGAATAGGTGAGTCGGTGTATGAGTGGAAGAGATTGTCCTCCGTGAGGACTTGGTTCTTGGTGGCCGCGAGTTCGCTGTCGACGTCGTTCTTGGATCCAAAGGCCGTGGCAGCTTGCGCGAAGCTCGAGGAAGATCGCGTGATCCCTTCTGACCTCGGGGCGTTCACTGCGCGCCTTGTTGGCTTCGCGGGCTTTCCCGTGTGTACTGTCCGCGCAGTCGTTGACGATGCTGCCACACGAGGAGCCCATCGTTTCGCTGTAGTTCGGGCGCACTGCCGGCACATGGTGCTCAGCGCAGCGCGCGCTGCCGAGTCAATTGACGGTGCCATCGCAAGCCAATTGATACGGATAGGTAATCCTCCCAGTTCTGGTCCTGGTAGGAAAAGAAAAGGTCTACTACAAACGTAGTCTCTTGGATCGTCAGGCCTCTTGAAAACGCAGGGCGAATGGAGTGAGGTGGGAGGGTGAGCTCATGATTTGGAGAACCTGCCTGGGGGTAGGTGTGGCTGAAGCTTAACTGTTAAAAGTGGCGCAGCAGTTCGTGCCATTTTTTTCTGGTAGAGGGAGAGCTGGACGGGAGCTTTCAACCTCGTCGCGCCTGCCTGGAACACCCAACCAACCGCTGGAGCTTCGAGCTTCACAAACAATCCACCCCACCCTCGACACTCGCGAAAGGCTGCTCCAAAGTCCAGCGTCAATAGACCCATGAGGGCTCTGCGCAGGCCATCTGCGACCCAGAAGTCAAGATGGCGACCACGTCCAACATGTTCCTGTACTCCCTGACGATCCAGCCGCCGTCAACCATGACCCAGGCCATCCTGGGCCAATTCTCAGGCTCCAAGGAGCAGCAGATCATCACGGCCTGTGGCTCGCGTCTCTCCCTCCTGCGGCCCGATCCGACCCAGGGCAAGGTCATTACGCTGCTCTCGCACGATGTCTTTGGCATCATCAGGTCCATCGCCGCCTTCCGCCTGGCAGGAAGCAGCAAAGGTAAGCTTCGCCCTCTTCGCAACCCACTCCCCTTCTTAAGCGTGGGCTCTTAGTGATTCAAAGCCGACCTGCCAGATCTTTCGCCAGTCCCAACATGATCGGGCTGTGTCTGTCTTTGTACGAAGGGCCCATCTTACGTTCCAGGCTTTTGCTGATAACGGTCGCAGACTACATCATCCTGGCCACCGACTCTGGTAGAATCGCCATCGTCGAGTACCAACCGTCGCAGAACAGATTCACGCGGATCCACCTCGAGACCTTCGGGAAGTCGGGAATCCGCCGAGTCATCCCGGGCCAGTTCCTCGCAGCAGACCCAAAGGGCAGGGCGTGTCTGATCGCGTCCGTTGAGAAGAACAAGCTCGTCTACGTTTTGAACCGAAACTCGCAGGCAGAGCTCACCATATCCTCCCCCTTGGAAGCGCACAAGCCTGGTGTGCTTGTCTTCTCCCTCGTGGCTCTCGACGTCGGCTACGCGAACCCCGTCTTTGCCGCCCTCGAGACCGAGTACACGGAAGCCGACCAGGACTCTTCAGGCCAAGCCGCTCGGGAGGCGGAAACGCAACTGGTGTACTACGAGCTCGACCTGGGGCTGAACCATGTGGTTCGTAAGTGGTCCGAGCCTGTCGACCCCACCTCGAGCCTGCTGTTCCAGGTCCCAGGAGGCAACGACGGCCCTTCGGGTGTGCTTGTCTGCGGCGAGGAGAATGTCACATACAGGCACTCCAACCAAGAAGCGTTCCGGGTGCCCATTCCACGGCGGAGAGGCGCAACAGAGGACCCCCAGCGCAAGCGCTGCATTGTTGCAGGTGTCATGCACAAGCTCAAGAACAGTGCCGGTCTTTTCTTCTTCCTGCTCCAGACCGATGATGGAGATCTGTTCAAGGTGACCATTGACATGGTCGAGGACGCCGAAGGCAACGCAACTGGCGAAGTCGAGCGCCTGAAGATCAAATACTTCGACACTGTTCCGGTCGCATCTAGTTTGTGCATCCTGAAGAGTGGATTCTTATTTGTTGCGAGCGAGTTCGGAAATCACCAGTTCTATCAGTTCGAGAAGCTCGGTGACGACGACGAGGAGCTCGAGTTCAGCAGCGATAACTTTCCTACCGACCCGCAGGCCGCCTACGAGCCCGCCTATTTCCATCCTCGCCCGAATGAGAACTTGGCCCTGGTTGAGAGTGTCAACTCAATGAATCCTCTCATCGACACCAAAGTCGCGAACCTCACAGACGACGACGCACCACAAATCTACGCCGTGTGCGGCAATGGCGCACGTAGCACATTCAGGACGCTCAAGCACGGCCTCGAGGTTAATGAGATCGTGGCATCGGAACTTCCTGGCACGCCATCCGCAGTCTGGACAACAAAGCTTCAGAGTGACGATCAGTTCGACGCGTACATTATTCTGTCGTTCACTAATAGCACTCTGGTGCTGAGTATCGGCGAGACTGTTGAGCAAGTCAGTGACACTGGGTTTTTGGACTCGGTCCCGACTCTCGCCGTTCAGCAACTCGGAGACGACGGTCTCATTCAGGTCCACCCCAAAGGAATACGGCATATTCGAAGCGGCCGAGTAAATGAATGGAGTGCACCACAACACCGATCTATTGTGGCTGCAACCACAAATTCCAGACAGGTGGCCATCGCCCTCAGCTCTGGCGAGATTGTCTACTTCGAGATGGACGAAGACGGGTCGCTGGCCGAGTACGACGAGAAGAAGGAAATGTTCGGGACCGTGACGTGTCTGAGTCTCGGCGATGTCCCTGAGGGTCGGCAAAGGAGCTCTTTCTTGGCCGTCGGGTGCGACGATCGCACTGTTCGCGTGCTGAGCCTGGACCCTGACTCTACTCTCGAGAACAAGTCCGTCCAGGCGTTGTCTGCAGCTCCATCGTCGCTGTCTATCATGGCGATGGAAGACTCCGCAACGGGAGGGTCCACTCTCTATTTGCATATTGGTCTGCACTCTGGCGTCTACCTGCGGACGGTCCTGGATGAGATCACGGGCGACCTGACAGATACCCGCCAGAAGTTCCTCGGCATCAAATCTGTGAGGTTGTTCCAGGTGACCTGCCAAGGATCGGTCTGCGTCCTTGCCCTGAGCTCCAGGGCGTGGCTTGGATATGCCGACCCCCTCACTCGAAGCTTCATGATGACCCCCCTTGACTATCCTGAATTGGAATGGGGCTGGAGTTTCAACAGCGAGCAATGTGTGGAAGGCATTGTAGGCATCCATGCCAACTATCTCAGGTCAGTTCTCCCTCCTTTTCTACCACCACGCCCCCATATTTCATGATGATAAAAGGGATACCGACTGCCTTTTTCTGGCTATGAGGCCTTGTAATCTTTTTAAAGATTTCAATTGTTCCTTCTGATGAAACGCACGAGCCCGAGAATTTTGCCACTATATCTGCATCGGAGCAATACTGACGGTGCAACAGAATCTTTTCGATCGAGAAGCTCAGTGAAAACCTTATTCAAAAGTCGATACCGCTCACTTACACACCCAAGAAGCTGGTCAAGCATCCCGAGCAGCCCTATTTCTACACAATCGAGGCTGATAACAACACGTTGCCCCCAGAGTTGAGACAACAACTGCTGTCAGATCCAGGGGTTGTTAATGGCGACTCCACAGTCCTCCCTCCTGAAGACTTCGGATACCCTCGGGGGCGGGGACGATGGGCATCTTGCATCAATGTAGTTGATCCTGCTTCAGAAGAACCTTGCGTTACATACAGGGTAGATCTGGATGGCAACGAGGCAGCAGTGAGCGTGGCTGTGGTACCCTTTGCAAGTCAGGATGGCGAAAGCTTCCTGATTGTGGGTACAGCCAAGGACCTGATCCTCAACCCACGACAATTCACCGAGGGCTATATTCACGTATACCGGTTCCAAGAGAACGGAAGGGAACTTGAGTTCATTCACAAGACCAAGGTGGAAGAGCCGCCAATGGCTCTGCTGCCATTCCAAGGCAGGTTACTGGCAGGCATCGGTACAACATTACGGGTCTACGATCTGGGTCTACGGCAACTGTTGAGAAAGTCGCAGGCGGAAGTCACACCAAACCTCATTGTGTCTCTTCAAGCTCAGGGAAACCGCATCGTCGTCAGTGACGTGCAGCAAGGTGTGACGTATGTCGTGTACAAGCCCGAGACCAACAAGATCATACCCTTTGTGTCTGATACTGTCAACCGATGGGTAACTTCAACGACCATGGTCGACTATGAGTCAGTGGCTGGCTCCGACAAGTTCGGCAACGTCTGGATTCTGCGGTGCCCCGAAAAGGCCAGTCTTGAGGCTGATGAGCCAGGGTCCGAGGTCCACCTTACCCACGCACGGCCGTACCTCCACGCCACGCCTCACAGGGTAGACCTCATGGCCCACTACTACACGCAGGATCTGCCCACCAGTATCACCAAGACGAGTCTCGTGGTCGGTGGCCAAGAGGTGCTGCTATGGGGTGGCATCCAAGGCACCGTTGGTGTCTTCATCCCCTTCATGAGCAGGGAGGACGTGGACTTCTTCCAAAGCCTGGAGCAGCACATGAGGTCCGAGGATGCACCGCTCGCAGGCCGTGATCACCTCATGTACCGTGGCTACTACGCGCCAGTCAAGGGCGTGATCGATGGCGACCTCTGCGAGAGGTACTCGCTGCTTCCCAACGACAAGAAGCTGATGATCGCGGGAGAGCTGGACCGCTCGGTCCGGGAGGTTGAGCGGAAGCTTTCGGTGAGTTCATCCCGGCTCTCCAACGTCTTTCCCCCTAGTCCAAGGTCAAGGCTAACAAGCTCATGCAGGATATCCGCACACGCTCTGCATTCTAGAGTCATTGCTGTGAATATGACAAGGCGTTGTGGAATAGGGTGGTGGTAGCATCTAATGATTGTTTCATTCAAGGTACGCGTTCTGTGTATGTACATACAATGTGGTGAGATGATGGGTTCTTCTGCCGGGCGTCTGGTGCAGGGCATGCATGATATACCAACCATGGGCTGAGGTCGGCCTGCCGCACTCGCGATGGGGAAAAGGCAGAAATCAACAAAAAGTCTGGCTTGCTCGACAAACATCTTACAACAACCTCTAGCTCGCTCTGATGCCCTCCACCACCCTCCCGTATCACGACGGCCCCTGCCGCTTGAGAAACGCAGCCTGCGCAGCCCACGTCCCACCGCCGCCACCGCCCCCCAAGCCGGGACCCATCCTCCCCTTGCCCTTCCCCTTGCCCCTCACCGAGCCCTCGAGCGGGTGCGCCCTCTCCCACTCCTCGTCGGCGAGGTACCTCTCGACCGCCTCGCCGAGGTCCCCGCCGCTCTGCGCGAGGTACAGCTCGGCGACGTCGTACGCGGCGCACTTGCACGCGACCATCCAGCGGCGGATCCGCGCCTTGCGCGCCTCCTCCTCCTCGCCTCCCACGGGCCGCGGGCTCAGCGACACCCCGGACGGGTAGTGCGTCCCGGGCACCAGCAGGGTGCGCCGCGCCGACAGCAGGTGGTCCGAGGTTATGTTGTTGTGCCGCCTCAGCACGGCCGCGGGCACGTTGTACCGCAGCGAGAGGGAGGGGATCGTGTCCTCTGTCGGGTGGACGAAGTGGAGCGTGTCTGGGGGCGGTGGGCTGTCGTCCTTGGACTTTTCATCTCGGGGGTGGGAAGAGTGAAGCGCAGACGGCTCGTATGGGGGTGGTGCGTCGTCGCTGTTATCGTCGTCGTCGGGCGTGTCTGTCGTCCGCGGGTGGGCGGCGGCCGTCTTGGATGTCGCGGAATCGTACGAGGGCGGCTCGCGCAGGCCCTGCGGTAGGGGGTTGGACGCCTCGCTGGCGACCTGGCAGTAGGGGCAGTATGATGCGAAGCGGGCGTTGTCCTGTTGTCGACGCACGTGCCTTGTCAGCCCAGGTCTGGAGGGGGCATGTATGTGCACATTGCTAGTGGGGAGACGAGCGAGAACTGACATGTATACACCGCCCGCAGATGACCCTCGGGCAGCAGTCGAGCCTCCTGTCGGCCGGGTACGGCTTCTCGGTCTGGGGCGAGCACCTGGGGACGTCCGAGAGCACCGTCGCGCAGGTGCAGCACGCCTCGGAGGCCTCGCCGGGCAGGATTGCTGACAGGGGGATCTTCATGCTCGGGAATACCAGAGAAACATCCAATCTTAATACAAGAATTGCAAATATGCTGAAATGGAATATAGTTGATAGGGGACGATGATGGTGTAAGGTGGCGGCGAGGTGACGTTGTTGATTGTGGCTTATCGATAGGGCGCGGATGATCTGCGGCCGAGGCGGCACCGAAGCTCAAAGTGGTCTACGTTTATGGCTTCTGGGTTCTCGTTCGGTCTATACCTATTGATAGGATTGGCTTTCTCATACAGTTGGTTGCGTCGTATTGATTAGGAGTCTTTATTGAATAATGCGGATACAAGTTCTATCTTGAAGGATTAAAGATGCCGTCTAGCATGCTACCTGGACCACAAACTCGATGCGTCGCCGACGAGCCATTCATTCATGCTCACCTGCTGGGAACCAGGACCAATAGTCCCAAAACACCAATGTCGCCAGTGATGCCCACCTTCCTCCTTCATTAAACTCACTTTTGATCCAGCTCTCTCAAGTCCGTATTGACGATCAAGTCATCCTTGCCTCTCATATGCAGCACGATCGTCAGCCCCTCCAGTCCAAGGTCAGCCTGTTGGCCGCCATCAGCCTCGACCTCCGACTTGAGTCCGAGATACTTCTCCTTCCAGTCGCACTGGTGGTCTTGGCCAACCTCGGCAGCACCGGCATCCTGCCCCTGACGGCCGTCCTCGATCTCTGTCTTTAGGTTGTTGTACTTGTCCTTCCAGTCACACTGGTGCTCGCCAGCTCTTTCAGCCGTAGGCTGCTGGGACCTGGCTGCGTGCTGCTGGTTCGAAGTACGAGTGGAACGCGGTACGTCTGACTGTTCCCGAACGAGCTCTTTCGCCTTTTCCTTGTCCCAGGCGGTCGGTCTGCGCCTCTCCGACTTCGACGCCCGGTCAACATGGTGCTCCCGACCCGTTTCGGCGACCGGACGGTGAGGCCTGGTGGGGTGCTGCACCCCCGACTGCTCAAAAGTGGTAGCACTTGCCCTGCCCTTTCCCTTCTCCTTGGCCGACAGCCTTGGTCTCTCTGGTGAGGTGTCACCGGTCAAAGAAGTGGCAGAGCTGGGCACGCAAAGCCCGGCTGGCTTATGGTCTTTGAAGGTTGCACTGCGCCGCACCGCAGCCTCCATGGACTCGTCCTCAGGCTCAGAGATCTTCGAAAGGAGGATCCGCGCTTCGGAGCGGATCTTCCTCAAACTCCTCTCTGCGTCTCTGGGAGAGATTCTGGTTCTTGTATCTATGGGGGGTTGGTCGTGGTGAGCCTGATGTGAAGTTCTTGTCTTGACGGGGCTCAGTCTTCTGCGCACATCGCGGAAATCTTCGCCATCGATTTCCTCATCGGTCCTGAACCGGTGCGGGGAGCCACTCGGGCGGTGCGGGCGGTAGGTTTTAACCTGCTCTCGCGAGCGCATGGTCTCACCTCGCGGAGGACCACGCTTTGTATGGAACTCTTCAAGCCTGTCGCTGTTGGTGCTGATGCTGTCGGGGCCGCGCAGCCAGCCTGGAGGCGAGCGGATACGGCTCCTGGGACGGCGCTCAAGAGGTCGAACTTCTTCCCTGTGCTCCCGACGACGATGAGACTCACGGCGCGAGGGACCTTGATCAGGCGAATGGCTGTGTGGATGCTTATGATATCGCTCGTGCGTTTCAGTCCTCTGAACGTCATGGGCTCTCTGCTCAGGACGTTCGGGTGAGAGGTATCTGTACTCGCGACGGTCGGGCTCTCTACCTCGACGACTATGCTGACGTTCGCGCCATGAATCATCGTCTTCGCGATCTCGATGGGCTGGTTCACCTTCGTCGTCGTGCCCATGACGCTCACGATGAGAATACCGATGCTCTTCCCGTTGTGGGATGTCCGTGGAACCCTCATCGAAGCTGTGTGCTGATCGAAGTTCGCTGCAGCTGACACTGTGGCGATAGGGCCGGTGCCCTCGGTGAGTTTCTCGACAAGCTGGGTCACTACAATGCTCGTCCTTGTGTTCGCTGTCGGATCGGCGAGAAATACAGTCGGAAGGAGCAGTACCTCTTCTGGTGGCCTGGCCTGTATGTACATGCTTCGAGGTCGATGGTCCACCTGCTGAAAGACGATCTGCTACAATGAAGGGATTGTCCTTCACAGATGATGTTCTAGATCCCGTTGGCTTGGGCGGAGGTCTTGTGGCGGATGCTTGACGCCCGGAGCTTTCGCCGATATCACGCTCTTGTTCAGTGTTGTTTAGTTGACTCGTCCCAGCCTCGGCCCCTTCTAAGTGCTTCCCAGATTCCTCGGCAGGAGAAGGAGGTACGCTCCTGTTGTAGCTGGTGAGGGTCTCGCCGTCGCGTATGGTGAGGTGGACGCCCCCTGAATCCTCAAAAGCCTTGTGTGCCTCATCGGCTCCCTCGGGGATAGGGCAAGTACACGTCTTGCAAAGGGGATGCCCACATGACGTGCAGTAGGTGCGGACGTTCGAGACCCTCGCGAGACAGACGTGGCAGGTCCGCACAGACGGGTCGACACTGTTTGCCCCATCGAGGTCTGCAAAGAGCTTGGACAAGTCTTGCACGGAGACGAAGCCGTCGCTGACGGCGACAGGGCTGCCTGTGCGTTCTTCCGAGAGCTAGCCGGCAGGACGGTCGATCCCGTGCTGCTCGAATAACTCGCGCGCCTCCGCCATCGTACGGCCGGTGCAACCCTCCTTTGGTGATGGCATGGCGAGATTAGGATCCCCAGACACACGGCGAAGGGTTCTAAGCGGCTTGACAGGTGCGAGGTTTTCTAGGCTAACGTGGGAGCGGACAGTTGTGCCGGGGGGGTTTTGTGTCTCGTCGAGCTTCGACGTTCTCGACAAGGCGGATGAGCAACGTCGCAGCGTGCTTGAGGACTCTGCGTACAGTTCTTGAAGCCAGGTGTGATGAGAGGTGTATTCTTCGGCGTCGGGCTTCGAGGCCCCCAATGTGTCCTTGCAAGGAAGCCGGAATATCTTGCTGGCAGTGGGGAAAAGTGAAAGAGGTGGTAAGAATTCTTCCCTTCCTAATGTCATTAAAGGAGCGGAGCTAGATAGACTTAGTGGTCATCGTCGGGCGAAAAGAATGGTCGAACTGACGGACAGTGATGCTGGTGATGGAAGATGTAGGTACATAGGGTATGAACGCATCCGGGCATGGCCCTGATTCTAAATGCCCCAACGGTCAAGTGCTGAGCTCGGGGCTCTGGAAGTCTGCGTGCTTGGTCAAGAATAACATGGAAGGCGCTGGTCAGTCAAGAGAGAAGCCGCGATACACCATCTCCATTCCCCGAGCGTGAAGCTGAGGGGGCAACCGACAACTCCCAATGAAAACGATGACGGATGGCTGACAAAGGGATGGAAGGAGCGAACATGCTGGCGGTTGGACTCCAAAGACCACGGTGGACGGGGCGGTGATGTTCGAGGCAGTGCTTCTGGACCATAAATCATGGCTCCGAGACACTGGTTAGGTTAGATTGGACACATAGAATTGATTAGCCACAGAGCAAGATCAGGGGCTTGAACGCAAAGGCCTCTTCGGCTAACATCAAGTCTAATTGGACCGCCATCTCCAACAAAGATGCTCAGAAAACTGGTGACGTAGTAACATGGCGACGTTCACTGCGTTCCGGCCAAGCTCATTTGTGCAAGATCAGAAGTTCGGGATTGGTATTCTACATGGGCGCGATAAAACCACCACTCTACTTCAGAGAAGCCTGCAGAGTCTCGAGAACCTGGTGGGGACACGTTAGTATGACGATTCCAATCACCATTCTGTTGCCCCGTCTCTCGACCGGGAAACACGCGGGACAAGACTTGCCTCCAGCTCAATCTTCGCCTCGGCAATGTCCTGCTCGCTGCCGCTGCCGTTGGCAACCTTCTGCGCCTCGGCGAGCTGGTTGCGGACGGCGTCGGCGCTGAAGTCCTCCAGGGGGTAGGCCTCGACGGCGTTGATGCTCAGGGCCGAGTTGGGCTGGACGACGGCGAATCCACCGGACACTGCGATGACACGACTTTGTAAGCTTCCGAACTACATGACTGTGGCTAGGGCTATTCGTTCGACGTTCGGTTGGGGGGAAATTGGGGAGCGAGCGCGACCGCTAGCGCTTCGGGGCCACATACGGAAGAACTGCTTGCTGCTGCCGCTCTCCTCGACGATCTCGACCAGACCGGGCTTCAGCTGCTCAATTGAGGGGACGTGGTTGGCGAGGACACCCATCTCGCCAGACTCAGCGGGGAGGTTGACCTGGACGACATCCTGGGACTTGTAGAGGGACTGCAGTGGTGCATGAGGTAATTAGCTATCGCGGTTCATTCGCCCGTTCGCCCGCAGGTTCTGTTCGTCATTGATCCTCCTCGTTCCTGACCATCATCGCCTGCAGGATGCTTCCGGGGGGATAAGAATTTGTCGTCGTCGTACCTGGTGGGGGAGGGTCAAGCTGAGCTTGATCTGTTCGTCGTCGCAAAGTCAGTGAGAGCTCGATCGGGTGCGGCGCGGGATTCGACGGGACGAGGGCCTTGGGCGACTTGCCTTGTCGTTGACGGCCTCGGCGTAGCCTCTTCGCTGCAGAGGGGCCCGGATGGCGGCCGGGCGCGCTCGGAGGGCTGCACGGGAGGCGATGCGGAGGGAGTTCATGATGGCTGGTGGACCAATTGATGTGTATTCACGGCTTCGCAGAACTGGAGCTCCGAGCGCGGTTGGCAAGGCGAGAGAAGGCTTTCCAACGTTCCGGGTCCAGCCTGCCTCTTGGCGATCACGTGCGCCACCCGCTGAGTCATCATTCCGCGGCTCAATGTCGGCAGCTCTCGTCGAGGTCTACAGCAGGCCATCCGGCTGCTTTCATGAGGGAAGCATTTGTCACGAAATCAAACGGAGATCCTTCGCGTTGTAACAGACATCATTACCATCGCGAAAGACTTTGCTCTCCGAGTATCATCATGGGTACCCTCTTCCTGAAATAAGTGCAGGAATTCATCACGAATGAGCGTCCCGATGAGATCCAACAGTACGCGATGACAGTATTGTGTCTCGCGCCGGCGACCACAGATCATCACTCCGAGCCCATGCCACAGATGACCCTGCTTCGCTCCGCCACACTTCTAATGAATCTGGACACTATTTCATCTACAAACTCCTGCATGTGCGTCCCAGGCGCGCCGAGCTCTGCGCCGGCATCGACGAGGAGCTTTGTAAATGCGGCTCGCTGATGCGCCAGCTCGGCGTGCAAGTCCATTGGATCAGACCTAGCAGAATGAAAAGAGCGTGAGCTGTCCTGGCTGATGAATTTTGAAAGCCATCGGATCCAGGGCGTCGTTTAACTCCGACCTCGTCGGTGGTCAACTCCTCATCCACTACCGACCCCTGATACACGTCAGATTCCTCGTCGGTGAAAAATCTCTCGTTCGGGTTATGGCCCTTTTGCAGTAGGTATTTGACCACCTCCGTGGAGACGACAAAATCTTTATCTGCGTTAGGCAAGATTGAGTGCTTCATAATGAACAGGAGTGGGCGGCAGGTAGCGCGATATAGCGGAGGAAAGACGGTAGATCTGCTCGTATATTTCGTTCCGAGTCGGACCCTGCTTATCCCATACAGTCTCGCTGGGCAGGTAGAGAAGCTGCTACCGTCACGCACTCGACCCGGTTCAGGCGGCATCAACGCGCGCCGGACCTCGTCCGGGTCTTCAACTGTCAATTGCACCACACTGACCATTCCGAGTTCAGCTGCAATGGCGAGGCCAAGAGATAGATCATCGTAACCCTTCCGACAGTTCGGGTTATGCGGCAGCCAGAGTCTGGCAGGATTCCAGAATGGCCCGTGCGGTCCATTGCCTGCAGTGAGGCCCTGGATTCGTGAAATACTGGCTGCCAGCATTCTGGGCGGACAGTCGGTTGCCTGGGCATGTAAGTTGTGCTGGAGAGCATTGTTGGAACATGAGTTCTTGAGTTTGATGTTGCCCAATCGGTGTAGACTGGCCAGCTTGGTCCAGAGCGAGGCGAGGATCACATGGGGCTCAAAACTTCCGCGCTCATTGTCCACCCGCAGGACGTCCCATTCCCTCACCCCTTCCGTGCGGAGAAACACGTAAAGGGACCTGTAGTTGGAAAGTTAAGTAGATAGTAAATAAACTAATGAATGGTTGATTTTAAAAAAAACATGGCGTGGTCAAAGCCATAATTATGCTTTAATACTCTAATCTAAGTAAAATAGGCTTAAAGGTTACTTAGCAATATTCCTAAGGACCACTGACACCGGCGATAAGCCAAAAAAGACCAGGAAAGGGCTGGCTGGCGGGATAAGTCATGTATCTTGTTGTGAAGTTGTCCGTTCCTGGCAATGCATTAGGCAGCGCCAGCAGAGGATCGTCGATCAGGTGAAGCGACCAGTCGTCTCCAGACATACTGGATCCATGAAAAGTCAACGCAGCAGATTCCGCTGTACTCTGGTGTTGATCATTTTGACCGCCTCGATGAGGTTGCCACTCAGCGTCTGAATTTGTACTCGGTCCACCGCATATCAGTGCTGATTCTAAATCATCATCGTACTCGATATCATTACTAGAAGGGCTAGATGACTCGGTTTCTGATGTGCTTCCGATCTCGTCGGCGGCTGTTGCAGAGTGTCCGGCCGTCATGGCGTATAGCTTGTTGCCAACTTGAATGACTCCGCCGATGGTAACAAGCCGCCTGGTATCGCCATCCTCGATCACAGCAGTCTTCCCGCAAAGCGTTGTGCCGGGATCTCCCTCGGCATAGGTACCAGCGTTCGCTGCGTGGTAATTCAGTCTTTGAATCTCATAGCAGAGACGTAGAGGCGGGTGGTACTGGTGTTTAACCTTTCTCTTGGACAGGGCTGCATGGTACTTCCGCACCGCACATCTTCTTCCGTGCGAAAATTCGTGAATCGTATAGAAGGAAAAGGCTTGGAACCCGCTATGCTGCCGTGGATTAAAACTCTCTCAAATGGTTTGTAGCCCTCTGGTAGACCCAAATACTTGCCCTCAGCCCTGATGAATGACTCAAATTCTTGGAATTTATTCTCTGCATCTTCAAGTTCCCGAAATGTAGCCACCTCTTGGGCAGTGTCTCCGCGCAATTTTGTCCAGTTTACCCTTTCTAAAACTCGCCGTATTCTGTCATTCTTTGTGATTAGTTCGGGCACTGGGTGTGCCCCAATGCCGTTCCGTGTCGACAAGGACTGTTGAGTATTGGCTTTGGACAGTGTGGCGGACAATTCCGCCGGCGCGACGTTGACCTGTCGTTCGATCGTTGGGGACTTCGACTGCGCATTAGCAGAGGCAGATTTCTTGGCGTTTATGGCCTTTGATCGCATCTCTGCAGAGCTCTAGACGAGTTTATTCGTTAGTGTCTGTTCTCCTTTCCCCTTGTACTTGATTAGGTTCACGTACACTGGCCGTGTGCGTGGGTACGTCCACTTTACCTCGAACTTCTGTTGTTCGCGCCTTAAATGTAGACGTGGGTCCCTTCTGGAATTCATTTCGCCGGAAAGCATTTCGCAGAGAGTTTAACACAGACGCATCAGAGGGTACTCCCGGGATCTATCTGTATGTTGGCGACGGTGCTGGTCGACGTTCTTTGCTGCTCCATGATGACAGACATTGCAGACAGGTGAATAAGAACACTGATGCGGGGTGGAGGATGGGTTAGCCTTATGAGACCAAGTTGCTTCGGGCAGCTGAAATTTAGCAGGACGGAATACTATGAAGTCGCATCGGGGCGTCGATTGCATGACCAATTATGGAACTGCATTGCGCCTCGTTCTGCGTGGTGGTGTCGTCCCCCTGTACACATATGTATACCACACACAAATCTGCAGGATATATAAGGCTGCGACTTTAGGCTCGTTGCCTAAATATTTCGATTCCCAACCACGAGACTTTTGGCGGTCTGGGGGCAAGTCCTGAGGTCGTCTCGTGCACAACCATGGAAGCCATACGGAGCTTGGTTCGATCAATGTGGGGAGTCGAACTGGACGACGATACCGAGAGAAAATACAGAACATGCCTTCGATTTTGTCTTGTCCATGGTCTGGATCCGATCGAGGAAATTGAGTTTGTTATTGGGCTGCTCAAAAAGAATGCCGAAGCCCCTAAGCGCGTGCTCAAGGAGGCCTTGGAACAGATTCGAAAAGAACTTGCAGGAGGAGATACAACGGAGCAGCAGCTCAATAGCATCACTTCGATGAGTGGGGTAGCCATTCCTTCAGTAACTCAAAGCGTCAGGGACAGCACTCTCTGTCCAACGTTCGATACCAACCGCGCTCTTGCCAAAGCCGCCCTCATCATGCTGGCGACGGAACTAGCCATGGATTCGAATGAAGTCTCCGGGCATTCTCTTACGGTTTGGAACGATTCAGAATCTTTGCGAAGTATCATAGAGTCCACTCTACCGAGACTTCGAGCCTCCACACAACCGGCGTATTCCTCGCAATCGCCCGCCTCGTCTCAGATTCACCCGACCAAGCTCCGTGTCAAGTATCTTGTTGATTATGCCGATGTGGGGATAATCTGGACGAGACATCTTCCCGATCACCTCGAGCTGGAGGGAAAGAAATCGAGGATCTTCGAGGTTGCGTCGTACCTTGAGCTCTCAAGAACTGCAATGAACGATGAAGCAGGGGTCGGGCTAGCAGACTGCTTGAAACGGTGATATCCTGCCCAACGTCAAAATTCGATTTGAGCTACAACTTAGGCCAACAAAATTAGGGGCTGCTTCACATCTCAGTTCCTCACAGAGACGCTGATGACATACCCGCTGCTCTTCCCGCCCAAAGACCGGCAGTGGCTGAAATCCTTGATCAAACCACATCGCAGCTGGACAGGATGGGGCTGGCCCACCATGACGACCGCGCTGGACCCAAGACTTGCCGCACCTTTTGACAGCACGCTTAATACAGACAGATACCACCGACCCCTTGAAAATAGCCACGAGCTGTACGAGAGGTATCCGTACTGGGCCCCACGATTACACGCCCTTTATGACGAGGCACAAGAACCTAGTCCCATCACAGCTCTAGGAAGGTGGGCTGAGAGGCGACGGGCAGACGGCACACATATTGGGTCACTGCGGCAGCGTTCACTCTCGCGATAGTGTTTGGTGTTACATCAACTGTGGTGGGGATCTTGCAATTATGGGTCTCATATTGTCAGTGGCAGGTACCAAAAGGTGGCCATGGACTTCAGGATGTCATCACTCATTTCTGTAGACAACAGTTGTGGGTCGTATGCACTCTGATATCGTCGGACTAATGCTAATGGTCGTTAACAAAGGAAGAGATTGGCGTAATGTTTGCCGTGACTGATCTTGCGCAGAGTAAGCTAGAATGTTGTGCCAGCTCGGTCATTTCTCAGTCAAACCTAGTCGAGATACGAATTCTTTATTTCAAAAGTTTTCGCCTCAGCTGCCTTGGTATGTCCTCAATGTTCCATCCAAATCAGCGGGTTTCAGACCACTGCATTTTACTAGATCACAAGCAGGTCACTCGAAATTCGAAATGGGAAGCCCATACTGGTGTAGACTATACTTGGGCTCATATTTAGAATCTTGCATCTGACTGATCTGAAATTATTAGTCACATTCTGCTTGAAGTATTCCTCATCTCACATAGTTCTGATATAATAACAATGCGGTTGTGCTGAATATGGTTTGAGTGTTCAACTATGTTGAGACGTAAATAGATATCCGATACACGACATTGCACTTGAGATACAGATGTATCTTACCCTTTCATCCTGGTGTATCTGAAATTATTTGTGACATTGCACAAGGCAGCCTTACTGGCAATTGTGGTTGCCTTGTTGAGGTTATCAGTAGCCATAGGAACAGAACTCGACTCCGACCATGACAGTTGAATCTCTCACCTTTGTGATCAATGAATTGGTTATGGTGCCTTTCGCAGTAGAGGATGTCTTACGACAATTATCTCGAGCGAATATCGAACGGGGGGTCGTTTTTCGATGATACTTGGTAGTTGATTCTTCTTTGAATTACTGGTATGTTACTGTAGTCTATGAGGTACTCATGGGTATAGACTGGACGATCAGTGTCTGAACAGCTCAAAGGGGTAATGGAAATAAAGTGAAAAATACCAGGGATGTACTTATGAGCCAGGTAGTGATATGGAATCCGCACTGAGATACCGGACATTTGAGGTTCGGTGAATGGCTTCGAGTGCGAGAAAGGTTGCAACCCGAGTACACAGTTTAGAAACACAACACACGATCTCGTAGCCCAGGTTGATAGAAAATGGTGTGCTATTTTACGTAGACTACCAAGAAATGCTCCATGTCAAGCTGATCAGAGCAATAACATAAAAACACCCAAGGACTGGTCAATAGAGACTGCTCATGGTAGCAACACAGACATACAGAAATCATGGGCATCCTCCACGTTAAACCCTTAGTGTCTTGTTGGAGGACTCTTGTCGAAACCAAGACACTTCGTGGCGTGGGTACGCCTGGCTCGAAAGGAAATATTTACTTGGGAACTCTGATTATAAGCATTAATCCACGCTCGGAGGGTGTGTGCGCATCAATTCCCCTCTGTAGCTAAGTTTCATTACCACATGTAGTGACAAGATGGGCTTCTAAGTTGGGGAGATTTCCTCCAAGTTTCATGATGCCATACATATCATGGAGAGCTCTTCAGACTTATCATCAGCAATCCTTCCAGTGTTTCTTCGACGGGCCACAGCATGCCCTTTTCGAGTCGATCCGGGTACTATTGCTTGTGGCCGAACTCGTAGCCGCTGAATGGGCAGAGTGAACAGCCCAAGATCCCAGACGCAGGACAATAGCAGGGTGAGTCTTTCTCTGAACCCTTCCTTATTGTGCCACCGCTATCAAGAGATCTTCATCAATACATCGCACAGGGCTGGGTGTCCTCGACAGCCGAGTGCTTGTAGCTCTTGACACAAGAAGTGAATATATCCCAGGAGAGATGCCGAATACACGTTCTTCTACATTCAATGTGAGCGTGAAAGCCTAAACTTGTCCTGCCTATCTCATGACACCACGAATTCTTGGCCCTTTCCAGATGATAACTTTCATATGTCCCAATTCGTCTATCCTGTGGAGGCATGTACAGCTGGATGACACCGTCTCTTTGAAAACCGATCCAGGCAAAAACGCAGAGCAACAAAAACTCGCGCCCGGCTCCGTACGGCACGGATCCGGCACGACGGTGCGAAGACGCTCACGAGTCGGCCAGTCACCAAGCCCGCCAAGCTGCATTTGATCTTCAGCAGATTACTCCTGAAGATGGTCCAAGACCGCCTGGGAGAGGGACCGGCGTGAGTAATGCGGCCAAGGAACGAGCTGGCAATACACCTCCGCGGCCCCCGCCTTGGACAAGATGGCAGGCAATGCACCACAAATTTCTAGAACTATGGTCGCTTAAAAGGGTCGATCCCCTCGAGAAGCTCACGGAATCCGTATTGGAATCCTTGGCGGAACAAATATTGTTGAGGAAGGGCTCGTGCTCGTGATGGTGAATTCCTTGGGTAATCACCACCAACCAGCGGTAGGGGGCTTGGCCCTCTTCCCCCGTCCCTACCTGTCACCCAGGATCGACACTGTCTGTTAGCTAATACGTGACAGCAGCCTCTCTATTGAAGCATCATGAGCCTCCCAATCTCGTAATAAGATCATGTAATACTTTGGTTGATTGACAGAGCATGCCCACGGCCCTCAAGCACAAAGGAGGAGGTGATCGAGCAAAGTGCATCAGGAGACCACCTCCCCAAGAACAACCGACACCTCCCTACCGAGGAGGACCACAGCGCTGATCCCAGCGTCAAAACAGCGCAGCCCAAACAGCAAAGACGATCGCTGCCGCGTCCCGTGAGAAATGCGTGTCTTGGGACCCCTTCGGAAAGCAGGGCATTGTGCAACCACGCCAAGCAAGGGTTCAGCTTCTTGTCTCGGGTCTTAATGCCCGGGAGATCAACCGCCATGGCGCCAAGGGGGCACAAGCCTCCACCGCCGAGCTGAGTGACAGCCGCAACAGCCGGAACAGCCGGAAGCGCCCGAGTGAGGGATGATGGTTTTTGGCAGTTTCCCTATCGGCGTCCGTACGTGATGGACAATCAATGAATGATTTAATGGGTGGGTTCTACAGTCAAGGGCGCCAGCATCTCGCAACCAGAGGTGATCTACAAAAGAAAATGCAGGTTCTACGGGTTAGGATAGGTCGGGTCAGGTAGGGTCGCCTCCATTTCCTGATCACGCGCACGGTCTTTCGAAACACAAGACACGCCATCCAGAGAAAGAAAGAATACAGCCGCCTGGCAGCTGTCCTTCTTTCGCGGCCTTTGAAGGCGCAACGGTTTCAACACACCCGGACAGGAGCCTGAGTCGCCGGCCAATGGGGAGACAAAGGAACAAGAGCTTGGCCTCCTCCGGACGTCGTCCGGAAAGCTGCTGCTTGAAGGAATCCAAGAGACAAAACCCCGCCAAGGTCGGACCGCCCGTCGTGCTGGGGGGCCTTTTACTACTGTACTGTGTCTATTCCTGGTGGTTGTAGGCGCGGCTGTTCCCTTGTTGGGGTCCTGTCTCTCGAGGCCCGGACAGGTGAGAAGCGGTCTAGTATGTGTAAGGGCAGTGTCACGAAGCGGTAAGGGGATGGTTCTTTTTCTTCTCTTCTGCCTTCGGACCTCGGGAAGCGCTTTTCGACGCAAGGTTCGGACGGGCGCCTAGCACCAGGGCTCTCGTGGGATGAGGCCCAAAAAAACGTCGCGAGCCCCGTTTTGAGTTCCTTCGACTGTTCCGAAACGGCACTTTCGAAGTGGGAAGGCCGAAAGCTTGAATCCGCGAGGGACAATCTTCAACCACCCTACCCTGCTGCCCCCATTGTCCTGCTCGCCGTGGAGCCCCTGCCACACAAGCTTGAGACATGTCGCCATTAGACAGTACAGTTAGTCGCGGTGACGCACTCCCACAACCACGTTACGTGCATGATGGGGTGCAGCAGCCCGCCACGCGCGGGGCGGGGGGAGAACAGAACCAGGCATGGTCGTCGCTCGCCAGAGAGCCCGCGCAGTGCAGCGCAGCGCAGCAAGCGGGTTTTCATGCAGCCGTGGCGTCATCGTGCTGGGGAGAGAAGATGGGCGCGGCGTCGCATTTGAGTCCATACTTGTTCCTCTTTCCCAGCGTCCCCGGCTTCCGAGATATTATCTCGTAGGCGCGGTTGCCACCAACCCCACGCCCGACCTCACTCCCCACCGCGTGGGAGAAAGGGCACGAGGACCCAGACCTGCAGATTTGGAAACGCGATTGCAGAGGGCTGCTGCGTCGTGTCATCCCATGCCGAACCCGCGCGCTTTCGGGATGCGGGGTCAATTGTGTGTGTGCCAGCTACAGCAGCCATGCGACACAGACAGCCTGACGGTGACAACAGACACGTTCCATGCTTGCTTGACTCGGGCGTGGGGTTGAGATGGTTTGAGCAAAAAGGCTGGGTGGGTTGACAGACTGATGGATGGTGGTCGGATCGGGAACAAGATCCGTCTTGCATGAAGACAACGTCGAGCAGCGGTGATGAGCGTTGCAGATCTACATTTCATCACTGGGATTGGCGAAAGGCTTGGGGGATCTTCACTGCTAGCCGCCCAATTTCATCGCTTGGGACTCAGGGCCACGGGGCCGTGCCTTCGGGGGTTCGCTCATCAGTAGTCGAGAAGGGGTCTCGGGCCTGTTATGTGCCAGCCAGTTGCCCGCCAGGACCTGACACTTGGTAATGAACGGGTTTCGAGCGCTCCCTCGATCCCCGACACGCGGCGCAGACCAAAGCGCGGTCGGTGAACTCCCAGTGGATGCTGCTGGGTCTTGGGTTGCGGTGAGGAGTCGTTGGTGAAGCCAGAATAAATGACCGACTGCCACCTCACTGTCCTGTGCCTCGAAACAATGGATCGCTCCGATTCTCCGGGGCACGAAGAAAAGTGCGACCCTGCAGAAGCTAAGGTGGTAGCATTCGTGGGTCCGGTGGACCACCGACACAGGATCCGAACCTACGCGGCTGCAAGGATATGAGCTTTGTTCAAGAGGCTGCTCGTGGCCATGTTTCACGGGAGCCCAGAAGAGTCCGTTGCAAGTAACCGTCGTACTTGCACTGCAGAGTTAATTAATTAAATCGCCAGCCCATCGAGTCGGCTGCATGAGAGACAGACAGCTCGCTGCAGGGCAGTCTCGAATCGTAACAGCTGAACTGACAAGGACGAGGTCAGAGTTCGCACGAGGACTCCTGTCTCACCAGTATAGTAACGGTCGAGTCATGGGCTTTCCTCAAAGGAGCATTCTCTTCCTGGCGGCTTACGGCTTCAGGGCTTGGAGGGACCTGCGGGAGGCGTTTCTCCCAAGACGCGCCATCGGTTCCTGCCCCTGAGACAATCACCTCTGGGCAAGGCAAGACCGGCAGGATGCAGTTTAGCCTCGGGGGTGGTTGTGCTGTAGCCTGCAGAAACGGTCCCGCGGGCATGCGACGTGCCGCTCTGCTGGTGTTGAGAGTCATATTAGACAGACAGAGGGACGGAGCCTGCCAGCTGCGTCTGTGGCTGCAGTGCCATGTTTCACCAGGAAAGGGAAAGAGTGTTTGTCGAAAACGGTCTTGACTCTTTCAAGATGATTGACAACGCCTCGTCCTCCTCCCTTGGACGCTTCCGGCGACGACTCACAGCAGGAGGCTTGGTAGTGACTCGGACGGGGTGTCGCCTGAAGGCAATCACCTACACAATCTGACAGTGCTTGCATTGATCGATTGAGCTGACTGGGCACTCGGGCATGCATGCTCGTGTCCTCGTGTGCAGCCATCAGCACGACGCTATTATGTATGGAAATGTGGAATGCTGACAGTCAGCCAGCCAGCCAGCCTTGCTTCCTTCGGCGGATGACTGACAATAGGGCGACCCAGCTTCAGTACTGCATGTTGAGGTAGTAGGAGCATCGCGCATGCAGGCGGTGGGGTGCCATTTCGCCAGCGGCCAAACATGATCTCGCCCCGGACCGACCACGGATGAGCCGCCAATTTTTTGATGGTGACATTTCTTCTTTTGTTAAACGGGATGGGGCCAGGAGAGTGCGCACAGACTCTCACCGCTGCTCTCGCCGTCTTAGGTAACCGTTCTGTAGGGCCGAGACGCCCCACTGGAGCTATTGCTCGCCACGAGTGCGAGCCCGGGAACCGTTCTTGTCACGCTTTTCAGATGGGTTGACGGGTGGCAGCAAAAGGCATGAGCTGATGCATGGCATGCTGATCGCCGTCACTCACAAGGAGCAAGCAAGCACGCAGCACGCACACAGCCCGTCGCACGCGTCAGAAGTCAAGAAGCTCGCTGCCGAGGGGATGGGATAAACTTCGAGAGCGAGCCCCATGACTTGGGATTCGCTCCCGCGATTCGCGAGTGCTCGTCCAGTGTCTGCTTAGCCCTGGCTCTGCGCTGGCACACATGCAGAAGCACATGGCGGACTCCAGACCCAGATCCAGGTTTTGTTGGTTATTGGCGCCGCGACAGGCCAGGTTTTGCACTACAGGGCAGAGGGACCGACCTAGCTCGACGGGTAACTGTCGGTGAGAACTGGCGGTACAGCCAGACTGGACGGGACGGCGCTACGGGTTGAACTTGCAAGCCTTGAAGATGAAAACCCCATGCGTCGTAGCGTTGGTTGGTGGTTAGTTAAACCCCCAGCAGGGGATTGGTGGGTAAGAGACAGCGGTGGTCGGGGCGGCCAGCGGGAGTGAGACGGAGGAGGATGGAGAGGAGCAAAGTGCGCAGTGCCGGAACGTGCGGAACTTGCCATGGTGCTCGGGGAGCGCGAGGTTGTGCGGGTTGTTCTGGTTGTTTTGGTTGTGCAGGCCTTATTAGTGGTGCTGACACAGTCTTTCCTGACCGATGTTCTGACTGTACTGCAATGTTCAATCCTGAGCCCGTGAGCCAAAGCACGACATGGGGAAAGACTCTTCTAAAATGTCGGACGCTCAGATGTCGAAGAGATGAGCCGAGCCAGATCGATCCCACAAGCCCACAAGGAAAGGCCCCTTGTTTTTTTTTTTTTTTTTGCCTGTTCCTGTTATTACCGTTACGGTACCATCAGTCTAATGTTATTCGGACAAGTTCCAAGGCCGGGGCTAAGGGGGCAGAAGAGTGGATGGGGAGAATATGCCTCAACGAGGATCTCTGTCATGCAAGATTTGTTTATTTTGACGGGCGGATTGGCGGGGGGATTGCACATGGGATGCCCCAGGTTGGTAGTGCCGGGCCAACTAATCCCCATGGAATGTGACCATGGCCGTCATCATCACGAGACGAATCTTGGATGTCTGGTTGACTATGCTGTAGGTGACCTGTGATAAGTGACGGGACCACTCGTTGTTGGTAAACTTGCCTGCCCTGTGGCCAATGGCTGCCACCGCGGCGGAAAGCACGAGTCTTGGTGGTTCTCTCTCTCAGCCCAGTTTGGGGGCAGGACTGGCAGGAACCGCAGGACTGGCAGGCACGCAGGGCAGGCCCTGGGCCACCGTTTTCACAAAACGGAGTGTTTGTTGGTTGGATGGTTTCGGCGAGGGGTTGCCCCGTTTAGGCAATCCGTTAGTCAGTTCAGTCAGTCGTCACTCGGCCACTCGCCTCTCGCAGCTACCTCCCAGCTCCTGCATTCTCCCACGTTGTTGCAGGTATACCATACCGCGTACTCCAGCCAGTCGGTGAGTACGTACCGCAGTACGGACTACAGTACTTGCTCCCGCGCTGCTGAGGCCTTGTCCACCCAGGTACTGCGGTAGCTGCCCTGCCCTGGGTAGCCCTGGACACGGGCCCTTTTGCAGGATTTTTCTTTTTTTCCCCAACAAGCGCATTTGCCATGCCCCTGAGACTCTTGCCTTGCCTGACTGTGTAGAGCAGTCCTGGCCTGCCCGCGCCCATGCCCCATGCCCCGTGTGCCCCCATCGCTCATGCCCCCAAATGCAGGGCGCACACTAACGGCACTAATAACACACACTCGCACACCTGTTTGCGCTTGCGCCTACACTGATGACTGCACTTTGTGCTTGCTTTCTTGTCGACCGCCTGCACTCAAATCACTCACTCGTTCTTACTCGCGCGAGAAATAACATCTAGCTCGCCCTCCCCCCAAAACCCACCGTCCGCTCTCGGTGCCTCACTCTCACCCTCGCCCTCACCCACCACTCGCCCACACAAAACATAAACACAAATACTCGCTCACACACAACAAACCTCGACTAGACCAGATTCCTGTTCTGGCAACAGTCACAAAATCCACAGCGTCAATCCCGCTTGATTGCTGATCGTTGCTCGTTGATCGCTGCTGTGTTGTCCAGTCAGCCAGCGCACACATAAGAACCCGGCTCTGCGCGCGTTACGTTGACAGAACCTTCTGCGCCACCCAGCCTTGAACTTTGGCTCTTCAACGTCATCCTACGCCCACACAGGATTCGCCCGCGCCTCCTGCGCCCTGCGCCGCCAAACCAAAACCGAGGCCACTTGCCCGGTCTCTCGATTTGAAAACAACCTCGAGACACCGGCCCTCGACTGCACCCTTTCCACTGGGCCACGGCCTCGGAACCAGACTTTCAAAACACCAACCCGCTTACCCTCCCGCCTAACACACACCAACCTGCCTTGCACACCCCACGATGTTCCTGGGCTTATAGCAACACTGTCCCTAGGGACACCTTCGCGCAACCTCCTGGCCACTCGGACCTGAACGGGAGGGCTGCACCTTAACCAGCAGATATCTCGGCTCTCGACCGCGCACCTTATCCGGTCTCTGGTCTCTTGTCTCTTGACCGGCTCAACGCGACCCAGTCAACCGACCTGTTTCGAGTCTTGATCTGCCCTGCGTCACCAGCGACGCACACCTGCATATATCCACCACTGCAACCTTACGCCGCCCCCGGGCCCACGCATCTACGTACATACAGATACCCAAACAACCCAGTATTCATAATGTTGAGATATCCAGATCACGGCAACGCCACGTCCAACGTGCTGGCCTGGAGCTCCCACTCCGCAAACGTCGAGTCTGTCGCCGACGAGGACGCGGCAGCCGACGCCGACGAGCCACCAGATTCGACCATGGCGAGCAACTACCAAGCGTCCCCGCAGTTCAGAAGGGCATCCGTCTCCAAGACCAGGGAGAACCACGCCTCACTTCTGACACAGGCCCTGCAGAGCGCCTCCGAGGGCGAGTCGCCCGACAGCACTCCAGTCCCCGCCGCGCGACGACGACGATCCATTACCAGCCAGATCTCTCTGGCTTCGACCGCCGATCTGACGAGCGACACTGGACTGAGCACTCCGGCCAGGACTAACACCCCCAGCCCTCGCCTCCCAAGCATCGGCTTTGCTGCTCTCCCATTGGACAAGCACCATGGCGCGCATGGACTACAGATCATCGGCTCTCTGCCCAGGAAATCAACGCTCACGAATGAGCCAGCGCCAAAGCCCACAGAAGCACCCAAGGATCCCGCCGTGGAGGCCATCGCGAAGAAGCGCTGCATCTCCTTCGCCTGTGCAGCGAAACCCAAGGACGATGCGCCCAAGCCCAAGGCTCCAGTTGCCGCTCAAACCGTGGCTCCAGCGCCCGCAGCCGCAGCTCAACCCGCCCAGCCGAGGAAGACTTGCATCAAGTTCGCGTGCACAGCTCGCCCTAGCGCCCAGCAGACTCCTCCACAGAAGCAGCGCCTGGAAATCCCGAAGCATGAAGACAGTGGTTCGCTCTCGACCGCTGTTACCAAGTCACCCACAACAACGAGGAAGGCACGCTCACCTGTCGCCGCCCGCGCCCGGCCATCGCCCCGGAGGTCCACGCAGAGTCCTGTTGCCGTTCGCAAGACAAGATTCATCACTGCGAACTCCAAGGATCTGCAGGGTGAAATCTGCCACTTCCACGAATTTGCCAGTGACCACCCCACAGAAGAGGATTGGATCCGCCAGGAGAAGTGCATCGCCAAGGCCAGACTCACCATGGACGACCTGTTGAAGAAGGAGAACGATATTCGTCGCCTGGGCAAGGAGGCAGAAGAGGAAGCCGAGCAGGAAGAAGAGGATGAGGAAGGCGAAGAGGCACTCGATGAGGATGACGACGATGAGGAGATTGCCGATGATGACGACGACGACGAACTCGTCGAAGAGGAAGATATGGAGGAGGACGACAAGTCAGGATACGGGTCCGACGACGACTTCTCGGATGGCTACAACACCGACGAGGAGTACGGGTTTGCCGAGTCTGACGACGAGGAAAACGACGGACTGCACCTTTGGACTTTCAACGCGCATCAAGCAGGTCAGGCCCGAGGATCCGAGACTCCAGTCTTTCGACCTTGGTCTCTGGGCGACCACCACTCGGACTCTTCGACTGGCTCCAGGAAGCACATACGGGGCAAGCACTCGCAGTCCAGGCTGACCGGCCGCACCATGACTCCGGAGCTGCCCGACAGCACTGACTTTGTCTGTGGTACGATGGACGAGGACAGACCGCTGGAGGAAGCCTACCTGACGCGATTGGCTGCCCGGAAGCAGGAAAAGCTTCGCGTCATACCTCAGGACATCGACCCCAGCTTCCCGACCTCTGAGCCGGAAGACGACGACGACGACGACGATGTCAAGCACAGCCATGGCAGCGGTGATCACCTGTGGCTGCATGGGGAGATTGAGGAGCTCGAGGAGGAGCGGGCTGACAGACGCCACAGGAGAGGCGAGAATGCTTCTCCCAAGCGACTTCGATCCCCTCCGCCCAAGCGGCTTCGCTCTCCTCCACCCAAGGCCCGTGGTCGATCCCCTCGACGCCTCTTTGATCGCGCATCGCCAAAGCGTGTTAAGTCGCCCGCTCCACCAAACGGGCCAAGGTCGCCTCGCGCATCGCCAACACATGCCGAGAACGTCTTGGCCTTCAAGACCCTGGCTTCCCGACCGGGGCTCACCCACACCAAGTCCCTTCCTCGTGGTGCCTACTTCCCAGCCCAGGTCAAGTCGGGCAGGAGGACAAGAGCCAACACGGTGAACAGGGACAGCGCTCACGTGCGAGGTGCGATCGATATCGTCAAGGGCCTGGAGCACAAGCGCCAGCGCAGAAAGGAGAAGTTCTACCAGAAGTACTGCAATCGTGCCCGCAAGGGGCAGATTCCCGAGAAGAAGGCTCAGCCGGGAGAGGGAGCCGAGAGGATGCGAGAACTCGGATTGATACTGGCCGGAAAGATGGGCCAGGGCAACTATGTCATATCCATCTAGGCCAAATTGGGAGTGGAGACGGGACACGAGGGTATACGGCGTTGTTTTTGAGCGTTTACCAATCCATACCTAAACCACCGGCGCAAATGCATGGGGTGTGGGAGGCTTCCTACTCTTGGGAGGGGATATCTGGCGCAAAATCTTTTGACGAGCCACGACAGCATCATCATTCTTTCGGTCTATATTTTAACTTATGGTGGTTGTTTTGTTTTCATTTGTCTTCTTTTTTTCTACGGATACCCAGCATTTGGATTTTCTCAGGAGGCTAAGTGAGGGTGGGGTCCCGACTTTTGTTAACACTGTACATAGCAGTTCTATATTTGCCTACCCATAGGCATATGTACAATGAAAAGGACCCATACTTGTTTATGGTCTTTCTACCTCACTCGCTGGACATATTTTAAATCGATGGCACTTCGTGACTGGCATCGCATGGCGTTTTTCTTACAATGAGGCATGACGCCGGGTCAGATTGCGAAGGGACTAGATAGGAGTGGACTTGGTCCACAATATCTACCGAAGTATCTACGTTTAACCAATTGACACCCCGAGAATTTGGCTTGGAAAAACAAAATTCAGTTTTGGTGAAATCGAACTACATTGTGTCGCCCAGTGTGAGACTTGAATCTCGTGGTCATGATGACAGGTGTTTGGTGAGGTTCAGTCGGAGTTATACGTGGCAACATTTTAATTCATGACTTAACGGATGACTCAGGTCCGTGTCCATGCTAATCTGGACAGGTCGTCGTTCAAGGCGTCAGGAAAGGGAAAGACAGTAAATGTCCAAGGAAGCAAAGTGGCATTTTGAAGGTTGGCTGGCTGGCTTCACTCCATGACTTCAGCCCAAAATAGTGATTGAGCAAAGCAGCCGGCCGGGAGCATGTGGCAGGCGATGGAATGTTATGTAAACTTGCCGGCGGACCAATCATTGGGTGGTCCGCTCTTGCTGCCAGCCTAGACGGGACCCACGCCAGTCCTGGCTGGCCTGGACCGGGCTGAACCTGCTGTCATCAAGCCCGAAAGCGACCAAACGAACACGGATTGCATTTACAGTCAGTCTTCTTCCCTTGTCCGACACTTTCTTCTTCCTCCCACGCCACCAACCAACACAACCTTCCCCCCCCAAACCCGACCACGCCGCCGTCACACCTTAGTACCAGCCCCACAACATCAACAACATCGACAGCAGAAAAGACACAGCCTCGCATCGTCGGCCAAGATGTGGATTATCAACTGGTGTATGAGCTTCCTACGCCCTCACCCCCGGGACAGCTTGCTGACATGAGATGTGCTTCACCACAGTCTACGACGTCCTGTCGTCGCTCGGCCTGCTCAACAAGCACGCCAAGCTGCTGTTCCTCGGCCTCGACAACGCCGGAAAGACGACGCTGCTGCACATGCTGAAGGTGCGTCACCGAACCCACCACCCATCGACCCACGGGCTTTCCCGAAGGCGCCGGACGGGGTGGGCAGGCCGGACATCACGATCAGAGGGTCTCCTGCCGACTTACCCCGTCTCCCGTCGATCTACCGTCCGCCTGGTCGAATAATGGAGCGCAAGAGACGAACAACGACCAGCAGAGAGCTGACCAGACTCATGTACACAGAACGACCGGGTTGCCATCCTCCAGCCTACCCTCCACCCCAGTGAGTAGCCGGACGAGCGAGGAGCATGACATCTCCCGTATACATATGGCCAGGCGTGCTGACATGGGGAACACAGCTTCTGAGGAACTCGCGATCGGCAATGTCAGGTTTACGACTTTCGACCTGGGAGGTCACCAGCAAGGTACGGGCAGCACCAGTTTCCACACACCCCTCCACCCAGAAAGCCAGCGAGTAGCGTTTCCGAACACGCCGAGGAACGCACTCTCTACAAAACTGTGGGTCCGCATTGGTCACTAACAAGAGAATCCGAATTACAGCGCGACGCCTGTGGAGGGACTACTTCCCCGAGGTGAACGGGATCGTGTTCCTGGTGGACGCCAAGGACCACGAGCGGTTCGTGGAGGCCAAGGCGGAGCTGGACGCGCTCCTGCAGATGGAGGAGCTGGCCAAGGTGCCGTTCGTGATCCTGGGCAACAAGATCGACCACCCGGACGCCGTGTCCGAGGACGAGCTCCGCCACCAGCTGGGCATGTACCAGACCACGGGCAAGGGCAAGGTCCCGCTCGAGGGCATCCGCCCCGTCGAGGTGTTCATGTGCTCGGTCGTGATGCGCCAGGGCTACGGCGAGGGCATCCGGTGGCTGAGCCAGTACGTCTGAGCGAGCTGGCCGGCTCAGCTCGTGATGGGAAGTTTCGGGGACAGTTGGCAGGTGTAGGTCTGGTCTTATCTCGGCTGGATATTTCACCTCTATCCCTGCCTAGCGGTGTGCGAGTTTAGAACAGGCGAAGAGATGCAGGCTGTGTGTGACGGGGACGCATAGCTCACACACACACACACACACACACACAAGACTTAGATGGCTCGTTCCTCTCTCACTTGGGTATCCATTCTCCACTGCAGCCAAAGAGATGACGAAAGTGATGGATACATGGACAACGGTAGGGGAAAAGGAAACATGGGAGAGGACGGTGCCGCAGAGGGAAAGATGAATGGGTGACGACAAGATTTCTATCTTGGTGTGTGTTTTTTTATACATGTCCTGTGAAGGGGAGAACTACTACTGGCCGCATGGCGTTTCATGCTCATTTTTTCTAATCGAAAAGGATTTACAACTAGAAGATGTGTCTTGTGCATTTTGTGCGTCTATGTGTACATCTATGTGTACATTGGGCCATGATATATTTTCTTGGTGGTGCTCAGGCGAACGAACAAGCACGGGCAAGCATTAATCAGAGAGTAAGAGAGAGAGAGAGAGAGGCAGAGAGAGAAATGAGGGCGAAGGATATGAATCCCGTTGATTGCACCCCATACTCGTAGAAGGATGGATGCGACGACGGAGGATGAAATTGTTGGGAAATTTCAGCAGTCGTCCCGAGGCTTGTTGCCGTGGAGCTCGTGATCCTCGAGGCGAGCATCAGGAGAGGTTTCGGCCGGGTCTGCCTATTATCGCCTGCCCGCAGGCGAGACCGATTTTTGTTCTACAGGGCACGCCAGATCTCTCGGAAATGGGAAAGCAAGGGAAAGCCAGCCCCCCTTCCCCCCTCCTTCCACTCTCTCAATTTAGACCCGCCCCAGCCTCGGTAACGTCAGCCGAAGTTTGCTGCAGAAATGGGCGGCGCAGGCGGCAGGTAGGTGCAGGTGCGAACCCGACCCCCGGGCTGCTCATCCCCATTCCACAGTGGGCTCAGCCGCTGTTTCCACCCCCGTTCAGAAGGAGGGCACCAACCCCGAAGTCAGCTAGTGTTCCCCAACAGAAACGGCGACGTCATCTTGGACCGGTCCCCTGAACCCGTGAACGTCTCGAAGCTGCTGCCCTGACTAACACTACAGCAGCAGCAAATGCATATCAAATTCTCTGACATCGCACATGATCCCCCTGTCTGACCACTCGCTCTTCTCATTTACCTTGTGCAGGTGGACTCGTCAAGTTGCGATCGAATACACACTTGGTCGCTCCTCTTGTTCAGCCAGTTGTTTTGTTTGTTCTCTTTGAAGGCATTGTCTAGCTATAACTCGACTAGACCAGCACACACAAGACACGCACTCCCATATTCGTTCCCTTGTTTCCCGAAGCAGTCAGCATCCAAACCCCTTAGACATGGTATAACTCCCGCCGCGCTTCTGGACTCAGCGGACCAGGGACCAAATCATGGCACGAGAACAAGAAAAAGAGAAACAAGCCGCGGCGGCAGCGGCAGCGGCAGCAGCAGCGGCAGATGACGACGAGAGGCCGCCGGTCGTCGTCCCGGACAAGAACTACGGTTTCCCCCGCGACGCCTTCGACCCGTCCCTCCTGCCGGACTTCGACGTCGACTTCCTGTCCCCCGAGGCCCGCGAGGCCTTCGTCCAGGCCCTGTCCGCACCGGACCCGGCCCACAGCACCGAGGACGTCTCCCACACCATCCGCCTCGGCAGCCCCGTCCCCGGGAGCGCGGGGCCCGGCCGCAGCAGCTTCGACAACAGCGTCACGCGGCGCCAGTCGACGGCGGCCCCAGATTTGGGGAAGAAAGAAGGTGGTGAGAATGAGAAAGAGGACCCCCAGGAGGTGGCTGCGCACGCGGCAGCTGCGGCGGCTGACGTCTCTGCGCCGTCGCAGCCGAATGGGAATAATGTCAATGGCAATGGCAGTGCGTATGGATGTGCGCAGCCGCGGGACAGCCTGTTCATCACGGCGCAGAACGACTGGGCGCCGGTGCACCAGAAGATTGCGAGGTCCGGCACATCGGGAGGAGGAGGAGGTAGTGGTGGCACGGGCGCCAAGGGCCACGGCAAGCGGCGGCACAAACGGCCACGGACGGCGCGCCCGGGGCGGCGCACCAAGGATGAGACGCGCGAGGGCTATCTGTACGGCTTGCTCAAGTGGCCGTTCCTGCTGTTCGTCAGCGGGTGGGTGCTGGGGCTGGCGCTCGCGTACGTGCTGACGCGGTACTACATCTGGTTCTACGAGTACTTCATCAGCTGGCGCGGGCGGCGCGAGCGCCTGCGGCGCAACATGCGCGCTACCAGCGGCTACCGCGAGTGGCGGGCCGCCGCGCGCGAGCTCGACGAGTTCCTCGGCAACTCGGCGTGGAAGGAGACCAACGAGTTCGCCTACTACGACTGGAAGACGGTGCGCCGCGTGTGGGACAGCCTCAAGAAGAGCCGCGAGAAGGCCGAGGCCGTCGAGCGCAGGATCTCCGAGGGCCAGGCCGTCGAGAGCGACGAGCGGCAGGACGGCGAGAAGGCTGTCGAGGCGCTGCGTGCGCTGCTGGCCGCGTGCGTCAAGAATAACTTTGTTGGCGTCGAGAACCCGAGGCTGTACTCGCAGACGTACTACGGCACCAAGAACCTGGTGCAGAACCACGTCGACGAAGGTACGTCGTGAGACTGGGACTTTGACTTTTTTCTCACTTTATTTGCTATGGGTGCTAACGCGAGAATCAAATAGTGGAGAAAAGCCTCAAATTCATCCTGGACACGAAGCAGATGAAGCTCGAGGACAAGCGCGAGCTGTTCAGGAGCTTACATGGCAACTACGGCCGGACGGCGCTGTGCCTGTCGGGCGGGGCGACCTTCGCCTACTACCACTTCGGCGTGGTCAAGGCGCTGCTCGAGGAGGACCTCCTGCCGGACGTGATCACGGGCACGAGCGGCGGCGCGCTGGTGGCGGGGCTGGTTGCGACGCGGACCAACGAGGAGCTGAAGCAGCTGCTCGTACCAGCGCTGGCGAGCAAGATCACGGCGTGCTCGGAGCCGTTCACGACGTGGTTCCGGCGGTGGTACCGCACTGGGGCGCGGTTCGACTCGGTGGACTGGGCGCGGCAGTGCGCGTGGTGGACACACGGGTCCATGACGTTCCGCGAGGCGTACGAGCGGACGGGCCGCATCCTCAACGTGTCGTGCGTCCCCGCCGACCCGCACAGCCCGACCATGCTATGCAACTACCTGACCAGCCCGGACTGCGTCGTGTGGTCGGCGGTGCTGGCCTCGGCCGCCGTCCCGGGCATCCTCAACCCTGTCGTGCTCATGATGAAGCAGCGCGACGGCTCGCTGGCCCCCTACTCGTTTGGCCACAAGTGGAAGGACGGCAGCCTGCGTACCGACATCCCTATTAAGGCGCTCAACTTGCACTTCAACGTCAACTTCACCATCGTCTCGCAGGTGAACCCGCACATCAACCTCTTCTTCTTCAGCTCGCGCGGCTCTGTCGGGCAGCCCGTAACCCACCGCCGGGGCCGCGGCTGGCGCGGCGGCTTCCTCGGCTCCGCCGCCGAGCAGTACATCAAGCTGGACCTGACCAAGTGGCTCAAGATCCTGCGGCAGCTGGAGCTCCTCCCGCGCCCGCTGGGCCAGGACTGGAGCCAGGTGTGGCTGCAGGCCGGCTTCGGCGGCACCATCACCATCTGGCCGCGCAGCATCGCCATGGACTTTGTGCACATCCTCTCGGACCCGACGCCTGCCCGCCTCGCGCGCATGATCCACGAGGGCCAGCAGAGCGCCTTCCCCACGCTCAAGTTCGTCGCCAACCGCCTCAAGGTCGAGAGGCTCGTCGAGCTCGGCCGCCGACAGACGAGGGGCCTCGACATCGTGACTGGTGCCGGTGGCGGCGGCGCGTACAGGGGCAGGGATAGCATAATTGATGACGACGAACTTAGGGCTCTGCTGAGGGGCCACGGCAGGGCTGGTGGGAGGGGCGACTCTGGCGGAAGCGGGCCCGACGTGCTGGGTGGGGTCAGCGGCACTGCCACCGAGGATGAGACCACCACCGCCGACGAGATGGATGTTTCATTTGCGGAGAGCGCGGTCATCGATGACGAGGAGGATGAGTCCTCGTCGCCCGGGGGCAGCGGCGAGGAGGTGCTGGAGAGTGTAGAGGGGACGGGAGATGACGGGGAGAGGGACCCGCTTCTTGAGGTTGATGTCGAGGAGGAGCGGCGGCAATAGTGAGTGAGAGTGTGGATGGATGGGGGTTGGTGAGAAAGGTTGGCTAAGACGTGTTGTTGCATTGTGCATTGGACTTGTCTAGACTGGGGGTATGGGGCTGTCTTTTTCTTTGTTTTTGGTATCGATATCTACATGGCATGGAGTTTTTAGTCCCCCCTCTGGGGACGAATAGATATTACGGGCAGAGGGAAGACGGGACGGTGTTTAGAGGAGTCATTGTGTTGTATTGTGTTGGTTGTATTGGGTAGTGGTATAACTATTTAGTAGAAAAGTATCAGTATTGGCTATGTACTGATTTGCTCACTGTGCCTTCTGGTCTTATTGATGTTCAAAGGACCTTGAATAGGGGTGGATGTTGACGAACTTGAAATCGAGGTTTCAGACGGTGATGTCGTTGAATTGCTAGAGATCATAACCATATGGGCCCGTCTGTCCCCGTTTTCCTTGAAGCTCATCCGTCGGGGGGGAGAAGACTTAAGATGAAGACTCGGCTGTGCTATTCCTTGTGATCGTAACCGAAACCTGGGCTGTTTGCCACCTTGCTTCAGCTTCAACATCGCGACGCGTCCCTGCCCGGAAGCCGTCATTCCCTCCGTGCAACATCATGTCAAACTCCTCATTAAAGTCCTCCTGCCCCTCAGCCCCTCCTCTCATGGCATGCTCGGTCGCAAGGTTTCTGAAAGAGGAAGGCCGGTCGGTCACAATCACTTTGAAGACGTCAGTCACCTCACCTGCATCCCCGTCCGTTTCTTGGATATTCATGTCGATAGGGTATTTCTTGCTCTCCTCGGGCGCCACCGCCACAGACTCCACGCCCTCCGACTCGGGGTCTGGAACCAGGAGCGTCACGGTTTTGTCCGCCCTCAGGTTAAGCACGCTGAAATAGAGCGTTTTCCGCTGGGTCTCGATGGCCCGGTAACCGTCTGACCCAGGGCGATCCAGGCGCAGCAGGTTCTTAAACTCCAAGTAGATGATGCCTCCGTCGCATACTGTGGTGGCATTGTTCGCCTCCCCAAATTCGAATTTACCCTGGAGGGCGGCCCTGGTGTTCCGGATGTTCAAGACCCTCGTGTGGTGCGCGAGGGCCTTCAGAAACTTGTGAATCCCGGCCGCCGGTGAGTCCCCCGACATGTCGCCCGGGAAGTCCAGCAGTGGCGTGCCGGAGGTGTCTATGATCTCCTGGTGGCCCATGCTGGTAGGGCGGATTGTGTAGGCTGCCCCCACGTAGCCGACTTCGTGGAATGTTACCCCGATGGCGGGCTCGTCCATCAGCTGCTGCCGGAGCTCAGTGTCCCCTACGAGCACGCGGAGGTGTGTCCCGTATACGGGAGAGACAAGGGACACCGGACAGCCGCGCTCCACGACGGGCGCATCGGCGGCCAACAGACCCGATGCTTGGATCGCCCCGACCCGGTCGATTCTGACAGTCGCAAGCGGGCTTTCCAACTGCAAGACACCACGAGGATAAATATTCCAAGTCTCCCCGTCCTTGACACCTTGTATCTCCCCTTGGTCAATGCAGACCCGCCCGGAAGCGGCGTTCACGACGGTCGCCTGGCGGGCACTCGAATAGCTGCCATGGGAGAAGACGTCGCGGTCCTCGATGCCGAACAGCTTCGGGTTTTGCACCGCTGACTTCAACCCGATCCGGGCACGGAGATCCCAGAAGAGTGATTTGAAGGTCAAGGGCTGGCCATTCTGCCTCAGCGTCTCGAGGCTGGTCAGCATCGCCAGCGTCAGGGCGCCGTTCTTCTCGCCGTGGTTGTCTCGGCACTCCATGGCGAACTGGTGTGGTTGGCACGCCGCTAGGAGGGTGTAGTTGCGCACCCTCGTCCAGTATGAGGGCCTGACCGTCGCAGCGCGATGATCAGTCCCAGCCAGGCCGCCACTTTCCTCGTCTGGCCCCTCCCCTACGTGGGGATCCGCAGGCAGGACCTGGTCGATCTGACGGACGTTCTGGCTGTTGATTCGGTCTCCGCCTCCAGAGTGACAGCAGTCGAGTACTGCGAAGAGGTGAGCTCCGGTACCTGCCAGGCTGTCTAGATGGCGACCAAGCTCGTAGTCCTTCATGTGTCGTTCGCCGTGCAAAACTAGTGACTCAAAATGACTGCCCGAGGACAGTGAATAGTGGCGTAGCTGGCGACCCCCATGGCCAGAGTAGTGAAAGTAAACAAAATCCTTTTCATTGACGCTCCTCTTGACGTGATCGATCATGCCTACGATATTATCATAGTTGGGTGGCTTTTCCCCGTTCAGATCATGAGCAGTGATCTTCAGAATTTCCAGTCTGGAGGCATCGATATTGTCTGAAAGAAACTTCTCGACGTTCTGAATATCCCTGACGCAGCCTCCCAGATCCGAAATTCCCGTCGGATAGGCGTTAATGCCAACCAGAATGGCCCAGACTTTGGACTTTGGCGCGCCACTCATGATCCGGTCGTTGTTAATAGACGTGGATAGGACCTCAATTAGAAAGTAACAAGGGCACGGAACCTCAAGACAAGACTGGACGAGTTTGTTGATGGGAGAACTGAATGCGTCTACCTAGCTCTAATAAGTCTTTGCCTACACAGTATCTAGTATACTGGGTGGGCCGAAACTGGTTGACTGTTGGGCACTCAATTGGGCACTCATGCAGAGCCACGTCCATTTCCTCCTACAGGTCCCACAACCCTATGAACTGTCGACATGACAACACACCGTGCTGCGTTCAGAACCCCGCGCTTCGATGGCATAAAATCAAGTCGCGCCATCGACCAGGAATGCGAAGCACCGATACTGCCGTAGTCCTGTTTTGATTACATCCACAGTTCATTGGTTCGACAACGTGCAAGGCAACAGAGGTTGCCTAAGCATACACCATAAGCAGCACAACTATCCTCCGATACAGCACATTGTTCCGTATAGAGTATGTATTCAGAACTTCTCATAGTTATCCAAACACCTTTCTGTACGCTTTTGGTTTAACTTGTGTGGTTGTTTCTATAAAGGAACCCCACATATACGAACAAAATTCATCCTTCGTGGCAACTAGATCGGGACTGATATAAATACGAGAGTCAGAAGATGGATATCAACACCCATCAGCCCAACCTACCTCAGGGTTGGTACATATGTAAGTCGAGAGCTGATAGACGACATGTTTCAAAATCTGTTAACGAGGTATCACGTGGCAGCAACGAACAATCAGGAACAATGGAGAACGGTTCAGGACCTGGAAGATGCCATCCGACAAATGGAACTTGCAGGGTTGAAAGATGAAGTGGAGCGTCGGGAATGGCGGAGCACGATGGTTGACTTGAGCTTTTTGCTCCTGTCCCGTTATAAATCCACGACCGAGCCCGGAGACCTTGAGCGGGCCATTGAAGTTGCTGATGCCGTTCTTGACTGCCCATCAACGGCTGAGCCCGATGAGGCCTGCTGGCTACACGGTCTAGCGCTCCAACTGATCCGGCGGCTGGAAAAAGCCCCAGACCCGAGTACCGAGAGTAAAGCTATCAGGTTCGCGGAACGGTGCGTGGCTGGCACCGACAGCAGTCACCCTCATCTGCTCTCCCATCGAATGTTATTGGTCGAAGTGCGAGACAGTCACTGTGACCAGACGACCGATCCAGCTATCCTTAACCAGGCGATTGATAATGTGGAGGCTATTCAGAGCATCATGCCCGCTGACCACGAGTCAAGTTACAGCATCTTGTGCGAATTGGGAAGACTGTACGAAAGTCGATTCGAACAAAGCCATGCTACGAAGGACATTGACTCTGTCGTTGGACTCAGTAGGCTGCTGGCTGAGACGGCCCATATCGACGATCCTCTTCGGCCTTGCAAGTTCCATCACCTTTCGCAAGACCTGTATCACTACTTTAAGCACTCAAAGAACCTTGCCAAGCTGGACCAGGCTATCGATGAAGGAAGCTTTGCCGTCAGTGTGACCCCGGAAGACCACCGTCACAGGGTTGAGCATCTCGCTGCCCAAGGACAGCTCCTGGATAGTCGGTTTCAAGAGACAAACCGGCTGGAGGACATCAACGAGGCCATCGACATTGCCGAGCGCGTTTTGAAAGCCACACCAGAAGACGACCCAAAGCGAGGTCACCGACTCCATCAACTTGGGGAGAGGCTAGGGGGCCGATTCGACCGAACAGGACTGATGCCCGATCTCCATCGTGCCATCGAAGAGATCATGAACTCAATAGCCATCACACCGACGGATGATCCTGATCGTTCAGGCCCCTTGAATTGCCTTGCCATCTGGTTCGGGAGACGATTCGAGGCTCTAGGCGCCACGAATGATCTAGAGCAGGCCATTAAGAATGCGCAAGAGGCCGTGGAGATAACGGCGCCGGGGCATCCTCGCTACGGGATGAATTCCAACACCCTTGCGAACTTGCTGGGGTTGCGGTATGCTCGAACACGCGACCTACAGGTGCTCGCCGACGCTATCAAGGCTGCCGAAGCTGCGTTGGGTGAGTGTCCCGAAGACTCTGATGAGCGTCCTTGCAGACTACACGGGCTGTCTGAGCTCTTGGAAACGCGATACCAGCATCAAAAGTCACCACAGGACCTGGAACGCGCCATCGAAAAGGCTGCGATCTCGGCAGCATCAACACCAGAGGGCCACCCGCACCAGTCTATCCACTTGGATGGGTTAGCCAAACTTCTTGAGCGCCGATTTCTGAAAGATAGTGTGCGGGCCGATTTGGACGAAGCGATCAATTCCTCTCGGCGGGCTGTCGAGGCAATCCCCACGAACCACCTCCATGCAGCAGAGCTATTAGGAACCTTGGGAATGCTCCTGAAGAGGAGGCACGAGTCATTGCAGGACCCCAATCCAAATGACTTCGATGAGTCTCTCTCGTGTTTCCGACGAAGCTGGGACTGCTCCAATGCCTCGCCGTCCGTTCGAATTCAAGCGGCTAAGAATGCAGCCGAGCTCTTGGCCTCACAGTTGAACTGGACGGAATCAAGTTCCCTACTACAAAGCGCTGTAGAACTTATCCCGCTGGTCAGTCCACGGTCATTGGATCATGTCGACAAGCAGTATGCCCTGGGCGAGCTTTCCGGCCTTGCTTCTCGCGCCGCAGCTGCCGTGCTCAATCACAGGAGCTGTGCCTCCGACGCATTGAAGCTCCTCGAGCTTGGCCGCAATGTCATTGCTGGCCATTTACTCGACATGCGCAACAACGACATTTTCGCCTTGGGAGAGCTGGACGAAGAATTGGCAAAGAGATTTGTCTCCCTTCGCGACGAACTGGATGCCGTCGTGAAGGTGGGTCCGGATGAGAAGCCCTTCGCCTGGGAAGCACGTAACAGACGGCGTCAGCAAGCGGACCAGGAGTTCCGGGAGGTCATTGAGGAGATCCGTACTCGTCCAGGGTTTGAAAGTTTCTTGCAGCCCCCAACGGCCGAGGACATCCGGGCTGCGGCATCGCAGGGCCCTATTGTGGTTGTGAATGCCAGTCCCTACCGCTGTGACGCCTTTATCATCGAGACTGAGCAGATTCGGTCCCTGAAACTAGATGGAGTGACCGTCGATGATATCAAGACCAATGTCGAGAGCCTCAGGACTACTAGACTCCCATCCGTCCTAGAATGGTCCTGGGCCGCCATCGCCCGTCCGATCCTGACAGCGCTGAGCTTCGACCAGCCGGTATTGGATGATCAGTGGTCTCGATTATGGTGGGTGCTCACGGGTCCCCTCGGCCATCTCCCAATGCATGCGGCGGGGCGTCATGATCAAGGCAACAGAGAGACGGTGCTCGATAGAGTCATCTCCTCCTATGCGTCGTCCGTCAAGTCCATCCTTTACGATCGGAAACGCGGATTCCGACACGCCGCGGGGAACACGCAGGGAAATGCTGTGCTCATTTCCATGTCTAAAACCCCAGGCCATTCTGAGCTGCAATTTACTGCACCCGAGATTGCAGAAGTGATGCGTATCTGTCCGTCACTCAACCTGAACGCAGTGACACCAGTGCTTTGCAAGGACGATGTGCTGGGACACCTCAAATTGTGCGAGACCTTCCACTTCGCAGGACATGGAATGTCAGACCCCTCCGAGCCTTCGAAAAGCAGCCTGTACCTCGACGACTGGCAGAGCAATCCGCTGACGGTCGGCGACCTACGCGAGCTGAAGCTGCGAGAGACTGCCCCCTGGCTCGGGTACCTTTCCGCCTGCTCCACGGGCGAGATCCGGGCAGAGAAGCTGATTGACGAGACTATCCACTTGGTAAGCGCCTACCAGCTTGCCGGCTTCCGCCATGTCGTCGGCACGCTGTGGGAAGTCTCGGATAGGTACTGTGTGGACATGGCAAGGGCATTCTACGAAGGTCTCCGCGGCCGCGACAAGACAGACTTTGCGGTTGCCAGGGCACTCCACACAGCCGTGCGGGCGATACGTGATCGGTCTGTGGCAGGCGGGCTACCGACGCCCAGAGGTACTCCCATTTCACAGGCTATTCCGCTGGATGAAGGCGTCTTTGTTGATGGAGACGAATGCTCAGGCCCACGTGGCGATCATGACAAAATCATCAGTGGCAGGGCTGGCACGCGGAGGCTACTGCGCACACACCGTAGGACGTTTCATTGGGTCCCGTATATTCATTTTGGAGTTTGAGGGATATAGCGTGAACAGGATTAACGGCCCTGACGCTGTGTAACATGCCAAATTTGAGTGGTTAATGTAGGAGAACGAGGCAACAAATCATATGGTCAACGCTCTCCATCAGAATCTTCGAAATTAGACATATTGAGGCGCCAGCCTATCAATTATCATTAACTTTAAACCCACTGTAGATTATGTGGCCGAGTGCAAGTCAACGGTCGCTCTGCGAAGATCGTCCAACCAGCTCTTCAAGCCAGCAAGTATACATCCGAGCAAGGCCAATCTTTGTCCGCTGCATCCAGATGTGTTCTTTAGCAGCACGCTGTTCTTTCCAGCTATTTCTGAAAGGCTGGGAGACACTCCATAGCTCTTCGAAGCTACTGCATGATACCCCAAATGGGAGAAGACGAGATGGAAACAGTTTGCGCCTCCAAGGTTGCATTTGCAGGCTGTTCGCTTGTCCCTCAGCTTGGCCCGTCGTCATTCAAATGTGTGTGTGTCTAAGCACACTGCATGTGCGTGCCGCTAACCGACGGCAAGGCTCTGAGCCAAGGAATCACTATCAAATCCCGTCATAGGGTTCATTCCTTGCGATGCTTATCACAAGTGGTGAGTGACACAACATCGGCGGCTCGATACAGATATGCAGGACAAGACAACACCATTCGTGGCTGACTCCCGTTATCCTATTTTGGGGTACCGACGGGCCATGCATTTTGTGGCGGAGACAGGCCACTCGAGGAAAGGCCGAACTTAACCCGCAATACTCACTTTCATATTCGGTAGGCTACGATGGGGATCGTCATGTTTAACGACGTTGGCCGAGGCGGAGAGTAGAATCACATGCGATAGGTCCTGGTAAGACCGCCGTGACACGGCTTTGAGTGACATGGACTATGGGCACTAGGACGCATTCCATCATGCCAATACTATGTCAAAACAGATAAGAAACAGCAAGGACAGTGTCTTCGTAGCAGCGCCGGTCCGCGTCCTTTCCCGCTTACGTTCAACACCAACTGATCTGAGCCTGAAGATCTGAAATCCCCATCACCTACCAAGCTAGTCGCATTTACCAAGGCGGTCGAATTCTCCATGGCCTCCTTACCGCGGTCAACAACCAATTTCGTGGCCTTGCCTGTGTCAGCAGCCGCCGTGCACTCTCTCTTCTCTGCAATCTATACCTGGGGCCGCCTCCGGAAAGTTTCCGGCCCCCTTCCTCGCCGCTCTCTCATACTGGTGGGTACTCTCCGCCGTCACCAGTGGCCAGGAACCGTGGGTGGACGCTGCTCTGGCCAGAAAATACGGCCATCTTGTTTAGAATCGGCCCTCGGCTCCTTCTCACCGACGACCCAGATGTCCTGAGGAGGATATCCGGGATACGAAGCCACTATAACAAAGACGCTTCCTACCTGGGTACGGTCAGGCATCCTGATTACTCTAACATGTTCTCAATGCTAGATGCATCAACTCATGATGCTATGAAAGCGAAGCTAGCAAGCCCCTATGGAGGCCGCGAGACTCTGGGCATGGAACCGATCGTGGATGGCATGGTCAACGCTCTCCTCCAGAATCTTCGAGACAAGACGTCTCGAGGCGCCGGCCTGTCGACTATCATCAACTTTGCCACCATAGTCAGCTATTTTACTTTGGACACCATCACTCGCATTGCCTTTGGAAAAGCGATGGGGTTTCTGGGAGACCGACACTGACGTCGGCGGCCTGTTTGCGGGGAGTCGCTCGGCCCTTGAATAACCTTCACGATCCCGATTCAGACGCCCTGGCTTCGGAGGATCACCCTGTCCAGGTGGTTCCTCAAGACGCTTGGTCCGAAGGCGACCGACGGGGAGGGCTTCGGCGTTGTCATGGGGCGAGTGCACACCTCCTGCGAGCGCTACCAAGACACTCTATGCCGACACACGAAGATGACAGAGCGGCCCAGCAAGCTGTGAGGGAGCGGTACAAGCCCGGGGCTCCTGATGAGAAAGACTTGATGTTAGGTCATTTGACGTGTGTGTACGCCCCCTTTAGCTTGGGCCCGCGGTGTTAACAAAACAGGGCGCCTTTGTCCGGCATGGCCTCCCCGAGGGGCCCTGCCTGAGCGAAATACTGCTCGCCATCACTGCCGGCTCTGACACAGCAGCATCAGCCGTGCGATGCACGATGCTGTATCTCATGTCAACTCCGCGCGTTGTATCACAAATTCAAGATGGTTGTTTCCGAGGCCATTAGCAACCGGGCGATCTCAAGCCCAATCAGACTGGAAGAGACAAAGGCAATCCCCTATCTCCAGGTAAGAAGAGCACGCGTGCTGTGAAGCATAACATCTTCACCGTCTCCGAGGCAACCCAAAAGCGACGCCGAGTACGGCTCGCTGATCAGAAACAGGCCGTCATCTGCGAGAGCCTCCGTATGCGCCCTCCCGCCCCAACAATGTTCCCCAAAGTCGTGCCTCCCCAAGGCGACGAGATCGACGGGAAGTTCATCCCCGGTGGTACATCCATAGGTTGGAACCTGGTGCCCCTGATGCGGTCACCCCAGCACTGGGGCCATGATGCGGACGTCTTCCGGCCCGAGAGGTTTATGGAGGCGGGGGAGAAGGTTCGGATGGCGGTGGAGCGGGACGTCGATATGGTTTTTGGTTATGGTAGGTACGGTTGCGCTGGAAAGCCCTTGGCTATTATGGAACTGAACAAGATATATTTCGAGGCATGTTTGTCTGTCAGTCCCACCAAGTCCCCACCTGGATCTAAAGCATAGTTACTCGCAGCTTTTCCGAAACTTCGATTTTCAGCTGGTGAATCCGATGAAGCCATGGGACTCTGGGTGTTGGTCCATTTGGACTGAGGATAATTATTTCGTTCAAGTCACGGAATGCCAAGCTGGCTGAACGAAAACTGGGTGCTCGCACTGCGTTCGTACTTAATTAAACTGTAACAGGCCGCCTCAATTCAACATTCCTCTTCAGCTGCTGTCAGCTGTAGTCATTCGGCGCTTCACGTTTGCATGAGAATGAAGAATCCATGGCATTCCCGGGGATGGAGCAGCGCCTCTGTGAGATCCCAGTGTTTGACGGTATGCACCATGCTGTGCTCGTTTGGTAACGTGATACATCCGCCACTCAGAATACCACGTGGAAAACACGCAGGCGTGTCACCGCCTCCATCATGTCACAAGGAAAGTTGTGAGCAATTCTTCCAAGACGGCTGCACCACCTCACGTGACGATCACCAACATGCAAGCAAGATGTATCCACGACGGCCGAGATGGACTGAGCGCCCCATTCCCGAGACAGGGTACCTGAGTGACCGCTGGGCTGGGTCCGTACACAATCAGACGCTGCCAGGGGGGCGGGGACACACATAGAAGACACACAAGGGCCGAGAATGCCTGGGCATCACCTCACTGTGATGGGGTGCACGATGGCGTCCCGATGCCGATATCTTGGTTTCCCGAGACGCATGCACAGAAAGGGGATCCAAACCCAACTGCGTCCCTCCCAAAACCTAGCATGAAACACCATAAACGAGGAAAACTCCAAAACTAGTGGTTCTAGAAGTCCCAGCAGCAAAGGAGCCCCGGGCCAGAATGCCCACTCTGCCCAGTCTGGTTAACATGCAAAATTTCTTTTCAGTATTCGTGGGGAAGATTTTTGTCCGCATCTACCTCGAGGTTTCCCCGACCTGGCACCGCAGATTCCGGAAACCTTCCCTATCGGGAAATGCGGGACATATGGATACCTTATTGTTCACATGACCCGATGCGGAAAAAGAGACTAAACCGTGGGCGTTCCTGCGCGAGTCCCGAGCTCCAGACGGGCGGCCCTCACCCCTCGCAACGCTCGCTCGGCTCGGTCGGGAGCCGACCACGAAGGGTCCCGACGGGCCTGTCGGGGGCGGGCTGGGTCGCGGGAGAAGGAAAGAAGGAAAGGGAACAAAAGGTGGGGAGGGGAGGGCAAACGCATGTCATGTCACGTCACCCGGCCCGCTTCTCGTGGCACGGTGGGTTTTTGATATGATGTGTGTGTGTGTGTGTGTTTGTGCGCATGTTGCACAGCTGGATAGGGCTGGCGGTTTGCCCGGCCGGGCTGGGATGCGAACTTGCGAATGGCCTCGGTGCTGGGATGTAAGGCTGAGGCCTGGATATAATTTGAAGGGGGCGGGCGGACGGACAGCCTGGTCGGCGAGCACGGGTGCCATCGGAAGAGGCTGAGATGCCATCGTGTGATCACCATGACGGTACAATATATGCCTAGCCCGGGCTTACTTGGTTCCTGGATTCCGAATTCGTTCGCCTGCCCACTGGGAATTTGCTCGCTGTGTCACCAGATATATCCGGGCCCGGGACTTTGTTGGGCGACGGGACCCACATGGAAAGCTTTCCCCGGGTCGAGAGGCCGAGGGGCGAGCATGGTTTGACGGGCGTCATCAAGCGGGGCGACCCGTGACGCGAGGGCGGTGGTAAATATGGACCCCTCCCCTCATGGGACGATCGAGCTTACTGTACTGCGCGGGTTCTGTTTTCGGCGGCCGAGGTCTCGAGAACGCAGCCTGAGGAGACTTGGGCCCTGGACACGACCCAATCTGGGGCAGTGTTGGAATGGCGTCCAGGCGGACGGTACAGTAACATGCTCTCTGCCGCCGCCAGCCACTTAGCGAGACGCGGTAGACTGATACCGCCTGGGCATTTAGACACAATTAGAGATGGGCGAGATCTGCATGCGCTACCCGCGCTTCTGCCGCGTCCACTGCCACGTGCGGGCCGTTTTTTTGTCATCCAAAAGCTTGGCCTGACCGGATTCGAAACAAGGGTTGCCCTTTCTTCCCTTTCGCTGGGCTAGTAATGGGTAGGGCACAGCTTCCAAGGCTGCTAAGTAATAGGGTAGGTTGGATTGATTGTCATTGATGTAACAGGCTCAGGCTCAGGCCCAGGCCCAGGACCAGGAACAGGAATGAGGGGTTGGTGGTGTCGTGGCCCCCAAACCGAGACGTCAGGCAAACGGGGAAGTTGGTCGAAGCAGGTTTCCGGAGGCGTGCATGGCTGCGATGATGCCAGCGGGCCAAGATCGTCATTGTTGCTGCCTTGTTGGATTCGTTGATACCATCAAGAGATTCTGAGGTGTGTTCAAGATCTCACATGGTGGCCTGGGAATCCTTACGACCTCTCGCGACAGAGAATTTGGTCACGATTCGATTAAAGACCCAGCGGTTGCTGGCACCCAAAAGGGAAGTAGCGGGCTGCCCAGCCGGCGTGACGGTTTCAAACGGGCGGTCGGAGCCCTCGAAACGTTGAACGAATGGTAGTCGGACCACATTGTCGTCCTACAAGCCTTGCTGGAGCCGGCCACTCGGCTCAGGGAACGACACCCACGAGGGTCACACAGAAACGACGTGCCCAGAAGCTCAAAATGGGCTTCGAGAAGGCGCATGAAACAAAGCATGACGAGATGCAAGGAGGCGCGGAAGGCTTGATGGGAAAGCTTCCCAGACGTCGTGTGACGTCAAACCGCATGGCGCAGCAGCCTCTGCGTTGTTGACCTCGGGAGCAGCGGTGTCTTGTCAGCCAAGGGGTTCCGGCGGGAGCTCCTCGCCTGATAGCTTGGCTATCCAAACGCTGCAGTGGGCTGTGCCGTGCCGATGCATTCTCCCGTTTAATAGCAAAAAAGGTCGGTCTGAATAAGCATCACACGCGGTTGGGTTGTTTTGATTGATAGACATTTCCCGCGTATGCATGATATCTTGTCATTCTGCCCCTGGGAGGCTTATCCTTTGCGTTACCAGGTCTTCTGGCCAGTCGTTGAGGCTCGTGATGCTTTCATCTGGATATGATCCCAGTTGGACCCTCTTGGCCCCTCCTAATTTCTGAGGCTCACCGCTCACGGGCTCCTTCATCTGGAAATTTCCGAGCCGTTGGGCCAGGTGCGCGCATTCGGCACAGCATGCAGGTGCGGTGCAAAGCAGGGGGAAAGTGTTGCACCTGGGCAATGGGATTGTACCGAGAAATTGTGCTGCGTTTTGCAGAGGGATCTGTACTTGTGAATCCAGCGACGAGCACGAAAGTATGCTCTGACCACTTTTCTGTACGGTTGCTGTCGTCCGGACAGACTACCCCGAGCGCAGACAACAAGATCATTCCCGTGTACGTGATGTGGACAGCTGGCCAATTTTTTTTTTGTGGCGAGGTGAAAACCATGCCACCTTGTTAGCCATGTTTACCAGAAGGGGAGATATTGGGCCGGGAGCTGCCCCGCGATTCTGGGTCAGTATGGGGGTTGCTCATGCTGATGGATTTGTGGCAGGGTGGGCACGGTACATTCCACGGCAGGGGACTGGTGGTGGTGTGAGTTGTCTGGGATAGGGGGAGCAGGTGCTGTATCACTACTGCGGGATAAATTGTCGAGCCGCCTCTGTCGTAACATCATAGATGCGAAGGTGGGTGACAATACCGCGTCCTCTTGCGTGCGTGTAAGTGTGTGGCACCGACCTGGGCCAATTGGTTGACTGCAGTGCCGCAAATCCTGTCGCAATGCTGGTGTTTCCCCTTCTGACATGTGAGTGAGCGTACATAGATGGGTGGGATGAAGCAGGCGGGAGGGTGATGGCCAGAGCCGCAAAGCCTGCAGTAGGTCCGGCCAGGATCATTAAATCCCTCATAGCAGAAGGGATGATCGCGAGATTCCCAGATGCGCGGATCGGTAAGGTGAGTTGCACAGAGCTCTGTGTACTGTTCACGTTCCGGCCCAGGGCTCCCAGCGCTCAGCGCTCAGCGGAACAGTGAGCTGCGTGTCTGTGCTTGTTGGTGCAGGGCATCTGGTGCGGCGGGTGAGACGGGCATCTGATGCGGCTGGCCGTGTGGAACGGTCACATCGGATGCTCAGGACGCCATTCGCCCGGGGCCCCGCGGTTTACAGGACAGAGAGCCCCATGTGTCTTTCGATTGTGCTCCTCCGGCGGTGAATCAATGAATGACTGACAGCGTCCCGCAGCTATACACCCATACGGAGTAGCCACAATTAATAACCGACTGTGCCTGCGGTGGTACAGTAGCACCCGGAGGGTGTGGAGTCATGAAGCTTACTGCATAGCACAGGGCTCCAGGGCTAGCAGACGAACTGCTCCTGCAGGTGATATGTCGACATTCCCGGGGTTGCTATAATGTGCATTACACCACATTGCTCTACATTACATGCATGGGGGATCGTGCCTGTTGAATCGTGGGCGATGTTCGAGGGTCCTTGCCGATCCTGGGCCTGGAGAGACATGCATGTCTCGGAGGGCTGCTATTAGTTGCCCAGGAGGTCCGCCCGTGTCGATGGGGCCTTGAAGCTTGACTGACAGGACTGAGTCGTTGTCTCTGTGTGGGATAGTGTTCAGCAGATCCCTGTGCTATCTGGCCGTCTGGGCTGCTCCTGCTCGGTGGACGAACGCAAGCGTCTCGGGATTAGGCCGCGTTGTGAGACACTGCTTGCAGGAAAGGGGCGCCGCCGCTCTGGTACAGTTACTAGATGGATGGCACGCATCCGTAGACAACACCACTCCGCAGCGGTAAGGATGGCCCGGAGGTCACGACCTTATTGGCGTGGCCGTATTCAAGTGAGCGAGTGAATGACGGTGGGTACAGGTGTACCACACATCTCGCACGAGATAGCACATGCCTGCAATGAGGGGCTCGGTGTGCCTGTATTGCCTGTATGCACGTCGACTCGCCGGGCCATCTTCTGCTTTGAGGCTCGGTTAGGCAATCCGCGGATTGCAGATTCAAGATTGAATTGAACATTGCAGATTGACGCTGTTAGTCAGCAGGAGGCCTCGCTGCCCACACGTAGACGAGACGAGAGGTGGATAGACGTTGCCTCGATGCGTCTTGGGTCCTATTAGGACTGGATCGTCTGATCGCCAATGCTGTGTGGATGTCTGGGCATTTTCGGATGGGATATTGCTGTACGAATCGTTTCCAAGCCGAGCAGAGCCAGAGCAGTACACTGCTGCATCTGAATGGAGAAAAGCCTGGAAGACCAGGTACTGTAGGTACCACCGCAGCTAAGGGCCCTGCATTGCAGCAGCAGCAATGCAGCCAACAGTGCAGCAAGCAGCAACAGCGGTAGCCGGGGCCGTGAGGACTCTTCCAGCCCGCTCCGCTCCACGGTCAGATCAACCAAAACAGAATGGTCAGCAGAAAAGTTCAGCTGTGCAGGGGACTCTAGGTTTAATGAGATCAGGTAAGAATTTGCAGAAGAAATCGTCACCCACCAGCACCAAGTTAGATACTCTCGAGTAAAAGCGCGGGGCCGGCCTCGCAACGTACCGAGTACCTAGTGCTAACTAAACCACAGCACGGTAGCAGGGTAGCCACCACTCACCCGGTTTTCCGTTTTTCTCCTCCTTCCTCCAACGCCACCATGTACCGAAGTACCCAGGTGCCCTCCTTCCTATTTCACCCGCCCAAGTGCAAGACAGCAAACAGCAGTCAGTCAGACCGACGGCCGTTTCGGCTGGGGCAGTCTCACAGTTTTGACACAGCCTGACCGACGCTCCGTTGCTTGCCTGCTGTCGCTGTCGCCATTTGCTGTTACCCCGTCCGTCACCCCATTTGTAAGCACACCCAGGGTCTAAAACGCTTCCCTTGGCAGGCCAGCCAGGCCAGCCAGGCCAGCCAGGCCATGCCCTGCCCTGCCCTGCCCGTGCCGTGGCCAATGTTCCAGCACGTAGTCTTCCTTGGCTTTGGGGATTTGCCGGTACAGAGTCATCGTCGTGCTGGCCAGAGCTTGTTCTCTCTGATCTGATGATGACGATGATGATGGGTGCTGTCCTAGTCTGACGGAGGCCGAGGGCCCTCTGCACTGCCACCGATGATGCACAGGAGCCAAGAGGTGAGTCGTGTCTTTACATATCGGTCTTTACACAGTACCTTGGCACATTCAACAGCCGCGTCTTGCAGCGCCATAGCGGTTGGCCGGCCTGCTGTGCTGTTCTCTTCCACGGTCGACTGCCGGTTTCAGTCGAGTACCAAAGTGTCTAGCTTACTACGAGTTCGCTGTCCACCGTTTCCCTCCAGCTCCTCGGCAACTTCCCTCGTTGGTGCCGCCATGGATGCCTGGGCAGCAGTAGTGGTCAATTTTCAATTTTCGATTTTTTCCCCCTTCCACTCTGAAAAGGAACGTTGCGGCCAGGCCGTGGTGCTTTGTCAGCCAGGCGGTGCACTAACAGCGACTGACCAGCCGGGTGCCCTGGAGTGGTTAGTTTTAGCCCACTCAGCGTCATCAATTCCTTGGTCAGACATGTGCGCTCTGGGTTCGTATGTGTTTGTGTGTGTGTTCCGTTTACTGTTGCAGCACGGAAAAGGACCCGTTTCTGGGTCCAGTGCCCACTGCTTGCCGCTGCCGCCACTGCCACTGCCACTGTCACTGCCGCTTCCATGCCGCTTCCACTGCCGGCGCACCTGCCAGTGTCAGCGTTTTTGACCCCTTCTCTTTGCCGGTGCGCCTTGGACTCGACCACGCTCAGTCTTGGCCTGCTTTGATCCGTCACAATTCAGATACGGCACTCAGTCAGTAGAGGACCCGTGCCATGGTCTGCCAACCGGCCACGAGGGGGGCGTGACCATCAACTAGCCACCTGGGCCTTTTTTGATGTTCTGGTGCTCTGGTGCTGGCTGTATCTGTACTTTGCCCAAAGCTACGGCGAGGCAGGTGGAGCGCACCCCGGCTCCCCAGCGTTTCCTCAAAGTCGTTCCGTGCCGACTCGCAGCAGGACAGGACAGAAACAGAGGCAGAAACGGCAGACCGCCCTGTCCAGCCTGTCTGGCCCGTCCGCCTGTGTATCTTTGGCGCCCACGGGACGGGACACTGGATAACATCAGCTGTCCGAGGCCAGTTCCAGTCCCCCCAGCCTGGGTCTCCCCGGTCCTCAAACGCGCTCACTCACTCTTGTACTTCCGTCTCTGTACCCCCCCCGTCTCTCCTACTCCGTCTCTCCTACTCCGTCTTTCCGTCTGCCGCAGAACTCGACTGCCCCCTCCACCATAGCTCTGCCCTGCCTACCACCCTACCCGAGTCTAACGGTACCCCGTACACAGGCCTACCAGCCTGCTACCTGGTAGCCTGTTCCCGACCACTGCTCATTTCCAGATCCGCCGCCCACATTTTGTTGTCCGACTTAAAGACCACTACAATTCTCCCACTTCCCCCCTCCCCCCGTGGAAAACAAGACGCGTTTCTGCTTTGGCTTCTTCAAATACCCATTTGCTATTTTGTCTGTTTCTAGAGACTCCCCTGGGCTCTGCCCACCCCCAAGGCGCTTTCGCCGCCTCGCTCTTCTCCGTCGCCGCCTCTTTTCTCGTCTCTTCCCCTCCCCCTCTGTGTCTATTCTTGCTGGTGTGCCCCTACCCACCTGCACCAGCACCCGCACCTGCATCTGCATCTGGGCACGACTTTCCGCTTGCTTGCCTCCCTCTACGTCGCCTCCCAATACCTGATCTGATACTGGGCACGCCTACGCCGCGCCGCACCAGGGTCGCATACCTCGGGCAGCCAATAAACCCTGCTGCACCGGGCATACCATATCCATCATTTGCTGCACTCCCCCGTCGCCGCACTCCTCCTCTACGTCCTGTCGCCTCGCCTCGCCTCTCATCGGCTCCCGTATTGTAGTCTGCTACGGTAAACTACAATACTGTATCGTTCTGTACTGTATTGTACTACCACTCACCTGTGGTGTTCCGCCTTTTTTTATCCCGCCCTTTCCCACCGACGCAGCCCGTCGTCACCCTGCTTTCGCTGTCCGATCCCACAATGGCCAGTGCTTCCACATCACGGTCGACGACCATGTCGTCGAACTCTCAGCCCTCGTCCATCAGGTCCGTCGAGCTCAACAACAACAGCAGGGGCTCGCCCCAGCCAAATGCCCAGAATGGTCAAGCCGCTACTGCCGACCAAATACCGAAACAGCCCGAAAAAGCATCTGTCAAGGATCGCCTCACTCGCATGTTCTCGACAAAGGACGTCAGCAGGCTCGAGCTGAACGCCTCGCCCTCAAAGAAGCCTCTGCCCGCCGCGACCATTGCGGAGCAAGGCTCGACATCAGCTGCCTCGACTCCTCCCCTCAAGCCCACAATCCCGTCGCGGCAAGCATCCGTTACAGATAGGCTGGACAAGCCGGCAGAGAAGACCCCTGGTCCCAAGTCTGGAAAATCAACCAACGGAAACGGCCACCCCTCGCAGCGCTATGTCGTCAACCCCGAGGCACAGGGCGGCCACGAGCACCACCTCAGGTCGAGCAGGCGCCAGGAGAAGCTGACCGACATGTTCAAGGGTCTGCTCGGCAAACGTGCGGAACAAGTGCCCGACAGCGACCTGTCCCTGGTCTCGAACTGGGTAGACGCTCTGAAGCAGGAGAAGGATTCGATGGCTTCGGACAGGAAGGGCGGCCCCAAGGAGACGGTCACGCTCGTAGAAAAGTACGGAAAGTGCCAGGAGGTTGTTGGGCGCGGCGCCTTCGGCATAGTCAGAATATCGCACAAGAAGCTCGAAGGCCTGCCAGGCGAAAAGCTGTTCGCCGTCAAGGAATTCCGACGACGCCCGGAGGAGACAGAGAAGAAGTACAGCAAGCGGCTGACTGCTGAGTTCTGTATCTCCTCCTCTCTCCGACACCCCAACGTCATCCATACCCTGGACCTTCTCAAGGACGCCAAGGGGGACTATTGCGAGGTTATGGAGTTCTGCGCTGGTGGTGATTTGTACACTCTGGTGCTTGCCGCGGGAAAGCTCGAAGTGCAGGAGGCAGACTGCTTTTTCAAGCAGATGATGCGCGGCGTCGAGTACATGCACGAAATGGGGGTTGCGCACCGCGATCTGAAGCCTGAAAACCTGCTGCTCACGACAAATGGGGGCCTGAAAATTACCGATTTTGGCAACGGCGAGTGTTTCCGCATGGCGTGGGAGAACGACGCCCACATGGTGTCCGGGCTGTGTGGCTCAGCGCCATATATTGCGCCAGAGGAATACGTCGACAAGGAGTTCGACGCTAGAGCGGTGGACGTCTGGGCTTGCGGTGTTATCTACATGGCGATGCGGACGGGTAGGCATCTGTGGCGGGTTGCCAAGAAGGACGAGGACGAGTTCTATGCTCGATATCTCAAGGGGCGCCGAGACGAGGAGGGCTACGGCCCAATCGAGTCCCTGCACCGGGTAAGTTCTGCTCTCGATCGGGAAACCTCCGTGGACACTATCAGCTAACGTCGTGCCACCAGGCTCGGTGCCGAAACGTCATCTACTCAATATTGGATCCCAACCCGACAAGACGGATCACGGCTTCACAGGTGCTCAAATCAGAATGGGGCCGTGAGATAAAACTTTGCAAAGCCGGTGAGGAAGGCCTCTGAGAAGGGCGTCGTCGTTCCACCGGCCCCGAAGTCCGTGGGATGGCGGCAGCAACCTTGTTTCGGTGACACCATTGAGCGATCACGGCCAAGGGCGACAGGCCAGCATGTTCCCAGGGCCAACCGAAGCTCAAGTTATCTTCAAATTCATGAACTTCTCGTTACGCTTAAAGACAGCATCGGAGTCCGGACTTTTCCTGGTTATATCCCAAATGAAATTATTCATACTTCTATCACAATACCTCTTCTTTTTCTTTGTTTTTGTCTTCTTGTCTCATCATGGGAACCACGCAAGCGACTGCGCCGAGACGCGGAATACAGACATCATGACAAGATACAAAAAATTGCATATCAGAATCGGCTGTCCAAAGTTCCAAGAGTGGGCAGCGGGAAAGGACAGTTCCTCGGGGAAGGCCAGGGGGGAAACCAGCGGGATGAAGAAGGGCAACACGCGAGACCGCGGGCACATATGCCGGGTCACTTCACGAGGGTGCATTCGTTCACTCATCAACAAGACATGGGAGGGAGAAGGCTTCTGTGCACGGGAGTAAAGGAGTTCTGCGTTTATCCCACCACTGAGTTGGGGAGGACCAGGTGGCAACATGATGATTTCCGGGGGCAGGGCCATTGAGCCGCTGCGCAACCGGTGCGCAGCACACACTGAGAACGTGGGAAGAGAGGATGCAAGAGATGGAACCCCCCCCCCCCCCTTTGAGACTCGGTGTCAAGTCATTGGGGCGAGACGGCCCACGGTCTTGGCTCCCTCTTGGCACCTCAGCTTGGCTTTGCGGGAAGGATCGCTGGGGGCCGGGTGGTGTGGAGTCGATCAGCGAGGATGTGGGTTTGACGGCTTGGTGTAGTGGAAAGGGAGCCCCAAAAAAATGTCCGGGGTTTGGCACGACGATTTGATGGGAGCCAAGAAGCTGGGCCCTCTTGATAAATTTCAATCCTCCTAAGCTTCTCAACCAAGTTGGAGGGTATGCAGGGGGTTGGTGGGCGGAAGTTCTCCTATATCTATATCTATATCTATAGGTCTTTTCTTTTCCTTGTTCTTGGGGATGGGAATCGCCTTTGGATGTATAGATTCTGGTGGTGGGCCTGTGTGGAAAGTCTGAGGGGGTCGAGGCCACAGAACACAGACACACGTTCTCTCCGCTTGATAGCATGTCCATGTGCTGCACGCGCTTTGTCCCCCGTTGCGACGTGCTTGATCGGCTGTTGGCTAAATCGGCTCGTCCAAGGCCTCGTCCTACGTCCTCTTCCTTAGGTCGGAAAGATTGACCGAAGGTGTCCTCGGTCTGCCTCGGTCAGGTCTGTTCTCACCGGGCGAAACGAATTACATACGTTTCTGCCTGTGCATTTCTCTGAGGCCGACGCACTGTCCAGCTGGCCAGCCGTGATCTCTGAGGCACGGGCATGCGTCCCTCGCCCCCAACCACCCGGCTCCCCTTTTTCCCTTCTTTTCTCCCTTCCCTCCCCTTCCTGACGGCCCCAAAAGGACTGCAAGGTCCCCCCTCTTAACATTGATGACTGCTCGCTCAACCTCGCCCGGCTGCTTCACTGACGTTTGCGAGCCCGGGGGGCGCCCTTGGCCCCCAGCGGAGACGGACGCGTGCTGGCGGTGCCCGCTAGTGTTGCATGTTTGCTTGCTTGCTTGTTTGTTTGCGCTTGTTCCCAGTTGGGCGGGTTGACTGTGCTGCCTGTGTCCCTGCGCATTGGGTGGTGTTGCTGCGTGAGGGATGGCTTTCGGTCTGAGTGGGCTGAATAACCAACTGGGGTTTGGCCGGCTCGACTCGAGTGAGTGAGTGAGTGGGTGTGTGGCTGGAGGATGTGGCCGATTCGCTCCTGGCTATTTGAGGGTGGCGAGGGGATTCAAAGGGACTGACTGAGTGAGCTGAGGAGTACGATACTCTGAATATGCATGAGAAGATTGGCTGCGGTGAAGTAAGCACCCCCCCCGCCCCCCCCAGCTTCAGTGAGGGAGCAGCCGACAGTTGCTGGAGGGCTCAAGCGAGCGCGAACAACCAACGACGGGGGCGGCTGAAGCATCGCGGTGGCTCGATACCTACGTCGGCAACTCGGAGACCGTAAGGGAACAGATACTGGGCGACCCAGTAACTGGTGGCTCGGGACACTTGTGAGATCACGGGAATCGTGTTGAAAATGAGGGAATCATTCTTGTTCGCGCTTGGGAGAGAGGTGGTGTCAAAGCATTGATGTGCCGCAAGTTCATGACGTACACATCGAAACTTCCACTTGACTCTTGAGTCTTCTTTCCTTCTCCTAAACGCATCGGTTGCGTAGCGAGGACTTTCTTTCGTCTCGGAAGTTGGTAGGCTCTGTGGCGGTTGAAGTGGCACGGTCTTCCATCAAGAAAGACCACCTGCTTGACCAGCCCGTGCCTGATACCCGGCCCTGTGGACGCTTTCAATAAGAGTACGTGATTGTCTACCATCGAACGGGTGTCTCTCTGTGCTGAAAAAGGGGGGGGTGGTCGCCGCCTGGAGAAATCATGCGTATTACCCTTGCGGAGGGTGCCGGCGCCGGCCAGCAGTCTGTCTCTGACCATCATGGCTGGGACGTCTTCGGGACAGCAGCCCGTTCTCCTCCGAGGCTCCTCCCGAGTGGTCCTGTCAGATGTTCGATATCCTCTCTCGTTAGTGTAGTAGTGACTGTATCGAGCCCTGGCAATTTGTTGTTAGGTTGAGGCCCGGGGGGTGGGGCGGGGGGGGGGGGTCCACCACGACGCCACGACGAGCCTTCTCCTGGACGGAATGACGGACGTTGGAAACGTGGTGAACGACTGCTTGTTGAGACGGGCGCGGTGACTCCAACGGCTGGAAGACTGAGGTGGAGACAATAGTGACGAGTATGGGCTGGAGAATCTCCTGTCCATGACTGATTCAACCAACTGCAATCCACCTGTGTTTAGCCATAGCCATCTGCGAGTGCCTAGACCTGCCGTTCCGGACACCACATAGAGGTTGTGGGCGCCTCAAATCCACCTCAAGCCTTTACATCACACCGAGAGCCCTCTGGTTGTTCAAAGGAACCCTGGACAATCTCACATCAGTATGTTTGCCCCATCATCCTTCTAGCCGGACTGATCAGGCCCACTTTTGAGAAATATTGCACTCTGGCAGGTATCATTTGTTGCTAGCTACCCCAATGCTGGCGAGTCGATTACATCCACAATCCTCCGGGCGATTTCCACGATTATACCACCGTGCCCGGCCGTCCAACCCGCTCGAGTCTCGTGTTTTCGACTCGAGGCCGGGTCCCCAATGTATATATATATCCAAGGTTCAGGTCAATGTGACAGACGTGTATCGGCCCGCGCCGCCTCAGCTCTCCCCAGTGCCCTCCTCCTCGGCATTCTCAATCCGAGCCTCCTGGCTCCTGGCCCTCGAGTCCCGGATGGTCTGCGACACGAGGTCGGCGAACTTGTTGTTCCTGAACGCCCCCTGGAGCTTGTCTCTGCCACGGTCGCCGGCGCCTCCTCCGCCGGCCTCGCCGTCCCCGTGCTCCTCCCTGACGTCCAGCGCCCCGTCGTCGTGGAACCGGTCCTTGGACTTGAGGTGCCATGTCATGTACACGCTCGGCGCCTGCCCGCCCGCCTTCTTGATCCGCTCGATTTCCTCCTCGTACGCCCGGTCGTATACGTTGAAGTCAACCGCCGTCGGCGAGTCCGCTACTGATGTTGGCTCGCCCTCGCTTCCGCTCGCGAAGTTGTCGCGCCCACCCGTGCCGATGCCCAGCAGGGCTGGCGCCCCCGGCGAGGCTTGAGCGTTTCGCTCCCCGTGGCTCCTGCCAGACTCTTCCTCCGTCGGGGGCTGGTCTGTGCTGTCCCCTCTGTTGGGCTCGTTGCTGGGGTGAACGGGCAGGCCGAATGGGCCGGCAATGTTTCCGCCCCTATTCTGGAGGACCTGCTTTCGTTGTTCCAGGAGCCGCGTGGCGTGTTCCTCGTTGTCCCGCTTGAGAGCCTCGAACTCCTGCTCGTCCATGGAAGGTTTCGGCCTGTGTCGGGTCCAGCGCGGAACGTGTCTGTTGTTGTTTGGGTCCGCGTCCTCAGGGAAGAGGCTGGTCCTCGGGCTGTTGGTGCGAGACCGGGACGAGAGGAGGGATTTGAAGTTTGAGATGGCCTTCATCACGCATAGTAGATGGCCCATCTGCCGTGTGAAAGCGTGACTGACCTCAAGCTCGTTTGGGGCGTCGATAAGTTCGGAGCAGTTTTCTTCAGCGTCCAGAAGTGGATCGGTGCCGTCCCTTGTGACCCATGGATGTTCCTGTGGCATTGATTAGACATGTCTTGCATGAGTTTGTGTAGGACTTCGATCGACTCACCCTAATGTCAGGCATCGTGATCCTCTGCTCCGGATCCTTCTCCATTAACCTCGTGATCAGATCCCTGAAATTCTCGTTCTCATCCTCAGGCATCGTTGGCGTTTCCGTCTTGATGGCTTCATATATCTCCAGTACACCTGCCCGATTGAACGGTATATGGCCGTACCTCAGACAGAATAGCGACACGCCCATGCTCCAAACGTCCGCCGCCGTCCCACTTACATCTCCATGCTTGGCGACGCACAATTCCGGGGGCAGGAAGGCGGGCGACCCGGCAGACTTGGCCGTGCGCATCTGCTCGGGCTTTTCAAACATCTCACTGACGCCAAAGTCGACGATCTTCAACACGTCGTCCTCGGTCAGGAGTAGGTTGTCCGGCTTGATGTCCCGATGCACGACCCCTTGGGCGTGCAGGTACTCGATACCAAGAATCAGGTCGCGGAACCAGTACCGACACGTCTCCTCGCTGTACGGTTTGGCAGCCTCGTCGAGCCCGACCTTCATGACGACGCCCTTCTTGCACATCTCCAGGACCATGTAGAGCGAGTCCTCGTCCGGGTCGTCGAGCACCTCGATCAGCGAGACGAGGTTGGGGTGGTTGAGTTTCTTCATGATGGCGATCTCCTCTCTGATGAGGAATAGGGAGTCGTTGTCCTCGGACTTTTTGTGGTCGCGCAGCTGGTACGACACGGTGGGGTCCATGCCCGGCCCAGAACCCGAGTCTGCTGCTGTCCGAGGGCGTGGTGGGAAGCGGCCTGGCCCTCGCCTGGGACCTCGACGGAGGATGTTGGACTGGGCGCGTTTGCGCAGACGAGTCTTTGAGAACTCCTTGATGGCCTGTTGCGGGCTGTGTATAAGTCTTGGGCTTGAACTATCCTCCCGGAATCACGAACTGTTTTGTCAACATACGTATTCATTGCCGAACTGGTCCACGGCGAGGTGGACCGCGCCGTAGGACCCGCGGCCTATTTCCTCCTTGATGGTGTACTGGTTGATGACATGGTGCGACCGGCCGTCCGAGTCGTCGCTTGTGTATTCGGACCGGGCATTGAGGGTCTCCTGTGGATGGGGTTGTGGCGCATGTTAGTGAAGCTCGACGGAATTTGGTCACCGAGTATGACGGCTGGAGGGGCGGCGCACGCACCTTGACCACACGATGCTGACTAGGGGTTCTTTTGTGGTGTCTCATTGGGCTCTGAAACTGTTGGACAGCAGGTGCAGATCTGGAGAATTGGCGAGTGGGCGACGGTTAGTCGGGCGAGACAGCAGGACGGGAGAGAGAGAGAGGAGAGAGATGTTGCAGTGACAGTATAGACAGGCCGTCCTGCGCGACTGAATAAGTATTAAAGCTGGTTCTCACCGAGGATGAGGGGCCATAGAGGGCCGGGCGTGGTCTGCGCCCTCGCCTCTGCCGTCGCCAGTTGGCTGCGCGGACGGTAGAGTCGATGCGCTGCCATGAAACTCTACCTTGATGCCGGGCGAGAACAGGCTCGGCGCCGAGGGATCTTCGGTGGCCATGCCCACTTGTACTGCCCTTGAACCTTGGAGCTGATCTTGATCTTGATCCAGATTCTGTGTCTGGTCCAGATCTCGGTCCAGCGTCTCCACGGCGTCTCGCGGGGCGCCAGGTGGAGGGGCACTCTGGCTCGAGACCAGCGCTGGCGCCGACGCGGCTGGACGTGGGGGTGATATAGCCTCCATCGAATGAATATAGCAGATCTGGGTGCTGGATGCTGGGCGATGAGGACCCCGGCGGGGGAGGGAAACTCTAAAAGCCTGGCAGATGGATCCCTACACCCTGGAAGCCTGGAGCATGGAGAAATGTTTCGTTTGCTGTGGCTGCAAGTCAGTCAGTCGGCCAGGCCTTGTTGCGCCGTCCGTTGTCCGTTGTCCGTTGTCCGTTGTTCTGTCGTCTGTCGCGTTTCCTTCTCAGGGGCAAAGAAGGCGCTGGTGAGGGCAGTAAGAAGGGGAGAAGAGTGCAACGGAGAAGACAAGAGGGCTCAGTCGGTCTTTGAATATGTTTTTGTGTCATTTGTTTTCTCTCGCGTCCCCGTAAGGCAAGCAAACATTTACCAATCCAGCCCAGCTCAGCTCTTCTCAGCCTCACTGATCATTTCCACCTTGCGCATGTGAGGACGAGTCAGAGGGCTAGGATCGATGGATTGGGGGGGAATATGGGGTGGTGGGCAGGGGGTGTTCGTCCTCCTCGCCCTGCTTGCATGCGACCCTTGCCCCTCGGTCCTCCCCCCACTGCGCCCCTCTCCCCTGCCCATCAAGTCACTGGGCTGTGTACCTGGGTAGTGCTGTGGAAGAGAAAGCGAGCTCTGGCACATGCCCTGCCCCAAGCTGCATTGCTGCATGTAGCTTAGGTTACCCGGGCCAGGCTGCGCAGGCCACATGCTGCGCACTCTTGTACAGTGGGCCCAGTTCCATCCTCGACGACACCGTCGCCAACGGACAGACCGACAAATTGAGTGACAGACTGACCGGCCGGCCAGACCACAACATCACCGCCACAAACGAGCCCTCCAGCTCGTGATGTAGCCTGCCCGCCATGACGGTCTACTCTTTTTACATCTTTGACCGCCACAGTAAGCCTCTCGGACAGCCTCGCTCCTCTGCCCTTCGCCGTCTCCATCCAACGGCTTTCCTTCTCTGCCAGTAATACTGACCACCACCACTACCACCAGCGGAATGTGTCTTCACCAAGAATTGGCTCCCGCCCTCCCAGCAGGCTGCCCTGCCAGCCTCGGCCTCGGCAGCAGCAGCAGTCGCAGCCACATCGACCTCTGACACGCGGCCCTCCACCGCCGTCAACGGCGTGCCCACGACAGCACCACCGGCAGTAGCACCAGCACCCGCGACGGCGGCAGCGGCAAAGACCAAGAGCACCCGTGCCCAGAACGACGCCAAGCTCATCTTCGGCACCGTCTTCAGCCTGCGCAACATGGTCCGCAAGCTGGGCGGCGACGACGACGCCTTCATCTCCTACCGCACCGGCCAGTACCGCATGCACTACTACGAGACCCCGACCAACCTGCGCTTCGTCCTGCTGACCGACACCGCCACCATGAGCATGCGCAACGTCCTGCACCAGATATATATCAACCTCTGGGTCGAGTACGGTATGTTTGTTGTCCATGGGCGCTGCTACGGGAGAACATAGCGGGGAGGAGTGGGTGAGAAAGATGGAGAAGAAGGGATGTGGCTGACACGGATAAACCTGCAGTGGTCAAGAACCCCCTCGCCCCCGTCGAGCACAAGGGCGGCGCCGGCATCACCAACGAGTTGTTTGAGATTGGTCTCGACCAGTTCATCAGGGGCCTCCAATGAGCAGCCCGATCGACCCAGCCACCAGGCCGACACACCCAGTCATGGCTATGGCAGAGATACCAAGGTGGTGGTAATGAAACGCGCCGACACCAGATAACCTGGCGGCGCGTTGAAAAGGGTTCCGGGACAAGCTTTCGATCTGGACTACGGCACGGCACCCAAAGTGTACGAGGGCGGGCCAAGGCCCAGAGTCGGTGCTGTTGTCGTTCAGGCTACCCAGCCGTGTCATGAACACTCGAAGTGTCATACTGTCGCACGTGCCAGCTTCTTTATAAGTTTAGGTGGAACTTTGTCAAGCATACTGGGCCAGCGACTAAACCGAAGGATCAACGCATCCTCCCACCGAGCAGGTATAGCGTCCGAGGAGTTCAAACCAGGAGAACGGCGGGCGATTGGTGACAGGCTGTACCACAGACCTGCCCCAACTGCTGCAAAGGGGGGAGGGGACCAAAAACGGATAGGCGCGCAGACGATGATCCCCAGAGACATGTATAGACGGCCACATACAGCAATAAGCCACCGCAATCCCGGGTACTGAGGCTCTAGATACTGCTCTAGAAGAGATAGATCATAATGATACACATGTGGATTCGAGAGCAGGACCTGGATTACCCCACGTTTTATCCACATTTATTCATACCATCGTAACACACATGAGAAACGACTACAAGAGTATATACGGTTCGCTTGCTCTTGCTGGCTCGTTTTTACAACAATGGGGTATATCGCCATCTCCACATAGTCCCATGTATGGTAGTAGTAGTGTTTCTCATAAAAGGCCGGATCACAACCAACAGCCTCGCCAGCCAGCCTCTCCAAAAATAACGAAAGTGTGCATCGCACCACACCTACCGGCCTAGGACGCCGCCTTCTTCTCAGTCGCCCTAGCCCACGCGCTCTCAAACGAGGACGAGCCCTGCGACGGCTCCACAAGCACAAGGCTCCCCTCTACGTCGCCATCGCCCAGCCCTAGGACCCTTGACTGCCGCACGCTCGACCCGGCAGCCGTGGTCGTGCCGGTGGTGAGCGTCCCGCTCACCGACGAAGACGACGGAGGCGGCATCTCGTCGCGCACCTCGTTCTCCCAGTTGCTCGAGTAGACCAGCGCCGCGAAGCCCTCGAGGTCCCGCACCGCCTCCATGGCCTGCAGGTACTCGTTGGGCGAGGGGGCGCCGGCCCCGATGGCGTGCGCCTGCCGCGTCAGCACCGAGAGGCACTTGGGCAGCAGGACCTTGTTCTCGGAGCGCTGCCGCTGGCGCAGCTGCTCCGGGCCGACGATCGCGACGCCGCTGGCGTCTATTGTGGGTGGTGGTGATGTCGTTGGCGCTGCTGGCTCTGAGTGCTGCGGGGGTGCAAGATCGAAGGCGCCCTGCGCCAGCTTCGTGTCCAGCAGCGTGCCGAAGCCCGCGTCCAGGATCTGCGTCAGCACGTGAGTGAAGGCCGGCGCCTCGATCAGGTCCGACGTCTCGTCTAGTAACCGCCGCAGCGAGGCGGTGGACGTGGGTGATGATGGTTCTTCTTGTTCCTGTTCTTTCGGTGGTGACTGGCCCTCGCCCTCCACCTCGTTTTGGGCCCGCGTCGCCGACGCAGCGCTGTCGTCCAGGATGCCCGACTCCCTGAGCACGTACTCCTCCATGTCGGGCGGGGGCAGCAGGAAGGATAGCCACTTGGTCGGGGCGCCGCCACCCCCGGTGGTAGTGGTGGTCCCTGGCGCCGCCGGGTCCGAGAAGGCGGCCGAGCCCTCGACCAGGCGGCGCACTTGGCCCGTCATGGCGGCGAAGGTCTCGAGGGAGAGCTGGTCGCGGGGGCTTGTTTGACCAAAGACCTGTCGCACGGCGGCCTCGACGCGCTGGGCCACGTCCAGCCAGCCCTTGTTGAGTAGCCACCAGCTGAAGGTAAGGTACTTGCGGTTGACTTCGAAGTCGTCGCCGTAGGCCTGGGCCGAGTTGTCGTCGTCATTGTTCTCGAGGCTGATGGTTGCCGAGTTGGAGCCGGTCGCGAGGGACACGACGCTGGAGAGGTAGCTGCGGCGGCCCAGCAGGTTGAGCTGGACCCGGGTGAGCATGGTGAGGAGGCCGAGGGTGTAGATCAGGGTGTAAGCCCGTGTTGTGGCTTCAGACGGTTTGTTAGCTTGTGCGGTCTCATATGGTGGATGTTCCGGTGGCAGGGCAGCACCACTTACAGCTGATCGTCACATCACCCCATAGCTGCCGCTTCGTCCTCCTGGGCTTGTCTGGCTGTGGTGGCTGGTCGCCCTCTGTCTGGCTGGCCGGTGGCACGGTGATCTGGCTGGCGTGGATGCCACTCTCGCTCGCGGAGACGATGCTGCGGCCGTCCTCGTCGGTCATGCCTGTTGTCTCGGGGAGGCTCATGGAGTCGCCGCTCCCGCTCTTGACCGACTTGGAGCCATTGCCGCCCTTCATCTGTTGGATCTCGAGGGTGATCTTCTCCACGTCCATGGACTCGAGTATTCGCGTGGTCGCTGTCGGCAGTAGGGCCAGCACGGTGTAGGTGCAGTCTTCCTGGTTCTGTTGGAAGCGCCGCCGCAGACTGGGAGCAGTGGAAGACGATTTGTTAGCATGATGAAGACGACACGTGGGGACACGGGGGATGAAGCGAGGACAGGACGCACTTCTCCTTGGCTATGCGATCACCGCTCATCCGCTCGCGGGCATCGTTCAGCTTGTTGAGGACATATTGGGTGGCGACGTAGCCGGCGCCCACAACGCCCACGCCGATGGCAATGGGGGTCCTATTGCGACGGAACCACCGCCGCGTTGCAGCGAACATGACTGAGCTGTCTGCTGGTCTGCCTGCCTGCCTCGTGTGTCTGTCTGTATATCTGTCTGTCTCTCTCGTCGGTCACTCCACTGCTGGAGATGTCCAGAAGCAGACGGGTAAAAGGCGGGGGGAATTGGTCGTCTGTCTGGGTCGGCCCGAGGGAAGGGAATTGCGATTTGCAGCCTCAGACAGGCAGCCAGGAGGTGGAGAGGAACAAGAGGACCAGCTGCCCTACATGGAGCATGAAGGCACACGACACAGGGGAAAAGAGCCTGCAGTACGTGCGTGGTATGCCGTGTCACAAGCAAAGTGGACGACTTCGCAGTCGTGCCCTGTCCACGCCCAACCTTTCCCCGGAATTGCCTGCACCTGCAGCTCGTCTTTCCAACTTTACCTTGGGCCTCGGCTCCGGAGCAGAGTCGCTAATTCGCAGGCGGGAGGCACGGACCTGGACTCGCTAGCTTGTTAGCGCCTCGGGACCTAGTCCCTGCTGTTCCCCGTTACGTACCACTGACCGGCGGAAGAGTCTACGTACGTACTGCTAGTCCAGTGAAACACTTGCTTACATACGCACCCGCGCTGCATAACACCGACACCTAACCCGCCGCCCGTACACAACACATTGAGGAAGCTAATAGGGCCCTGATTGGACAAACTATGTTCCCAAAGCAGGCAGACAGGCTTCATCTCTTGCGCATACTGTACTGTATAGGGAAACTCTCATTTTAAATGCTTGCTGGCCCCACATTGACCTACAGCTCTCGTTTGTCTCCCGGGCCTGAAGCCATGAGACAAACCCCGGCCCCGAGGCCAGTTCTTGTATCAGTTACACTGCTTGACATGTATTTATACTATATGGATTCGCACTATATCTGAACCTCGTTGGTGCCAGGCCTGTCTCCATCCTTTGGGCTTCCCTGGATCATGACAGTTGTTTAGAAGGTCCAAGGTGCTTTCTTTTTAGACGCTGCGGCATTGAGTGAAAAACGTAATGTTTCTTAGACATCATACTTTCAAAATCCTGGCGGTTACATGGCTTCTCGCCAGGTGTGCCATCGCCACGGGTGGGCTCAACGGACTTCCTGTTCTCAATGGTCCCATCACTCCACCGTACTTCAACACCATACCGGGCATGAAGTCCAGGGTTGGGGAATTTTGTCCATCCTGGCCTCTGGCATACACACGATGATCTGGAACGCATCCGTCTCGGCGTACAGAACGATACGGAGCCGTGGAAGTCTGCCTTTGTCAACTTCACCACTGATAGATTCTCAAGCAGTGAGGTGAGAGGAAAAGGCCTTCTCCCTTGGAGTGTCGCCCTCCTAATTATACTATACTGATTATACTCCATACATCCAGTATCAGATTAAAGGTCCGCACCCCGTCCTGTGTCGGGGTGCGTGCAGCAACTATACCAGCTTTTCCTATGACGCCCGTGCTGCCTGGCAGAATGCCCTCATGTGGTACATCACGCGGCATCAGAGCCACTGGGACCGCGCCACCACCTTCCTGGACGCGTGGGGCAGCAACTTGACCGACATCATCGGCACGGATACTGCGCTTCTTGTCAGCCTTGATGGGGACCTCCTCGTCAACGCTGCCGAGATTATGCGATGGGAGGGCGGCTGGGATGACGGTAGCTTTTCCAACCAGCTTTATTGGCTGTTTGCGAGGCAGTCTATCATAATAGGACATGCCAACTACGGGCTGGCAACAATCAAGGGCCTTTTGTCTTTTGCGGTGTACCTTGACGATGTGTCTATGGTGAGTATGCCACTGACGACAGCCGGGATGTTACTGTTAGTAGGTCGCTTCACCAAACAAATCTTGTGTCTCCAAACAGTACTACTATGCCCTCGCAGCGTACCAACACGACCCCTGCGCCGGGCTCCCCGGCAACTATGACCAGACTACCGGTCAAGGATCCGAGACGGGCCGCGATCAGGGCCACGCCGTGGCCAGCTTGGGCTGGGCGGCCGAGGCTGCCCGCGTGATGCAATCCCAAGGCTGGGAGGATTCCTACACAATCATAGATACTCTCCTGCTCAAGGGCGGCGAGTATGCAGCAAAATATAACCTCGGATACGACGTCCTGTATGACCGCAGTTTCTACCGCTGCGAGGCGATGCTCGTCAAGGGGCCTTGGGCACAGCCGTCGGCGATCAAACGCGGTATCGTCGGGAGGCCCAAGGTCTGGGACGTAAGTTAAGACATCTAATACACCCGGAGAAGCGAATTTTCAGGAGGGTGGAGGAACCTCACTCTTTCCTGGATGTTTTTCCAAGCTGACGCGACCTGTCAAACTAGATCCTTTACTATCAGTACAACGTCAAGAGAGGCCTAGACACCCCCTATATAGCGCAAGCAAAGGCCGGTTCCGACGCCGCAGGTGGAGAACAACACCGTGAGTGAAAATGAGATCTTCTCATCTCCGACCTCAACCTCCTTTTATCATGCTTCATGTGTACGGACAGAGTTCACGTGTAGCTGGATCGGCTTCAGCGTCGACAACTGACCACCCTGGCTGGGGTGACCTGATCTGGTCGTATCCAGGACAGGGCAGTTTTCTGAACAACAATGACCGCACTATATGGAGCGGAGGGTCCATTGGACCAAACGGTACAGGAAATATGAATGCGTAGTGGATAGCCAACGCCGTTAATTGTTCTGCATATGTGTACTGAGGTTCTCCATAATTCTTGATCAGCGACTCTCCTGCTCCCTCGCTCGCTCAACCAAACTCCTTCATTACAATTGTCCCACACAAAAAGATTCAAAAGACATGCATAAGCATAATATAATTCACCTATCTGGCATCTCATGACATTGTGAACGGAAGTTAGGCAACGTTGCCTCAGGGTGATCTACCTACCAGGGGGGAGGGGGGTTTCTGACTGGGTCACGCAATGCACTCATATTTTGACATTCAATCGAAATTTCATAATTCTAGCAAAATGCTAGTAAAAGGCTATTGCAATCCTATCAAAAAGAAATTATATCGAGGCTTTAAATCATATCCATATTAACTTTATGTTAATATTAACTTTATGTTAATATTAACTTTATGTTAATTAATTTAGCTAATGTTACCATAAATTTATGTTAAAAGCTCTGGTTTAAACCTTATTAACTTTAATAACTTGGGCTTGAGCTGCATATTTAAGAGGGCGTATGTGATGGGCTTGGGCTATTGCCCAAGCCTTATATAGTGTGGCTAGATAATCCAAGGGAGCTTGGATTATTACATACCTTTTGGCTTAGTTAAAAGGTTGCTGCTTTGCAGCTTATGAAAGAAGGCGCTAGCTAGCCTACAGCCCCTTTAGGGCTAGCTTATAATAAATAATTTAAGCTTTAGAGTTAAGGGTTTAAGTTATGTTTGCTATAATTGCAAGCACCCCTTTTATAAAGAAGATCTTTGGCTTAAAAAGGCAATATTATGGGTAAGCCTTAAAGGTAGTTATATTATTATATATAAGGAGGGAGCTTTAAAGGAAGGGGCTATATAATGAGCTTGGGCTATTGCCTAAGCCTTATATAATGTGGCTAAATAATCCAAGGGAGCTTAAATTATTACGTACCTTTTGGCTTAGTTAAAAGATTGCTGCTTTATAGCTTATAAAAAAAGGTGCTAGCTAGCTTACAACCCTTTTAAGGCCAGCTTATAATAAGTAATTTAAGCTTTAAGGTTAAGGGTTTAAGTTATGTTTACTATAAATGCAAGCACCCCTTTTATAAAGAAGATTCTTAGCTTAAAAAGGCAATATTATAGGTAAGCCTTGGGGGTAATTATACCACTATATTAAGGGGGGTTTTGGGGGAAGGGGCTATGTAATGGGCTTGGGCTAAAAGCCTAAGCCTTATATAATATGGCTAGATAATTCAAGGGAGCTTAAATTATTATATACCTTTTAGCTTAATTAAAAGGTTGCTATTTTATAGCTTATAAAAGAAGGCGCTAGCTAGCTTATAGCCCCTTTAAGGCTAATTTATAATAAATAATTTAAGCTTTAAGGTTAAGGGTTTAAGTTATATTTGCCGTAAATATAAGCACTTCTTTTATAAAAAAAATCCTTGGCTTAAAAAGGCAATATTGCAAGTAAGCCTTAGGGGTAATTATACCACTATATTAAGGGGGGTTTTAGGGGAAGGGGCTATGTAATAGGCTTGGGCTAAAAGCCCAAGCCTTATATAATGTGGCTAAATAATTCAAGGGAGCTTGGATTATTACGTACCTTTTAGCGCAAATGGTTACTGCTTTGCAACTTATGGGAGAAGGCGCTAGCCAGCCTGCAGCCCCTTTGGGGCCAGCCTATAACAGCGTAAATTATTAAGAATGGGCTTTCCAGCCTTAATCTTTGCCTTAATTTTATTGATTTAAGCGGAGGATTGGTTGGGATAAAGGTAGGCTTGAATGCCATATCCTTTCTTGTTATAATTATAATATGTTTACATAAAACCCTAACTTTCCACTTGGGAGTAAGAGGTGCTAAAGCCATCTTATCCTCTTTATATAAAGCCCTGGCTTGCATAGCCCCCATGAGTTAATGGTTATTACATTTAGCTATTTTAACTTAAAAGGATATAAGTAAGCTTGTTTGCTAGGTTTTATTTTTAATTCATGGCTTTAATTTACAATTAATATTTAATACCCTATTAAGCATTATTATTGGAATATAATTTGCACTCTTTATATATAACTATAAGGTTTATATATAAAAGCTTATTAAGCCCCATTTTCCTCTTCTTTAAAGGAAGAGCAATGCAAAATTTAAACTTTATTTCTTTACTTAACCACATTATTTCTATATATATATAACATGGTTTATTAATAAGTAGCTAATATTAATAAATAATTAATTTTTCTAACTTTACTTAACTTTAACTAGCTTTAATACTTATTTAATATAAAAGAATTAATAAAAGTTAATATTAATTAATATTAATTATTTTTAACTTTTTATTTTTAATTAATTTTATTAATTTAAAATAGTTAAAAATAATATAATATAAGTTTAAAATAAGTAACTTTTAATAAAAAACCTATATTTTATATTAAATAATGCTAATTATATTATTAAAAACATAATTTACTATAAATTATTAAAATAAATATATTTATATTAATTATTATTAATTAAATTAAATTTATTATAATTATAATTAAAATTTAATTAATTAAACTTTTCTTTATTTTTTTAAAGGTTTTTATATTATATTTAATTTTATTATAATTATTATATTATTATTTAATTAATTTATTGTAAACCGCCTCTTTATTATGGGTTGGCCTTAAGCGTCTGCTGAAAGGTACCTAAAAGGAGTTATGAATTGCAATATCTAAGAAGTAAGTTAGGCCCTAAAAGGGCCCAACTCTAGATCTATCTTTTAAGTGTGTGCCCCATTACGTGAAAGGGTTGGGTGCAGTGTGGGCCTAACACGGGCATGCATTATGGCTTGAGCAATAGCCCAAGCCCATCATACTCTTTAATATTATTACTTATTTTATTAGCTAGCTACTTTTCCTTTTATTTCTCTTAAATAAAAGCTTAAGAGTCCTTAATTATAAATATTTCTTTAAGCTATACTTAAATTTTTTTAACCCTTTAATATTTAATAAATGCTATATTAATATTTTTAAAAGTATAAATTTAATTTTTTAAAATAATAAGTTTATATATTAAAAACAAGCCACCTAAATAATAAAGAATAAGTTTTACTAAACCCTCTTAAGAATAACTTAAGGAAAAGCTTTAATGCAATAAAGAGAAAAAAATAAAAATAAAAGGAAATTAAAAAAAGGGAAAAGATAAATATTTTAAAAATTCTTAAAAATAAGAAAAGCTTAATTAAAGTATTAAATATATAAAAAAAGAGAAGAATTAATTTCTTAAAAAAATATTTAAAATAAGTATAAAAGTTAGCTTTTTATAGCTAGCTGGAATTTAATGCAATATTATTTCTTATATAATTCTTTATATTTATTAATATACCTTTTTTTAAATACTTTATAATAAGTATTATAAAAATTATTAAAATAAAACTTTGTTATTTTTAATTAAGCCTTTAAATTTTAAAATTTACCTTATTATAATCTTAATTATTATTATTATCTTTAATTCCTTACTTATTTATTTTATTATAGCTTTTATTTTTTTATAAAAGCTTTAAATATTTTTAAAATTTATTTAGTAATATATTTATTAATTATATTTTTTTAATTATTAAAGTTTATTTTAATAATTAATATTAATATAGTTATTAAAAATTTAAATATCTTTATAAAATAAAAAGTAAATTTATTCTTTCTTTTAATTATTATATTAAGTATAATATTTTAGCTTTGCTAATTTTTGCTTTTATTTTTTATAAAGCTTTTACTTTTACTTTTACTTTTTATAATACTTTTACTTTTAATATTTATATTTTATATTTAATTATTTAATTAGCTTATTTATAAGCTTTTTAAAT